TTATGTTCCTTGGTTTGCCAGTATCATATTGGTCGCGTGGTTTTCAAAAAGGGGTTAGTTGGTTTCCCCGGCACTAGGATATATAGGGCTAGAAAAAATAGTCTTGCAAGTCCAGACTGCCTGAAATTAAGAATTGTTTGTTTCTTTGTAATTTAACTTTTTCGTGGACTAAATGTCATTTTACTGATATGTAAGCGTCTACTGCTTGCATCCCTCCAGACTTCCTACATGAAGCTGATCGCCGCCATATAGCTGGAGTATTTGTCGCGTTAAAAATAGAGACTATGACTAACCAAAGTCACTCACTCACACATTGCTCTGGGTGTGTAGTTATGTAAGGAAATATCAGGCGATAACATTATATGAGTGATAACTGCCATTCTGTGTCTTTCGACGTATAGTCTTTATCGCCCTGCAATCACCCACTTCACCAACCAACAGTGAAGAGTCACGAGTGATTGAACGTAAGCTGGTCAATTCGTCAGTGTGAAAGTTGTCTGTTATAATATCGACTATTAAGTCATTTGCCATCTGAACCCGTTTATCTTCGTAATGCTATTTCGCCCGCGGCTACTTGGGTAGTCTGGAGCTGTGATTAAGCTGTGCAGTTAACGACTGTGGATAAGCCGATCTAAGAGTTATGTCGAATATCTAGCTTGATTCTTAATGTCTGTGTGAAAACTGTATGTCCGGTAGATACAGTCGACCGACGACCTTGTCGTAGTCAGTCATCGGAAAATAATATCAGCAAGTTCGGATTTCTCAAGTCAGGCATGTTGTCACAATGTCTCAAAGTATAACGTATTTCTCAAGTCAGGCATGTTGTCACATTGACTCGAAGTATAACGTATTTCTCAAGTCAGGCATGTTGTCACATTGACTCGAAGTATAAGGTATTTCTCAAGTCAGGCATGTTGTCACACTGACTCGAAGTATAACGTATTTCTCAAGCTAGGCATGTTGTCACATTGTCTCCAAGTATAACGTATTTCTCAAGTCAGGCATGTTGTCACACTGTCTCGAAGTATAACGTATTTCTCAAGCTAGGCATGTTGTCACATTGTCTCGAAGTATAACGTATTTCTCAAGTCAGGCATGTTGTCACACTGACTCGAAGTATAACGTATTTCTCAAGCTAGGCATGTTGTCACACTGTCTCGAAGTATAACGTATTTCTCAAGTCAGGCATGTTGTCACACTGTCTCAAAGTATAACGTATTTCTCAAGTCATGCATGTTGTCACACTGTCTCGAAGTATAACGTATTTCTCAAGCCAGGGATGTTGTTACAATGTCTCGAAGTAAAACGTATTTCTCAAGTCAGGCATATTGTCACACTGTCTCGAAGTATAACGTATTTCTCAAGTCAGGCATATTGTCACAATGTCTCGAAGTAAAACACGGTCATTGTATTTCTGTTTTATTAATCTTGTAATGTTAATCAATTACGGCGAAATCGTGTGTCCCTCCGATCCTTACAACTTCAGTTTAGGGTCTGCGTACCACGTACCACGCACCGTGACATGTGTCACAATAACCACAATCACGGTACCTTACTGGGCGATCAGCTACATGTGATTTCAGTGTTGAGCTTGGTTGATGAATGGGACAGTGTCCTGTACGATTCCCCCGCAACACAAGATGCCATATCCAGAGCAGATCTTGAAAACCGTACAATATTTCTTCACCTAACCTGGCTTATAGATTGGTGAACTCGAGCCTTTTGATACTTTTTGAATTGTTGAAAATATATATTTCAAGTACCACTTGCAACAACTTTGACTGCGGCCGAATATGGTCCGCGTTTCCGGAGCAAATCATAAAAACCCTTACAACATCTCGCCACCAAACTTGGCACATTGTTGGGTCCGGTTGTGAACTGGTGCCTTTTGAGAGGTTGGGATTTTTTCATATAAATTTTTCAATTTTCCATTGCAACGAGTGTGACTTGGATGAAAATTGCAGTAGTACTCGGTACGGCACAGATCTTAAGAACCATACTATATTAATTCTCCAAGCTTAACACATTGAAAGGTCTTGTGGTGAACTGTGCCTTGTCATATTTTGGAATTTTTAAACAATTGTTATTCGAGTTTCGATGACAAGTTTCATATTTTTGTTCATGAAAAATATTTACAACTGTCGAGGAAATCGTTAACTTTGTCCTGAGTATTTTGTGCTTATGGCTGTTAGGTTTGTGTGCCACATGTGGAGTGTTGATAATTAGTTAACAGACGTTTGAGACAAAATGATACCGATGAATTGCAATCTAAGACAAAAACCAATAGACATAAAAGAATCAAACCACCGCGGAATGCAATAAAAACAACAGACCAACTCTAGAAAACAATTGCATAATTTTTGTCACAAAAATAAACAAGTTGCTTAAGAAACTGTCATCATTTATTTGTGCGTTTTCCAAGTTTGTTACAAGGGCGCATTAGCAGCTAAAGGAACAGCGCGAAAGGCGAGATGCACGTGCGTTAACGTGTTCTCAACATATTTTTGAGCTGGCGAGATGACACTTACCCCAGCTGCACAGGCAGTGCGCTGTATGTACTTAGTAATTGCATACTTGGGTCACCCCCTGTTATTTTCATCCTTGATGAAATCATAGACTTTGTACATACGGACTGTACATTTATTTTTTTACATATGTTCTAACTTTGTGTCGACTTTAGTTTATTTTGACTGTTTAAAGTGTTTTGCTACCTCTGAGTTCTGGTTTTCATTTTAGCCCCTGTAGCCTTTGGCAAGCCGTTTCCACATTTATTTCGAATTACTGACGTCTTATATTGTTTTAAAGATAGCTTGCATTAAATTAGAGATATCTTGAATTGAATTGACAGTATGTTGAGGTGAGATAACGATATCTCGAATTGAAATAATTACAGATATCTGCAATAACCTTCAAGGGAAAAAATTGCTGATATCTTAAATTTGATCAGTAATATCAGAATAATATTTAAAGATGTAAACAAAATCATGTTTTAATGCTATCGGTAATTCCATTCCTGAAATCTTGCAATGAAATACAGATATTATCAATTAATTCAGTGGAAGATATATCAAATTAAATTAAAGATAGCTTAAACGAATTCTGCGTTTCGTGGTATGTATAAATTATTTCAAGGCTTTTTCTTGATAAATGAGTAACATTTTAAGATATCAGTAACTCTACTATGAAGGTCAGAACCAACAAAGTTATAGATAGTTCCGGTAGTGGTCGCCTACCACTAACGACCTATATGTCAAGACCAACGGATTCGAGCCACGCACCAGCTGCGACACAGGTTCCAGCTGGCAACCCTTACAGCCGGTAACATACCTGACAACAGAGGTGTCTATGTGAGAACAGATCGACCACGTCTACACATCTACGGCATCCGTGGACGAATGTTTTTGTTGTGAACGTCGCACTCAGCAATATCCAAGCTAAATGGCGGCGGTCTCTAAATAATCGAGTCTGGACAAGACAATCCAGTGATCGACATGGTGAGCATCAATCTACACAGTAGGGATACGATGGCACATGTTAACCAAGTCAGCAAGGCTGACTACCCGATCCGTTATTCGCCTCAACACGTTGCTGAAGGCCAATTCTACCCGTGACTTCACGGGTGCCGTGCAAGACACCCAGTCTGACGGCCAGTTCCAGGCCAGAACGTCGACCTCTAGAAGCCGACCAGACATTCTGCCAGTTGTACAGCAGAAAGTCAGTCAGAACAATCTTAATGTGCTACCCTTACCCCCTATATACCTTATTTGCCATCTATTGTACACGTCTAGGATGAAAACGAGCAATGTTTAGGATGAGATTTCTATCCTCGGACATGGAACGATCTTTTCCTAGGACTGTCAGCAAGTTCCGAGTGAGTCAGTCAGTTTAGTTTTACACTGCTTTAGCAATATTCCAGCAAAATCACGGCGGGGGGACACCAGAAATGGGCTTCACACATTGTACCCATGTAGGGAATCGAACCCGAATCGGCGTGACGAACAAACACTTTGACCACTAAGCTACCCCACCACCCCTCTACCTGGCCTTAATGAGGCTAAGGTGCATCAAGACACCACCTCTCCTGTTGTGTTTCATTTGCATATGCAAGGTGTGCTGTATCGTACTTTTAATCGTTACATTACCATGAAACCTGTCCTTCCACCTAAAATCATTTCATTCCAGATAGTAAAAGTGTAGCACTGATTCTGCTTGTTTGTGTGTCACAATAACTTTTGCCTTTGAGTATATTCATATTAAACACCAAATACCTAAAATTGTTCATGAAAACAAGGTGAGGTGAGGTGAAATTGGGTTTTACATCGTGCTTGAGAATATTTCGCTCATATGACAAGGTGCATGCATGTGTATGTGTATGTGCGGCTGCTTGTACTAGCCTAGACTTAAGCTGGTTTCATAGTGCTAGCCCACTGAGATACCATGCCGCAGTGAAGCATGAATACCCCACTCAGACACATTATACTGACTCCGAGCCGACCAGTCCTTGTTGTACCCATTAATGCTGAGTGCCAGGCAGGGACCAACAAGTACCATATTTTAACGTCTTTTGGTTTGACGCGGTTGGGTATCGAACCCGCGACCTTCCGCTCTCCGGGCGGACGCTCTAACCACTACACCACGGAGGCGGTCCTCATGAAAACAAGGATTGTGCTATATCCCAACATGTGACATTGAAGTGCACAGATTACAAATTCTCAGTAAATATAGGCGGGTCCAGAGACTTGCAAGGGTTTGGATCTTGCCATTCTCTGAAACCCATGTAGCAACTGTGGTGTTCCCTTCGGCAAGTGCCCTGGTTCAAATATGCCCTGCTCACACAGCAGAAAAACAGAATACCCTCATAGGATGAGAAGGTAGTGTGACTGCTACTTAATCTTAAACACTATTCTAACCCAGAATCATCACGTGAGACCAGCAAACGCACCTGCAACTCCGATTCTGGCCCTGAATCAAACCTTTCTTTCATGGAAAGATAGAAAAAGTCATTATCTGATAATGTTTATTTAAACCATGTAAATATTAACCTAAAACATGTAAATGTATAGTTTAACATACCTATTATGAAAATATGGCACTGGATAGAAAGTTATTCACTACACTGGCAATTCTCCTTGAACATTCTACATAAGAATCATACCCAAGGACACAGCCATTCTTATTTCTTGCTATCAGTTAATGTCAGAAGTACTTGAAGCAACCATAAAATCTTCTAGCACGTAAAACTGTACATTTTACTGTTGTGTACAAGACTGCAATACACAATGACCAAACTCTATGCACATTTTTACCAAATGAGGTAGGCTCTAGGTGTTTGTCTTCAAACAACAAGTAAAATTTAGAAACTAACATTCATCCATCACAGGTAGGCCTACCAGTTGTCTCCCTTAGGCCTTCCAAGTTCTCTCCCTTAGACTAAATGTGTATTTAAAGACTATCCATACATTAACACCCTACATTCAGAAACATTGGCAACAAAAGACAAAGTGTTTTTATCTGAAATAATCTCAGCCAAAACATGAATGCCAGTCCACCAAATTATTAACTGTAAGTGACAAATCAAATGATATATACATCATATCTACAGTATCCATAGGATACGTACACAATGAAATGAAGTTGCTGTTTAGAATGGATATGTACAATGATGAGAACAGTGTAGTGATCAAGAAGTGGTTATGTAAACAGGCATGATGATCTCAGAAACTGGCCAAAGTCCCTCTTTTCTGAAAGTCTGGTATGAAGAAACCTCGCTGCATGTGGATCATCACAAAAATAAGTCTGAGTAGACACAACTGCAGCATGGCATCTTTCCACAGCTTCATCGCCATCATAGTGAGCTGGATTTGAATCAATCTGAACAGTTTATACACTTCAGAATATCACAACCTTTTGAAAAGTATACGGTGTCTGAGAGGACATCACGTTCCTGTGACAGTCTTTGAATAAAACATACTTGGTTGAGAAGAACTTGGAGAGTGTAGATGACGGGCGATACAAGATGGAAATGTGTTGCATCACACAAGCTAACAGCTGAGAATTATATGACGATGAATGTTGATCATGGACTTGAGTGTTAACAGACATGCAAATCCACAAAATGTTGGCGGTTCTTAAACAACGGACCCCATGATGCATTAAGGTGAGAGGTCATTGGATTTGAATCTTCCTCCTTCACCTTGCGCTGTTTTAACACTGGACCATCACTCTGTGGTTTGGGGCTTCCATCCCGCTTCCTGAAACACCAGCAGAATTAGTCAGAAAGTCCTCTTAGTTACTACTCAAAAGATTCTTCAGCATTGCTTTACTGAATTTGCCATTGCATTAAAGTCTTTGGAGTAGTATACATCAGGAACAGAAGCATGTAAAACAAATAACGATAATGTGTTCCGCCATGTTTGCCAAACTAGACTTACCAGGCTCAAGACATTAAAGCCTGAGGGATGTTTAAATTTATATATGGAACTGAACAAACAAAAATGTATATCTGATTTTTAGAGTATTTCCTAAATTCAAGTTGTAAACCAGTTGGTCTCCCTGTCTGCATGTAACCACTAATAACAACATACCTGGAATACTCAGTGATCTCCCCTTTCTCTTCACAACACTCGTCTTGAACTGGGATCATGGTGATTCAGACTGAAGAAAGAAAATGTCAACATAAGCTTTTGAACACGACACCCCTATGATATATTTGTGAAGATCCTATAGACATTTGACACACGAAAACCTCATTTTACAATGACCTTCAAGTTTCACGCAACATCTTGAACAAAAAGTTAACACCTTACTTTCATAGGTTCAAACAAAATCCAATTTCCATTTGCCATACTGCATAAACTTTAAAGTATAAGAAAAATAAAACGATAAAACTAAAATAAGATTATCATACAAATTATACTTCAGTAACTATTACCCGTTTAAATATTTGATGAAATGCATTCTATCAACAAACAAAAATAATCATGCAAATATCTTTGGTAACAAAAACAAAACAACTGCATAAACTATAGTGAGTGAGTAAGCTTAGTTTTACGCCGCACTCAGCAATATTCCAGCTATATGGCGGGGGTCTGTAAATAATCGAGTCTGGACCAGACAATCCAGTGATCAACAGCATGAGCATCGATCTACACAATTGGGAACCGATGACATGTGTCAGCCAAGTCAGCGAGCCTGACCACCCAATATCATTAGTCACCTCTTACGACAAGCATGGGTTACTGAATATTCTAACCCGGACCTTCACGGGTCTACATAAACTATAACAATAATGAGCTAATGAAATATGTTTTTATTCTCTTCTCAGCTGATCTTAGTATTATGACTCAGTACAGCAGTATAACGAATAATACTGAGCCTAAGTTTACTTAGACTGATGTCAGTTAAGCCAGATTCCATAAAGCACGACATACACATACATGAGGAATGAATGTACATAAAAGTCTAGTACAAATTCATTATCAAACACATTCTACAGCTTCAATCCTTTACTTGAGTACCGGGTAAGTGATTTGGATTAACATGCTGTCTTTCATCTTTATCACATCATGCAAGCTTGATGAGGGAGGAAACACCCAAGTATTACAAGTCACGACACTTAACAATTTGTTGATACCCAGGACATATATATATACTGCTTACAAAATCTAGAAATATAATCAGGGCCAGTGGAAATAAAACACTGCATCATGCCATCAAAGACAGCAAGCCTGACAACCTGATCCTGTCAGATGCGGAGGTAACATTGCTGAGGTCCTATATTTTGTGACCTCAAAAGCCCATAAAGATTAAATCATACCCGAGAAGTGGCCACAATAAAGATCTAGCCACATGGGCTGCTGATATGTCAGGGTACAAAATTTTCTACATTATTAGTATATTATTGATTCCATATTCCTCAAAATGTAAAACAATACAATGTGAAGTTTCACATTAGATCTATCACATACTACAATTAATACCTGAGATAATACATTGATAAACACATCCTTGAATGATGTGCATAACTATACACGGGATTGATTACACAATGCCATTTAGAAAGCAGTCAAATGTAACATATGATATATTTGTGATTACACTTTCTTAGTGGAGTAGATTCTAGTACTTTTGATGGGTTGACAAAGAATCTGTACTTTACTAAGAAAGTGTAATCACAAATATAGCATATGTCAGATAAACGGGATTACCTGAATACACGTCTACCGGAGGCAAGTGCTGAATTTTTCAAATGCGTTGTGGGTTTACTGCATTTTCATTTATAGTGGCATTGAACCTTGACCAAATAACCCCAAAACGTGTCCTCCCAGCGCTTGTATGTCTAAGATAAGGCACAGACTGTATGCTGTCCACGCTAGCCCGAGTTCAGAGTCCACGCAGTGTCCATATCTCAACAACATAAACAAAATATGTCTGTGCCCCGATTTCGGTACATATGACAGATCAGCTGATTTGATACACTTGTACATGGTTCCTGTGTGAGGAATAGATACTTTACCTATCTGTTGAGGACGGGTTTCAGCGGCTCCGATGTTGCATGTAATGAAATGACGTGACCACGAATTGTGTCAATCACACACGTGCAGTGGATCACGTTTTGACGTGAACTTGTATCTTTTTGAGTTCGGACGAACTGACCCATTATGTCACGCTGACTTTTCTGTTCTCTGTCTAAAAATGCATTGCACAGGTTTCTAATAATCATGCATTGAACACAATACTTACTCACTTACTGCTTTGCCAAACCTGCTTCTAGCCGACAGATATATACCTTCGATCTTCTCAGAGATGTTTCTTCCTTTACCTCTCTCTCATTTACCAATGGATGTTTTGTTTCTAATAATAGAAGACCACGCGTTGTCGCCGTGCTAAGCTGACGTCTATAAAAGAGCGGGGAGATTTCATTGGTTGATTATGCCGGTCTCTCAGATTTCATTGGTTAAGACTTTGTATAGGGTTCATGATATCTGCTGTGCGTGACATCAATCACAATGACCATGACCAAAGATGTTATAATGTACGTGACCCGCAAAAGTACCCCAAGCATGTGAACGAAAGTCAACAACCCAGTTAAATGTCAAGGAAACACCATTAATCGCCATCATGTAAAACTTGTCAGGCCGTGACGTGTGTAAGGAAAAGGAACGTTATCAAGTTTCTGATCATGTTAAAATTTATACGTTAATACGTATGTTTCTGTTAACCAAGTGTAACCGATAAGTGTAAGTGAAACGGAGACAGTGACACTGTATACTCATAAACATAAGACTTATATACATGAATACACAATGCCATTTAGAAAGTGGTCAATTGTAACATATGTTATATTTGGGATTACAGTTTCTTAGTAAAGTACGGACCCTAGTACTTTTGTTGGGTAGAGTCCCATCCGAGATTCGAACCCAATCCCCCAGTGTCAGGCATCTAATCGCCAACACACAAAGTCATACTTCTAACCTGCTCAAAAACCGATTGTTATCATGTGACTCTTGTTAAATACGCCACGAAACACTACAATTGTGGAAACAGGTGTAAGATGCTTTAAACGTCTTCTTGTTTGTGTCATATCATATAAACTTGAATCAAAACTGCGGAATGACCTCAACGCCGTTTGTCAGATTACCTCTCTTACAGCTTAAAGACATTTGCTAGTAGATCGTAAATATACATGGACGATCAATAATGTGCTATATATGAGTACTGTACCCTCATATCAATGCTGTATGGCTTATCTCAAACATTACATCCATTCGGGAAGTTTAGTAATATCGTGTTCCGAAGTGCATATGGATGATATTTCACCTATAATTTTAATAGGCCAAAAAGTATTGTGATATACGAACACATTATGCGAATCTGTACGTGCAGTATCTCATTATGTCTGATTCATTTTAACAGAAGGAAGACTTTCTGCTTGTGAACATGCAATGTTAATATATGTTTTTTACCTTTTTTGTAAAAATGTTTCAGGTCAGTCTTTCCACGGAGAAGAGACACAGTTGTGGCCAGACTTAACGCTTTGATTGTAAAAAATGTTTGAAGGTTTAAAAGGTTAATGTGTGGTTTTAAGTACAAAACAATCTACCAACGTCACCAACATGAATCATACCCGCCCACTTCCTTTCCGTGTCAATTGGGTACAGGCGGATGACATGAAACAAGTTGAGATTGCGTTAAAAGTGTTATGAATCTGTGACCCAAGTACATACCAGTCGCGATCACTCGTCTTTTGAACTGTAACGAGCAAAATGTACTTATGGCCTCGTTCATGTAAATATTATTACTAAACAATACATTCAATCGAAATACACAACGATGTTAGTTTCATTTCAGATTCCATGACATTATTTCGAAAATTATATTTATATAATAAGTTTATTATTCCTCATCGTAATCAATGAAATAAACACGACCCACAGTGATTCAATGCCCGTGTCTTACACCAACATTCCACCATGATCTTCTTGTATGTTAAACCACGTGTACTCAGCAATATTTCATCTAAAAAAGCGACGGTCTGTTGACAGTCGAATCTGGGTCAGACAATCTGGTGATTAACATCATTAGCATGGACCTAAGCAACTGGGAACAATTACCTGCAATCAATATGGTCATCGATCTTGGTGACTGGATCCACATTGTCGCCTCTCCCGACAAACTAAGACTACTGGGGATCTATATTTCTACTTGGAATTTCCAAGGTTCACATTCTGATTGAAAAAAAGCGGGTTAGAAGACTTACAAAGACCACGGGCGATGGGGTAGTCTGTCATACAGACCTGGAAGCAAACATATCAACAAAAGCCCACGCAAGTCTAGAAAATGGGGCAAATCTCTGAAAATGAGGAAAGTCTCAGGGTTCCTTTTCATTATATTTTTTTTTTTTACAATGAACTTTTTTTCTGTAAAATATGTTCATTTCAGACGCTAGTTGATAGTCTAGCAATGGAGTAGCCTATAGTGGTTTAAGCGTTTTCTGTCACGCCGAAGATTCGATTCCCCACACAGGTACAATGTGTGAAGTCCACTTCAGATGTCACCACTGTGATGTTGCTGGAAGAATGCCAAAGCCGGCGTAGACCCGAAGTCACTCACTGACAAGGATGACAACAGACTGGGAGCTTGGCACTACTGGTTCTCTGGTACAGAGACGCATAACACAGTCTGGTTTCCTGGTTATGTTGCGCTGACGAACCAGGATGGGCATAACTAATTTGTAGACCAGTTGAATGTGGCGGTGTTAAACGCCTTTCTCTTGGGCTCGTGTACTTCTTTCTGATAATTAAAGATTTTATCGAATTATTAAGCTTCAGACGATATCATTGCATTCTATAGATACGGTCCCGTGAAGATAATTGGCGATTTTACCCAAACTTGTAAATGATGGATTGGGTTGTGACACTTGCACGAATGTTGTCCCCGCACTGGTACGCAATTTTGATAGCCAATAATGAGTAAATTCAACTTAAACTGTTGTGAAGTGTGCATAAACTGTGCGGGACTGCGTGCCAGTGCGCAAAGAAAATTTTGAAATGTTCAAACATTCTGGTACGCATAATCTTCGTGCCACTTGGGTGAACTAGACGTAAACATTGCACAACCTACTCGCAAACACTGCGGGCGGTGCGTATCAAAACGTGTCAATTTCCGGCCCTGCGCGCATTGACACGCAGTGTCGCGCATTGGCCGCTTTGACCACGGACTGTGTGCGACAAGGTCGCGACTGATTGCGTTAAGTTCACGCCTTCTATAGTCTGTTTGCAGTGAAAACGTACTGATGAGTTTCACTTTAAGCAAAAAAGTAACGTGAACAAGTCCTGAGACAATACACAAGTCCCACCCCATTCGTAACTACTCGCCCTTTCCGTAACCTGAAAGTAGACTCGTACCCCTAACGTAGCCATTTTCTTCACACTAGCCTTGCTTCCTTTTTCTAGTTGGGGTTACGCCTTCTTCTTTGGCCTGCTCTTGCTGCATTTGCTGGTCTTCAAGAAGTAATAGTGCTGCACCTGCCAGATATTGACACCTTTTCTTTTTTCTGGTGTTCAACATCTTGTAGGTCCACAGCAATGCATGAAGCTGGGGTGACGCCTGCTATATAGCGTGGCGTCAAGCGGGACAACGTGGGACCAATTATACCACGACTGTTTCACGCATGCACGAAGTGGTTGTGGCAATATGCATGCCCATGCTGGAATAATACGCGTCGTGCGTACCATGCCATACACTAGACGTAAACAATGCGCCAACAATACTTGACCTGGGCCCTTATTCTCGAAACGTTCGTAGCCCTAAGAATTCTTAACTTTGATCGTAGCCAATGTGTTAAGAATGGGCTTAAGAAGTTCGTAGGGCTACGAACTTTTCGAGAATAGCTAGCCAGGTCGTAAACAGGTCGTGCGATAGCGTGCCAATGCGTGCCAATGCGCACCATTATTGTCGGTCACGCATTGCATGCCAAGTGGGTAACTTATGCGAAAACAGGACACGAACAGTGCGCAAACTAGGCTTCACGCTTTCATGCGTAGCATCTAAATAACACGCATTGCCACGACGAATTGCGCGGAAAGGGCTGGGACATAATTCGTGCATGTGTCAGGATGAGTTCACTTGTTCGGGTGCATATTATAGAGTCCGAACTGCTCCATGCAGGACAGAGTCGGGTTGTCAGATTCGATGACGTGGTCGATGCACATCAGTTTATTTCATTTGATCACTGGATTGTCTGATTTAGGCGGTAATAACAGACAAACGAACGGTATATTTCAAAATAACAATTAAACTGGACTTTGCCTGTTCCTTAAAAGATAAGATGGCCTGAAATGGATTAGGGTGGCACAGTGAGCTAATCTTTTTCTTTTTGACCAAGTCTGCGTAAATTGTGCCAATGTCAGATAAAATACGCAGAAAATAGTAGTTCAGTGTGTGATCAGATAGGTAAACTAGTTACTCCAAGGTTATGTTAGATAATGACAGTGGGAGGTAGGCCAAGGGCACATTTTTTAAGTTGCTTAAAACGCTTAAATATTGGCATGTGAATTATCAGTTCAAATGGCTCAGGACTAGGCCTTAATAATTTTTACAATTGTACCATTTGGATATGGTTAAATACTTAAGATATGACTGAAAGGGGTAAAAGACTTTCCAGAAGATCAGATGATTTGGTTTGGTTGTTGTTTTAACACTCGGCAATATTCCAGCTATAGGGCGGCGGTCTGTAAATAAGACAAAACTGTGATCAACAGCATGAGCGTTGATCTACGCAACTGGGATACGATGACATGTGTCAACCAAGTGAGCGAGCCTGACCACCCGATCCCGTTAGTCGCCTCTTGCGACAAGCATGGGTTGCTGAAAACCAATTCTAATCCAGATCTTCACGGGTATAGGTGAGGTGAGGTGAAATTGGGTTTAACGTCGTACTGGAGAATATTTCGCTCATATGACGACGTGCATGCGTGTGTATGTGCGGCTGCTTGTACTAGCCCAGACTTAAGCTGGTTTTATAGTGCTAGCCCACTGAGATACCATGCCGCAGTGAAGCATGAATACCCCACTCAGACACATTATACTGACTCCGAGCCGACCAGTCCTTGTTGTACCCATTAATGCCGAGCGCCAGGCAGGGAACAATAAGTACCATATTTTAACGTCTTTTGGTATGACACGGCCGGGGATCGAACCCGCGACCTTCGTTCTCGGGGCTTACGCTCTAACCGCCAGATAAGATGTATAAAGCACTGTTTAGGCTTATGTATGTTTAGATTTACACTCCAGTTTACTACTAAGTAACCCACGAGGATGTATTAAGGTAAGTTTGTAATGCTCATGTACATATATAACATCCCCATACTTCAATATCAGTATACCTCACAAAACCTCCACAACAATCATTTTACATGCTCTTCATCCTCACCAAGGATAACCATTACCATTCTTCCACAACAATCATCATTTTACATGCTCTTCATCCTCACCACGGATAACCGTTACCATTCTTCCACAACGATCATTTTACATGCTCTTCATCCTCGCCAAGGATAACTGTTACCATTCTTCCACAACAATAATCATTTTACATGCTCTTCATCCTCACCAATGATAACTGTTACCATTCTTCCACAACAATAATCATTTTACATGCTCTTCATCCTCACCAAGGATAACCATTACCATTCTTCCACAACAATAATCATTTTACATGCTCTTCATCCTCACCACGGATAACCGTTACCATTCTTCCACAACGATCATTTTACATGCTCTTCATCCTCGCCAAGGATAACTGTTACCATTCTTCCACAACAATAATCATTTTACATGCTCTTCATCCTCACCAATGATAACTGTTACCATTCTTCCACAACAATAATCATTTTACATGCTCTTCATCCTCACCACGGATAACTGTTACCATTCTTCCACAACAATCATCATTTTACATGCTTTTCATCCTCACCAAGGATAACCGTTACCATTCTTCCACAACAATCATCATTTTACATGCTCTTCATCCTCACCACGGATAACTGTTACCATTCTTCCACAACAATAATCATTTTACATGCTCTTCATCCTCACCACGGATAACTGTTACCATTCTTCCACAACAATAATCATTTTACATGCTCTTCATCCTCACCAAGGATAACCATTACCATTCTTCCACAACAATCATCATTTTACATGCTCTTCATCCTCATCAAGGGTAACCGTTACCATTCTTTCACAATAATAATCATTTTACATGCTCTTCATCCTCACCACGGATAACCGTTACCATTCTTCCACAACAATCATCATTTTACATGCTCTTCATCCTCACCATGGATAACTGTTACCATTCTTCCACAACAATCATCATTTTACATGCTCTTCATCCTCACCATGGATAACCGTTACCATTCTTCCACAACAATCATCATTTTACATGCTCTTCATCCTCACCAAGGATAACCGTTACCATTCTTCCACAACAATAATCATTTTACATGCTCTTCATCCTCACCAAGGATAACCGTTACCATTCTTCCACAACAATCATCATTTTACATGCTCTTCATCCTCACCACGGATAACCATTACCATTCTTCCACAACAATCACCATTTTACATGCTCTTCATCCTCACCACGGATAACCGTCACCATTCTTCCACAAAAATAATCATTTTACATGCTCTTCATCCTCACCAAGATAACCGTTACCATTCTTCCACAACAATAATCATTTTACATGCTCTTCATCCTCACCAACGGATAACCGTCACCATTCTGCCATGAGAATTCTGTCCGTTTGTAAGGAAATGTTTTGTACAACAAACTGAAGTCTCCTTAATGGTGCTTAACCATGAACCAGAAACAAGATAAGGTTGCAACCATCTGCTCACAACTCATCTGTCTCCTACAAAATGTGAAAATATTGCAAAAACAAACACATTATTTACATTTTATTTACTCTCATGTGCAAAAATGAATTTGATGATAAAACTGAGGTAACATTTATAAGAACACATCGACAAATACGCAATTTCTTTAGACAGTGAAGTTTAACAAACAATGAGGTGACTGTTGAAATAAACTTGAACTAACCAATTCAAACGTCAACACCATAGTACACCATTTACAGCAAAAGCAGTAAACGTACAGACATGTTCATTGGTACATACATGTAACATGAACCATGTGTTCATACATGTAACATGAACCATGTGTTTTAACTCCTGATTCCTACACACATTCCCTGTAGCAGGTGTTCAAAAAGACAATACACAGGTACAACACAGGTGTTACTAACAACTGTTTCAATTTAGTCTTATTCACATGGTTTAAGTGTAGGGAGCACAAACCTTTATATTCAGGAATTTCTTTGTGGGACAAGCCAAGAAAGTACTTCTACATCATTTGTCAGTTTGATCTGTCAAAGGCTGTTTTTATTTCAAAATATCTTATTAATAATGGGTGAATGAACTGAAAAAATGGCTTAATTGATATCTGGATAAAATTAATTGTTTAGTGAACATTTCTTACAAAAGTAATTATTTCACAAATCTAAAACTCAGCTATTCAACCTATATAAAAAATATAACCTGATAGTCTGTACTTGTACTGAAAGAAAATGTCCTTTGAGGATGTGTCCATACTACTGGGATGCTGGGATCTGATGAGCAGAAAGAACCATATATCACCATCTTGCACTGCCCATACTTCCTCACTGGTCTATACTAAGGCATCTCTACCATATATATATAGCTCAATACATGGCAGACTACAGACTGTGTTTCACACTTGCTTGACATTCATAAAGTATCTATTTCCACCCTGAATGGAGACCCTGATAGCCACGGTCCGAGATGTTGCACTGTGTAGCGTATATCTACTTGCATACATGTTTGGTATCTCCAGGAAGAAACTGGTATCACAAGTGAGCTGCATGGACACATCTGAGAAACGACCAGAACATGTTGATGCGTTATTATAGGAGCTATACATCATCTTCCTAGAGGAGGTACTTGTAGTCTTTTACCAGGGTGTCAGTTGAAAATTGAGAGACAGAATACACATTTTATGCTGCACTAGCAAGTTTACAGCTTTCAGATGATTAGTGACAAAGCATTTCTGCCATGATTGACATGGAGTATGATACACAGTATGGGAAAACACCTTTGTTATTTACAACTACATAAAAATCACTCTTGGGTCCACAGACCACAAACATACAATCCACCATTTGGGAGATGATGCTTTCTCTAACGTAATCCTTTCACTCAAAACAGATGTCATGATTTACTTTGATTCTCCACCAATAAAAATCATATTCTGATATATTTATATACCTCAAAACTTCCAGTCTGGTAGCCAGTGATTTAAAATGCAGTAACCATAACGATGAAACATAACAATTTGAAGATGGTCTTTTACATATGAAAAACACTTTTTCAGTTTTTTACTTAAAAATGAAACAAGAAACAATGGCAATGATTTCTGAACTTAAACATGATACAGTTTCATGAAATGATGTTGAACAACATTTAATACTCATATCCAGCAACTATCAATTGTTAGCACTTCCTGCGTGGGTTCAAACCCAGACTCTCTCCAACACTCAGATCTCCTCTGTACAGCACAATGACAGCAAACATTAAGTGCATATTTATATACAGATGGCACCTGCATTTCAAGAGCTTTAACAGTAAATGACAATTCTTTTTAGCAAATCTATCTGATCGTTTTTGGGGACATTTTCAATACATTATTCGTCCTCCCAACGCTGACCATGCCTGTATATCCAGTACCTCAAAGGTACCTCAGCTTACATTGCAATACATGTACTTTGACTTGGGGTCTTTGATATTAACAACGCTACATGTAGTTAGGAGATACAAATCAGAATCTAGTTGCCCACATGCTCTATGGCCTCATCTTTGATGTGGTCAGTTGCAAACTGCCCTTATACTAACTTTAGACAACACTTCTGAGCAAGTCACCTGTCATAATAGACTGATATGGATTAGCCTCAGCTGACTAGTAGCAGTTACTGTGTTTAATACAAGACAGGTGATTCTGAAAGGAGGGAAAGTAATGTTTTAGATACATCTACTGTCTCGTTCTCGTCACCACTGCATGATGAACATGAAATATTGGATCCAGCTTAGCACTGGGCCGCTACAGCTTTGTATCCTGGGTGGTCACACAATTATATATCCCAACTTGAATACAGGGCACACTTTGCGTCCAGGGGTAGCCTCAGTCAACATCAACATCATCCAGTTGAATATTGGGCACACAGACTGAAGACAGAAGGGCCTTTGAGATATTGGTCCCAGATCTTGCACAATATAACAGTAGATAACATTTCCTAGAGGCAAGGCTGATCAAAAGCCCTCTTGGTACTGCTTGCTCTCCAATTTGGCAATAATCCTCTCCAGCATCCGGCGGGCTTCACAGTTGGGGAAGTTGGACATGTCGTAGTACTGCGGCGCAATCTTGATCAACCTGCACACGCAACCAACATATAGCAACATTTCACAAAGTCTTCAAAAGTATTTCAATTTAGTTCCCTTAAAATAACAGCTTAATGTGGGAGGGCCCAAGATGGTGCTCACAGGCGAATGATTAGATATTAACAGTAAATCTCAGAATCAAAACCTGACCACTGTGATCTGTCGTACATTGCATCAACATGTATCTAAGATTTCACGTGACATCAACAGCATCACTAACATACTGTAAGGGTCAATAATAGTAGCAGGCGCAGTCGAGACAGAACCTCGTCCCGCCTGCATCTCTGGTCACTGCTTACAAGCAGTACAAGGACCTATTCTGTCCTACAGGAACTCATGGGAAACAAAGTCATATGCTGTTGCATAATCAGTAAGAGTCCTTTAGCGTTTGTTTAACAATTCCCACAGCAATTCCAGCTATATGACGATGGCCTGTGAATAATCAAGTCTTCAGCAGACAATCCACTGGCTGATATACAATTACTGAGTTCTAGTGAGGTTGGACCCGTGAAGATCGACCTTGGACATGTGGTATTCACCGAGGTCGATATCACATGTCCAAGGTCGATAAATCATTAGATCAACCGAACTGAAGTCAATAATTGTTTTATTACATGACAAAAGTACTGATACAGTCATGAATCTTCGTGGCGTCGTGGCGTCTGCCATTTTGATACAGATGGGGCGTAACTCTTAACCAACACAGTCACAGGGATGAAGCGATGCCTATCGCTTCCTTATCTAACGTGACGCACACAGCTACGTGGCGAGGCTGACATCGCTTAGCGTCAAAGCTGTCATGTGACCAAGTGGGAAATCAGAAGGGAAATCTACCCGTCATATAATAATAGAAAGTATCAAACACCATTGTCATCTAAAAACCTGACCATACATCCATTTAGTCATCTCTCCTATGCAGTACATGTTGCTGCGGACCTATACAAACATGGAATCCTGACACCAGCTTCGTTATTTCCCACAACTGGCCAATATCTTTCACACATTTAGTCTGACATCCGATTCTACAAGCTCAAAAGCAATCTCTACAACTCAAGACTCAACCTCCTAATTCTTTCATACTTACTGGACAAAAAAGTGAGGGATCACAAATATAATTTGGATATTTTTATGAAATTGTGCTCAGTATTTTCTACAAACATCCGCAAAATATCCTGAATGATGCTAGAAACCTTTCTTGTTCAGAATACTACCAACATAAATCTGCTTGATCTTTTGAGTAATATAGATGAATTACTTACCACTCTGGCTTGATGTCTGTGACAGTCCTGATGTAGTTCTTGGTGGTGAGCACAAACTCATTGTAGAGCACCCACTCCGGCTTGTGGTCCAACACGGTGGATGGGTGAAGCTGTACAACCTGGTTGTCCTTCACTGTCAGGTAGTGACCAGTCCGTTCCAAGTGAGCGATCTACAGTACAGCCATAGAGGTTAGGACAAGCACACCTAGCTACTACCACAATCACCTGAACCAACGTTATGTCTGTTTATAATTGAACGACATTGTTAATCATGGTTCAAAACTAATTTTCAACTTTTCATCATCTATTACTCCCAGATCTTTTCAACAATAATTGACAAATAATTCTTTAATGTCCATTTGGAAATTAAAATCTCTTTTGTAAACTTTAAAGACAACCAATCATGCCACAATTAGAAACCACAATTAGAAAGCAAGCAATGTATCAAATTAAACATGGTGAATGTTTCTTGAACAATGAGGATAATGCACTATTTTCTACAAAACATTTACAATCGGGATAACATAGGTTGCCAATTTCATTTGACATCACAAATGATGCCATTCCGAGTTACACTCTCGACCAACCATGACTGTTCCCCACGGCCAAGGGGGACATGCATGCTGAAAGAAACTCATTATCTCAAGGGTTAAATCAAATCTAATTTGGCATGGTGAAAAAGAAAACATTTTATGCAGAAAACATATTTCAAGATATTGACAGTGAAATTGAACTGACACAAATTAGTAGCTGTCCTGTATTTAATATGAGAAAATCCTGCAACAGACTGTCATTCCAATGTATGTAAGGGAGACAACTCAAACACATTATTAAATATCAATTTACATGTGTTACTTTTGTGCAATGTTATTCAATGGATACGGTGTAGGTAAGAACAGGAAAGCTAACCAGTTCTTAGAAATACATACTGAAGGAAATAAATAATGAACAGATAGAAAAGGCAGAATGTGAAATTTCACTTGGTGCTTCTTTGAAATCATTCCATGGTCAATGCATCAGTGAACTTTTATCCTCTTCCCTGCAATGTTCCCTTACTTATTTCCATCAGCATATATAAAGTATTTTCCTCATAAATGTTTCTTAACTGTCATAATTGTAATAAGTTTGCATGAAGGATTATAGTTTCCCTCATTTCCTAAACATCGTACCTGCATGAAGTATCCTGAGACTAAAGCCTTCCTGATGTTGATGTAGTAGTCACGGCTGGTGAAGTCGGTGCTTGATCGCCGCAGGTTGAAGCGGTCCATGATGCGAGCCAGCTGCTGCCGCACATTGTCTGCGCTCTTCAGTGACCGAAAGTTAATGAAGTTGTCGTAGCACCATTGCTGGTCTTCCTGGTCTGGAAATGTAACCAAACAATGGTTAACAGGGTAACCTACTAATACTCTTCAATCATCATCATCATCATCATCATCATGTAAATAATCCAATCTGGACTAAACAATCCAGTGATTGCTATCATGGATATCACCAAACCAAACTCACCAATTAATCCATTTAACTGTAACTGATGTTCCATCCCACCCTCCTCCAAAGCATGTCATATCAAGCACAAATGACACAGCGGTAAGCTGGAAAGGCTAGGTTGATGCACACTATGATACCTACTTCATCAATCAGTTATCAAATATTTACAGACTGCCATGTACATGAATAGAAGCCCTGTGTTCCTATGTACTCACTTTGCTTGAAAGCGTGGTAGACGTTGAGCAGAGTGAGGTGATCACCATCGATGTGGGCGAACCTCATCTTAGCCTCGTCCGCAGGTTTCTTGGCCTCAGCAGGTCGCACAAAGCACTGCGGGACTAAACAGGGGTGGGTGGGGGCCATGACGGCCCGGCCCCAGCGCCATTAGTTCTCATAGGTCAAACAGCATCATGACTAAAAGGAAGCCAGTATGTTAGACAGTGCACCTGCCACTTCTCATTCACAGTGCTTCAACTACAACGGAGACAGATATTGACACTGCAAAAGCATTTACTTATTTAAGAAAATATTAACTGCATTAACACGTAACTGGCTGTGGCAGAGTGCACTGTTTGGAATCAGCATGACAAATATCATCATAAACGTATGCATGTTTCGCGAATATTCACAAGTTTGCTGTATTTTGAGACAGTTAGACAAATGTTGGTCTCGATTAACGATGAATTCCACTGAATTGAACCCACATGCAAATACTCAACCACAAGGGTTATAGTGAATCAGTGAGCTTGGTTTAACTCTATTTTGAACAGTTTGTCTGATATATCACTGCATGTCACTTTAACAAGGAAGGCACGTCTAAAGTGACAAGCATGATTTGGTACTGATAAACCAACAATGATAATCTGTACTAATCTGGCATTCAAATCAACGATTACTGGATCTATGGGACACAACTGGTCTGGAACTGGAACATTCCGTTCACATATCATTGATCAGGAATTCTGACTTTCATGATACGTGCAACTTAAGATCCATTTCTATACAAAATGAGATGTACAAAAGGAAAAATGCTGTTTTCTGCTAAAATCTACTAGCTATTGTTATGTCAACATGCATCTTGAATGACAGAAAATGGCAAAAATCCAGCTTTTCATATAGCAAATGGAGACAATACTATCTAAATACTTATGGAGTTATAATAACTTTGTGTAACAACTCCCAAACACAAACATATTTCATAACACTGTAATAGAAGATTAGAACAGGATGTATGAACGTGTATTATTCGTATGATTCAATCTTTTTACTAAGCCCTTCCTCTGCTTGCCTCAATCTGACCATCTACTACCTGATTCCCATTACCTGACAACATGGCTGTTATCGACAGAATCTCGTTGGAACAGCTGAAATCACAGCTGGCAATAACCATTTTAGCCAGCTGGGGATCCAGCGGAAACTCTGCCATCATGGAGCCGAGTTCTGTGATCTCTCCGTCATCATCCAGTGCAGCCAGGTAGTTCAACAACTCCAAGGCTCTCATCAACGTCTCAGGAGCTAGGGAAATATAAAGCTATCAATGGAACACCATTCAAACCAGATCTTCAACAGTTTTATGATGCCAGGGACTACTATGTGAAACACACTTTTGGAGGGATGGTAAACCCATCTGAGAGTAGGGAAAATTCAAACAGACTAGCTGATATTTTACATAAACCACTCGTCAGAATTGTGTGGTGGACAAGTTGCATATGACCAGGAGTGTCCACCCATGTCAATGATAATCAAGGTGAATCTATGATTTGTGCCAAAGTTAATGATTACACTACATTCCTAGAGGAATACACTAACACGAGTTTCAATAATTCCTTGTGGCACCTACCAGGTGGATCCATGAAGTCAAAGTGCACAAGATCATCGATACCCAGCTTCTTGAGCTGCAGAACCACAGAGCCGAGGTTCGACCGGAGGATCTCTGGGTATGTGTTGTCCTGCATTTCCTGTTTGTAGGCCTTTTCTGTGTACAGACGGAAACACTTCCCAGGCTGTGTCCGGCCAGCTCGGCCAGCTCGCTGCTGGGCACTGGCCTTACTGATAGCTGTCACCAGGAGGGACTCCACTCGGATACGGGGGTTATACACCTGGAATCAGTGGTTACCATGGTCACAAGAGGTCAGAGACAGTATCAGACACAAATACAGTAAACAGTGCTTATAACAAGCTGAAGCATAAAACGAACTGACTTTGGGGTCCTGATGATGTAACGTATATTATAGTCAACCTATGCTCATAAAGAACTTCAATTAATGGTCCCTTGAGTTCATTATAACTGTGATTTACTGTTGTACTAATAGTTCAGGGTTCATGTCCTAAACCGTCTCTTATGTTCATGCGAATAAAAGATTGAACTTTAGTGAACAAGAATAATGATCAAATCAAAAGGTTAAAATCACTTTGGTAGCCCTACCTTTTGTTTAGCAAAGCCAGGGTCTATCACAAACACAACACCATCAATTGTCAGGGATGTTTCAGCAATGTTGGTGGAGACGACCACCTTCCTGCCGATGGCCCCATTTGGTTTCTTGGCCGGAGCAGGTTCGAAGATGCGCTGTTGCTGGGCCGGGGGGAGGGTGGAGTACAGGGGGATACACTTCAAATTGCCAACATCAGGTCCCAGGTTGTCCACCTCACGGGCTAATCTCTTGCATGCCTCGTCAATCTCCTACTCAGCAATAAAGAAAGCGCATATTAATTTCCCTCGAGTGAAACTGTTGAATGTACATACAGTCGAGCACCGTTATCTCGATATTCATGGGACCAAGAAAAAATATCGAGTTATCCGAACTTTGAGATATCCGACCAGGGCATATCATCACATATCACTATGAAAGTTAACAAAACAAAAAGTAGATTTCATGTATATTTATTTGTATATACATTTTTACTCACTGGGAGCGCAATCACACATGATACCCTCATTGGATTCTCAGTATGTTTTGACTCAAAACTATAATCCGTTATCAGTAGTGTTTAGTCGTAACAGTGAGTACTTCCTAATTAATTCCTTCTTAATTAATCCTAATTAAGTATCAAACAAGTGACACCTTCGACTCAATTAGCCCTAATTAGTTTACACTACCGCATCCCTTTGATTCATGCCGCACTGTGTCTAAACGTGTGGAAACAACCTCAGTTCAGAGGGATACTTGCCCATGAAAGGTAGGTAAATATCGAGTTTCTTTGTAAATATCGAAGTTAAAGGGTAATTTTGCTTGTTGGGACCATGAAATAATATCGATATATCGAGACATCCGTATCGAGTTAAAAGAGCTTGAATAATGATAAATTATGAAGGATTTTGTCGGGACCGAGATGTTATATTGAGACAACCGAGATCTCGATTTATCAAAGTTCGACACAACGGTGTAGCTTAGCGTTTTTTTCATAATACAAGTATTAAAAACAAACCTGGGTACATATTATTATGCATTTTCCAAACTGAAAATGTCCTGTGACAGTTGTATCAATGTTTTTGAATAAAAGATTGTACAATAAATAAACTCTTTATTTATTATACGCTCCCCACCTAACGGAGTTACCTCCCGCTGCGCATAGCATGCTACTTTCAACTGGGTAAGCACCTAGGCCCGTATCATCATTCCTTCTGCTGAATACATCAGTGAACAGAATCATGGGCCCGGGGAGGCCCACCCAAGGATCGACTCTCTTGAAGAATTTAAAACCTCTTCAGGTTTGGTTAATTCTTCTTCATAGAGATCATCCTTGGGGTACATATTATGCATAAACACAGACTCCCAAAGACCGGAGGCCAGGGAGGAGGGAATTCTGTCCAAGCACACACAAATAGCTATCGTTAATGGGAAAAAATTGAACAGACGCCATAACACTCACCTGTCACATGTCCCACACACAGTCAGCCAGAGTGGCGGACGACTGATAGTAGCATGTAAATCAACTTCCGACCCTAAGCCCAGACATTACCGCCACCAGAAAACACAGCCTTCCAAGTTAACAACTGAATGGAAATAGCCGATAGGTGTGAGAAAGTTGGACCGACAGCCAATCGAAAGCACAATTGACAAATCCCAAGGTGGGCTGGTTCGCCTGACAGCAGGTCGAACCCGCTCCGCCAGCCATGTGAAAGCGCTAGACGAGGGTGCTGCCCCAGAAGAGCACCATCGACAGGGGTGTGAAAAGTGGAAATAGCGGTGGAGTAGCCGCGAATGGTCGGCCGCCATGCCTTCTTCCAAACGCGGGCTTGCAAAACTCCAATACTGGACTAAATCCGCAGAAAAGGGATCTGCAATCCCCTATCTGAACACCAGCGCCGCGATAGCGGGACCACCTATCCTCATACTGAACGCTTGTCGAATCCCCACCGGGCCAGAATTGTGTCTGCAACTGCTGCAGTAATTCCGCCTGTGAGCTGGCGTTGGGATTTCCAAGGGGACCCCCTGGTGAGATTCCCCGACATTGGTCCACCACTGAAGGTGAGGTGTCAACCACCCGACTGAGACTGCGCCCCAGGTCCTCCGAAAGAGCCCACAGACTCGCCAAAGCTTGCTGTATAGGGCTCATCCTCAACCACGCCCGCCACACTACAGAGATCGCCGCCGCCATATGGCCCAGTAGACGGAGCCAAGTCCGCGCTGGTGCCTGGGGCTGGGAGAGGAACGAAGACACCATCTCCTAACTCTGGTGATCCGGGTCGGGCTTTGCAAGGAAACTAGATCCTTGTGCGCTTGGAACCTTGCCCCGAAAAACAAGTCCTGGGTGGGTACCAGGTCGGATTTCTTGAGGTTGATGATCCACCCCAGTCGAACTAGAATGTCTATCACTGTGTGAGTAGCATCTAGGCTCGCTGGCTGTGTTAGTGCTCCGAGCAACCAGTCGCCGACGTAAGGGTAACAACGCCTTCCTTTGCCGCAGCAAGGGTAGCCGGACTAACATGAGCTTGGTGAACACCCTTGGGGCAGTCAATATGCCGGAAGGGGAGCACCTTGAATTGGTAACACATCCCGTCGTGAAGAGAACCGAAGGTACTGCTTGAACGATGGATGTATGGGCACATGCAGATATCGCGATCCTTTAGGTCGATTGACGTGAGCCAATCGCCGGGCTGAACAGATGAGATCACCGAGCGCAGTGTCTCCATCTTGAAGGATGGTACCCTCGAAAGCACGCGGTTCAACCCCTTGAGGTTGAGAATGGGACGGAACCCGCCGCCTTTCTTCGACGAGGAAGTACGCGGAGTAAAATCCCGCCTGTTCCTCTCCCGGTGGAATGCGCCGATTGCGGACTTGTCCAGAAGAGCCTGAACTTCGTCGCTGCAATATGTCCGCCTTGCCTGACATGACGGCACCGAGTGCGCGATGCCGGTGAAGTCGGGCGGACTCCGCTTCCACAGTGGTAAATGGCCTACACTGATGGTGGACAGCACCTGGCAGTTTTGTGTAGCCTTCTCCCATTCCGGCAGGAATAGAGAGAGGCGGCCTCCCACTGGGATGTCGGGTAAGAGCGCTGCGCGTCGCCCCGGTAGCGGAGCTGACTGGAGCGCAGACACACGGCTTGAACGACAGCCTGATGGGTTAACAGGAGCTCGCGGGCTTGCCGAGACAACCGCTGGTGCTCCAACAAGGCCTTGGAGTCCTTGAAGGAGGTAGCTGCATCGCAGCCTCCCCGTGATGACCTGCTGTGCCCCTGGAAAGAGGGTCGCCCCAGACGGAAGGGAGGGCCAGCAAGGTCTGCTGTGTCGCCGAAAGTAACGAGACGCCGACAGCCACAGCTTGCGCTTCCCCATGACTGGCGACATCACCGCCGACGCAGCGGACCGCAAAGAGTCGCTGAGGTGGGCCTGCACTTCAGACAACTGACGGAGTAGCACGACATACGGTGAAACGCCACCAGCATGCCCTCCGCTTCCAGGGCCGACCTCTGAATCGAGGTGAGGTAGGCCTCATGGACCACCACCCTGACCTGCTGCATAGCGCTTCCTGTAAACCTCCTCAGAGGGTACGGCACGCATGCCGCAGGGGCTTCCCGCAGGGGCAAACGGTGGAGTCACACGCCTTTGCCGAAAGCAGCCGAGCTGCTCGAGGAAGCCGAGCCTCCCCTGGCTGACTGAAGTGAAAACACACTCATCCACGATAGGTACCACGAACAGGGAATCCTCCCTAAGCTGGTATCTCCGGACAAGCTCCGGCAAGTCAAAACGGAGGTGAGAACCAGACAAGAGGGGATCGACCACATCCTGGACTAACGATGGAAGAATGCGGAGCTGCGTCTCATGGAACTCAGCCGAAGTCCGAGCTGCTAACAGGCACCGCTGCCTGGGGTAGGTACTTTCGGCAACTTTGCCTGACCTCCCGCAGAGCCGAAGAGAAACGGAAGGCACCCTCCTGCTCCTCGACCTCCCCAGTATCCATCGACTCGGCGCCCGAGCCCGAGTCTGAGGCTGGGTCTCCTCGCGAAGAGGACCCAAACCCCGACCCGGTGGGCGGCCTAGCACTAGGAACAACAGAGAGGGAGGAGCAGACAGAGTGCCCCGCGTCAGTGCCTGCAGGCGTGCACGGACCCCGGTCCCGAGACGCTGGAGGCATACCAGGCAGAACTGGTGCCTCCGCTCTCATGGGGCGGGAGGGCGCAGGGATCGGAACCCCAGGAATCATCAACGGTCCCTGCGCCAACTCCGAGAGGGGGACTGGGAGCACCTCCCTCTCCGGGGCAGCCGAGGCGTCCGGACCCGAAGCCAGAGGCAACGGGTCGACAGACGCCTCAAGGCCTAGGGATCGAGCCGGGCTCGGCGATCCCCCCCCAAGACTCTCCGCCCCACGCTCAGAGTGGGCGAGGAACTCCTGCCGGAGTCCTCCAACCGACTCATGAACGAGGGACCTCATCGAGTCTGCGTGCTGCTGAAACATCTGTGTGATTAAAGTCATGTCAAAACCGCTACCAGGAGCGGGAGCAGGGGACTGGCTACGGGATTTTTTCCCTTTAGACTTTTTAGCCTTAGACGGGGGGACCTGGGTAAGTTCCCCTCCCGCCTCCCGCATCTCTCTATAAAAGAGAGTATCGGCAGCCCTCCTTCTTGAGCCCGGGAAAACCCCATACAAATTTCACAGGTTTCGCCTCATGGCCGGTTTTCTAGGCAGACAATACATTTAATACAAAGTCACAATTATGAAAACAACCGATCGCTTTACTGTTCCTTTTGCAAAGGTAATAAAGACCATACATACAGGTGGTGTTCCAGACATTATTCTTTTCGCTCTGAAAAGGTCAGCTCTGCTCGACATTACATCGTCTGTTAGGGGCAGTGACAGCAGAAGGAATGATGATACGGGCCTAGGTGCTTACCCAGTTGGTGCGCATGCTACGGGAGGTAACTCCGTGAGGTGGGGGCCGTGATAATAAATAAAAGCGATCTTTATGATCACTGTTGGTAATTGTTTCTACTATTCTTATAATCATCAGCAGCAGCAACACATTTGAATAGAGTTGGTTTCAACAGAGCTTTAAGTGTTTCATTTACGGTATCACAGTGAGTATGTATCTGGGGATGAATACAGTTGATCACATGTTTCCACAAAAGACTACTGCAATGTGAATGTTACCTCCTGGCCTGTCAGAAAGAGAAGAATGTCTCCCTCTCCCTCCTCACACATGTGGATCTGTACAACGGTCCTGATGGCAGCCTCCAGATAATCCCGCTCAGGCTCGGGGGTGTAGAAGATCTCCACAGGATGTGTACGACCAGGGACACTCATCAACGGGGCCTTGTCAAAGTATTGCTGCAACACACAACATTAGGTGTTGAGTCGAGCTTGAAGCTCAGTCATGAAACACAATGCATATACTTCAATATCTGATACAGTTTACCACTGATGGGGTGAGTGAGTGAGTTTAGTTTTACGCCACTTTTAGCAATATTCCAGCCATATCACGGCGGGGGACACCAGAAATGGGCTTCACATATTGTGCCCATGTGCGGAATCGAACCCGGGTCTTTGGCGTGACGAACGAACGCTTTAACCACTACGCTACCCCACCGCCCCTTACCACTGATGGAACTATGCCACTAAAGATGATCATCACTACTTCAACTGCTTTTGGCTCAACAGCCATGGAATCAAAGCACTGGCAGACACAATATTCGCTCAACCACAGAGGTGAACTGATAGTTTCATAAATGTTTCCCCACATGAAATCCATTACTAAATAACATGACCATGATTAACATGACACCAGATGTACCTGAAATTTGCCAGCATCGAGGGTAGCACTCATCACAACTATCTTGAGATCTGATCGCTGTTTGGCCACCTCCTTCAGCAGCCCCATGAGGATGTCTGTTGCCAGGGTACGCTCGTGAGCTTCATCCAACATGATGACTCCGTAAGCTTCCAGCAGGGGGTCTGACATGGCCTCTCTCAGCAACATACCATCAGTCATGTACCTAAAAGCAGGGATGGCTCACATGAACAGAGACAACGCCCACAAACCACTGACACCAACAACTCCTACTGTACTTATCAGCACCACACAGATGATAACATATAACTAAACCATGTTAAACATACATAATACTTATAATTAGATAAATGTAATTTTCTGATTAAAATTGATATTTTATACTTATCCTCACTCATGCTAAATGCCTGTCTCCTTCTTCTTGCGAATGATAGTGGAACACTTGAAATCCCTTGAAGTTCCCTTCTAAAAAGCGGACGTAAAATCATCACTCACCAACGAGTAGTCTCCCTTGCCTCCTTTGGCGCCCTTTTGGGTCACATGACCAGCCATGTTTGTTACTCTCTCCGATTGTACGCCCGACACCCGGATTTACAGGGAAATCCAGAGTGCCCTGAGAGGGGAGGTTGGGAGGGCTGACCTCATGAGTCAGGATAAGTATAAAATATCAATTTTAATCAGAAAATTACATATTTTTCCTTATCCTGACTCATGCTAAATGCTTGCAGAATCCGTCGGAATCGGTGGTGGGTCAGGCCACTTCCTGGATTCACTGGCTGCTGTTTTACGTCCTGTATTACCCCCTATGGGAACTTATGACGGCACTGCTGATGATTCTGTTCTTCTAATTTCCATCTGATGAGCCGGGGGGAAACCACAACTTGTCAGATTTCTTCCGAAGCTTCTCATGACATGTTCGTGTGGATTTTAGATACTAGTATACTAATGTTCCATTAGTTATCTATTGCAACTCCATCTCTTGATGCGTGCATCAAGTGGAAATGCGACCCTTCTTCATGTACGAGTAAGTCCTATACAAGTACAGGGTCTATCACTCATGCTAGCCTGTCCTAGACGTGTGCATGGACCTTAACCATTTGCTCTCCAGAGCGTTGGTTTTCACAAGTCACGTGATAAAAGGGTGAGATTTTTCTCAGCGCCTTTGTGGAACCGTTAGTTGTTGTGCTACAACAAGTGGCCCAAACTGGTGAATGCCTGAGACGTCTTCGGTGGCAATGTCTTTGAGGTAGTGGTTGGCAAACACTGTGTCCAAATTTCCAAAAGCAGCCCTCCATTATTGTTGTAATCGAGCAGTTTCCATGCAGAGCAAGTGTAGACGCCAAGGCTCTGACTTCGTGGGGATTGGAGGCTCGTGGAGGCTCAAGTCCTGCTGCTTTGTAGGCCCTTAGTATGATGGCTCTCATCCAGATCGATATCGTTGTCCGTGAGACTTCCGTGGATAAGGGGATGAATAGGCGCTTGAATTTTCGTCTCCTTATTTTTGTCCTTTGTAGGTAGATTTTCAATGCTCTGACAGGGCATACGGATAAATCCTATGTATCCTGTGGCCCAAGGACTGTAGAAAGTGCTGGGATGTAGAACAATCTGTCAGGCTGGCTGGGCAGTTGGTTCTTGGCAATAAAGTCCCATATCAGTACAATGTCTTGATTCAAATCGTGTTCGTTCAAAGTCCAGAGCATGTATTTCTGACATCCGTGCTGCTGTTGCTGGGGTGATCAGAAACAGCGTTTTCTGTGTCAGTAGTTCAAAGGATGTCCGTTCTAGAGGCTCGTAGGCATCACTGGTGAGATGTTGTAGAACTACATTGAGATCCGAGGCATGAGCCTTGAATTTCTTTTGTTGTCTTCCAACTTGAACGAGCGTAGTAGTGCCAGTATCTCTGGTACTTTGGTCAACTTGACACCCGTCTTCATGGTGATAACTGTGCTGAGAGCAGCCAGGTACGTTGAGAGTGTTGAACCGTTTAAGTGTCTCGTCTGTCGCAAATGACACAAGTATTCTGCCACATGAAGATGGGTTGCTTTCACCGCTGTAAAGCCTTTGCTCGTTGCATACTGTTCAAATCTCTGCCACTTGCCGTCATACAAGTTGCGAGTTGATCTGCGTAGAGCTAGTGTTACTGCCTTCGCTGATCTGGCGGATTACCCTCTTGTCTTTAGGCAACCTTTGATACGCTCCAGGCAGGTAGCTGGAACAATGCAGGATTCCCGTGAGCTTGCTTGGTGTGTGGATGGACGAGCAGGTTCGACCACTCTGGTACTTTCAGGGTTGGACTTCCGAGTTCTTGTATGAGGATGGGAAACCATACCCTCGCTGGCCAATAGGGCGCGACCAAAATCAGTTGCAACGTTGTCGTCTGCTTGATTTTCTGTATTACTTGTGGTAATAGTGCTGGAGGTGGAAACGTGTAACATGTAGTCCTTCCCATGAGATACTTAAAGCATCTGTTGCCCATGCCTGAGGGTCTGGAATTGGTGAGACGAATGTTGGTAGTTGTTCGTTGAACTTTGTTGCAAACAGGTCTATCAGCGGAGATCCTACTGTCTGTATGACGAACCAGAACACTTCTGGATGTAACATCCATTCCGTCGGGGATGGTTGAAGTGGACGAGATAGGGCGACTGCTATGACATTCTTTGCTCCTGGAATGTGACATGCCTTCATGTAGGTGTTCCGGTCGTTGACAATGCTGAACAGGAGAAAGCTGAGTTTTAGTAGAGTGGTGACCTTGTTGATCCTTGTTTGTTGATGTAGAGCGCTACTGTGGAGTTGTCCGTGTGGACCGCGAGCCTTGCGTTCCTTAGTACTGCTTTCATCTCCAACAGGTTGATGTGCAGAATTTGATCCTGACTCGACCACTTTCCTGCTGCCACTTCGTTGTCGAGGTGAGCACACCATCCTTGTAGTGATGCATCCACGTAGAGATGAGTGTTGCAAGCCGGCTCTGACAAAAAGGTTCCTCCGCAAACATTCGACTTCTGAGTCAACCATAGGAGGTATGGTTTTAGGCTGTCCGGTAGTATCAGTGGATCCAAACTGTCAAGATGGGCGTTCACAAATATTTGTAGTGGGCGCAGCTGTAATCTCCCTCTGCGAGTCATGTCTTGAGCTGAGGTGAGTAGACCGAGCAAGCTTTGCCAAGCACGTACTGTCAACGGAGAGAGCATTGCTTGAGATATCATATGTTGAATCTTGACCCAACAGCGTGATGAGTCGTATTCCTAGAAATTGAAGATCCTGTTTCGGCTCCAGTTCCGACTTGAGGAGATTTACCAGCCATCCTAACTGAGTGAGAAGCCTGATGGTGAAGTCTAGTTGCAGTCTGAGTTGACTGGGTTCTTGATGAACTATAATTTAGATGTAAAGGTCCAAAAGAGAAAAGGATATGTGCCTCATAGGGACCCAGGTGCTCTCACAACCGTCCTCTAGGGCGAAGAAGTAGAGAGTGACAAACACAGCTGGTCATGTGACCAAAAAGGGTGCCAAAGGAGGCAAGGGAGACTACTCGTTGGTGAGTGATGATTTTACGTCCGATTATTAGAAGGGAACTTCAAGGGATCTCAAGTGGTCCACTATCATTCGCAACCAGAAGGAGACAAGCATTCAGCATGAGTCAGAAAAAGGAAAAATTTATTCTTTACTATATCAAGTTGGCAGCTGATTTCAGGTCACTGATAAAACTAAATGAGGTGACATTTTTAGTCAGCTTTATCATATGGCATCGTGTGGTCATAGCAACCATGACTGACTGACTGAGTTTGGTTTTACACCGCTTTTAGCAATATTCCAGCAACATCACGGCAGGGGACACCAGAAATGGGCTTCACACATTTTACCCATGTGGGGATTCGAGCCCGGGGATTCGAACCCGGGTCTTCGGCGTGACAAGCCAACGCTTTAACCACTAGGCTACCCCACCGCCCCCATAGCTACCATGAAGATTTCCCATTATGTTGCAGCTAACGATCTACTTCTTAGTCACCTCCTATAATAAACATTATTGACCAAGACCCTATTGTGACACATCTGTATCTGGAGCAGTACTGCTTTCAAAGAGAACTGTATGGAAACCTGCCAAATAGCGAGTGAGTTTAGTTTTACGCCACACTAAACAATATTTCAGCTATATGGCAACGGTATGTAATTTATCGTGTCTGGACCAGACAATCCAGTGATTTTTGGCATGAACATCGATCTACGCAATTGGGCACCAATGACGTGTCAACCAAGTCAGCGAGTCTGACCACCCGATCCCGTTAGTCGCCTCCTACGACAAGCATGGGTTACTGAAGGCCAATTCTAACCCGGATCTTCACGGGTACCTGCCAAATAAGCTGCTGTAACAAACACTGAGGGTTGAAATTTATGAGTGTAAAGTATGACCAGTAAAGATATCAGGAAAACAAGTGTTACAATTGTCCATGAACTCAAAGAGGACACACTTCAATAGAGTTTATTACATATTTCTGACGTGATCTAAAGAAATGAAGCCCCCCAAAATAAACACAGCTTTACACATAAAAACAATGCTTACTTCATGACTGTTTTCGATGAGGTACAATCCTCAAAACGGATGTTGTAGCCCACTTCCTGCCCCAGACCGACATCCATCTCCTCCGACACACGCTGAGCCACAGACATGGCTGCCACCCTTCTAGGTTGTGTACAGGCAACTGCCTTCTTGGCGTACCGAGCTCGCACCCACTCCAGACACCACTGGGGGATCTGTATGACCAGGAAGTAAATACATCAGATTCACATTGATGTCATACTTCAGTTCAAACAGAGTGAGTAAGTGAGTGAGTGAGTGAGTGAGAGTTTAGTTTTACGCCGCACTCAGCAATATTACAGCCATATGGCGGCAGTCTGTAAATAATCAAGTCTGGACCAGACAATCCAGTGATAAACAGCATGAGCATCAATCTACGCAATTGGGAACCGATGACATGCAGAGATGCCAACCCTATTTTGGGCCTAAGTGTAATACTAGAGGTCAAAAAGCGTAATTTTGACCTAAAAAGTGTAATATTTGTTTGCCGATCGCTTCAACATGGTACACGTTTTCACGAAAGGAAGATTCTAGACAGAAACACATATGACCAATCATTATGAGGCTCCATACATTGAAAATTGTTGGTCATGTGACTCAAAATACTTTAATTCCTTGCAAGTTCCTTGGAATGAGTGCATTGCTAAGAGTAAGCGATTCCTATCGATGCAAGGTCATTTCTGCACCCTCGCACCTTTGCGTTACGAAACACTTCCCTGTGAAATTTTACCCACTTTATTGATTTTCGTAAAACGAGTAGAAAAGTGTAATTTTCGCAGATTAAGTGTAATGGCATAATTTACTGGTCAAAATCGTAATAATTACGCCTAAAGCGTAAGGGTTGGCATCTCTGAACATGTGTCAACCAAGACAGCAAGCCTGACCACCCGATATCGTTAGTTGCCTCTTACATGGGTTACTGAAGCATATTTTAACCAGACTGGGTACTAATCAAGCCAATCAAGCCAGCATACATATTTTGTCTCTACGTTTCACGCATAATGTAATGCTTTAGTGCCTGAAAAAGGATAGTCAGGTGAAAGCTAATAGTCATGTTTCGGTGATTTGACATTAATTAGGCCAAGATGTTATAAAGTAACGAGTAACGAGTACCACCTGGATACAGTACAGAGTAATCAGTGTTTGTTGTTTATGTTTATTACTTAACGCCACATTTAGCAAATATTCCAACTATATGACAGCGGTCAGTAAATAATCGAGTCTGGACCAGACAATCCAGTGGCTGACATCATAAACATCAAACTGGGCATTTGGGATACGATATGTGTCAACCAAATCAGTGAACCTGATCACCTAATTCTGTTAATCTCCTCTTACAACAAGCATTGGTTGAAGACCAAATTTAACCTGGATCTTCAGAAACAACAGAAGTAGGATTCATTACCTGTGTTGTTTTACCAGAGCCAGTTTCTCCCACGAGCACAATGGTCTGATATTTGGTCATCATCTCCATGAACTTTTCCTTGTACTCCCATACTGGCAGTGTCATACGCTTGTTGAGCAGCTGGTAGTACCGGGGAGAGTAGGGCATCCCTGTAACCAGAACAGTCAGAGAGGGTTTCAACATCAGCAGGGGCACAACATACAGCGGGGTCGCAATATGAGGTGAGGTGAAATTGGGTTTAACGTCGTGCTGGAGAATATTTCGCTCATATGACGACGTGCATGCGTGTGTATGTGTATGTGCGGCTGCTTGTACTAGCCCAGACCTAAGCTGGTTTTATAGTGCTAGCCCACTGAGATACCATGCCGCAGTGAAGAATGTATACCCCACTCAGACACATTATACTGACTCCGAGCCGACCAGTCCTTGTTATACCCATTAATGCCGAGTGCCAGGCAGGGACCAACAAGTACCATATTTTAACGTCTTTTGGTATGACGCGGTCGGGGATCGAACCCGCGACCTTCCGCTCTCCGGGCGGACACTCTAACCACTACACCACGGAGGCGGACGTCGCAATATGATACTTGTCATGACACTATAGGGGAAATACAATTTGTATCTCATTAGAGTACCTTAATTTAATAAACATGAAGAATGGACATTATTTTTTAAAGCAAATGAGTCAAAAACCTAAATCTTTAATTCTTAAAACTTCAAAGATTGAAGGTTGGATACTGTAGGGTAGAAGTACAATACCTTGAGGACACTGTGAATGTAATGCATTGTATAGCAGAGCTGGAAATACTAGCAAATTGTTATTGGACAGTTTCCATTTACATTAAAAAATATGTTATTTATCACACGTATAGTAAGTCTCACCAATATAACATGTAACGCATCATATGTATCACAATACAAGGGTTATATATCAGTGCATTGGACCCTTACAGTTTCACCACCAACCAACTCATGACAAGCATATCGTGGCATGACATGAAACTGTTCCTGGAAATGAAGCACCTTACACGACCCATGATTCAGGTTGATCTGTTTTGCTAGAGTATGTTCCCGTATTATGGCAAGGGAATTAAGGACAACAGGTGTCTCTGGCTAATTGAGTCGTGGTATCATAATCAAGAAGTTGTTGATGCTATGCTCAACAAGCCTTTTGTACCTGTGAAGGGATTCATTTGCAGAGTGGGTCTCGGGATGTTGAACTGCTCAAATATGGACTTGGGCTTGTCCTTGTCCTTATCCTTGTCCCTGTCGCGGTCCCTGTCTCTGTCTCGGTCATCATCTCTGAGAAATTAATGAAAACCATTCTCAACACCATAAAACAGGCACATTGTTTATATGTTGAAACATATCTTAACTTTCATTTTTTCTTGTTAACCAGCTTGGACTACTAAGATAAAAGTCAGTAGACAGATTTAAGAATAAAGTAAAGATTACCAAGAAAAGGGTCAGTAGATGGTAAATATCTTTACTATCCAAATACAACTAGAAGCTTAAGTAAACTGAATATACAGTGAAGCCCTGTTAGTCCGGACTCCGATAATCCGGATGTCTCGCCTCCCGGGCGATTTCAGCTTGTTACCAATCTATGCCTATATAATTTGCCTCGATAATCCGGAAATTCGGTTTCCGGAACCGGACGGTAAGTAGCTGTCACCAATCAGTAAAATAAACAGTAAATTGCTTCACAGTCCGGACGCTGTAAGTCGTGTTCACGAATCGTAACAACACCTCCCGGCGATGTTTACTTAATTAACTGGCCAACTGGGTTGTTGTTTTAATTAGACATTAAAAGCTCCCGACTGAAGATACTGTACATTTACACTTTGATTGACACAATACAAAGGCGTGGATGACAAGTGAGCTGTTTTGTGATTGGTTAATGTACTTTGACAGACAGATGCGGTCACGTGGACTTAAAGTGATTTTGCTTTAAGACAATGCTGCAAGTCACAAGTGTGCTTCGCTAACTTTGAGAAATGTGACCAAATACCACGTCTCATATTCAACCGATGGATGCAGGAATAATTCGGACATTCAAGGCATACTACAATAGATCGCTTGTTAGACATTACCTCACCTGTACTGAGGAAGGACGTGATCAGACACGTCGGATCAACATGCGGATGTCACTCGGTAAAATTATTGATGTGATGAATTAAGCTTTACATTAAATGCTTATTTGTTTTATCCAGATTCGTGTCGTTTTTGTAATAGTTAGGGAAGCAACTTGGGTCTTGATTCTGTAGTCCGGACTATTAGCAATCCGGACGAATTTACTGAGAAACGCAACCGTCCAGATTAACGAGGCTTCACTGTACTTATCCAATCATTTTAATTTCTGATATTGCTACTACTAGACAGGTTTGATATTTTCAAATCATACATTTTTAACCTCTGGTCAGTTCATTATGTATTCAAGCCAACCAGGTTAAGTCAATTCACAAGGTTAATGATCGATTTCAGTTTTCAAATATTTGATCACCCTAATTAAAAAGAAACAATATCAAAAGGTTTGTCATTCATTCTTATGATCAATAGTCACTCTCTTGACAAGTAATAACATGTAAATTGACCATGGTAGTTTCCATAAACTGGGCCCACCTTTAAAAGTAGTCAGACTCAGTAAGTGCCATTTCATCATGAGCTACAGATTCGGTATATAAAGAATCGTTTCTAATATAGCCCCTCCATTTTGAGAAAATACTGCAATAGGGAATCGGGAATGTGCCTAAAACTGCTCCTCAAGAAAATATCACCAAGAAAAACAGCATGAAAAATACAAAACTTTGCCTAGAAAGCTACATTAAATAAAAACGTATACATATACTAGTACATAACTCGTTAACAATAATTTTCTTTTGCTGTCTTTTATTGGTGTTTGACCTACAGTAGCATGATTTGCTATGGTGCTGTTTTAGACTGCACTCCTTGACCATGTTGACTATAATAAAACAACATGCCAATATGAAACGTAGTAGAAAAACTACGAAAGACTTTTAAACCCCATTAGAAAATACGCGATTAAAGGTCGAGATCTAGATGATTTATGAATGTTGTTGATAGATCAATAAATTGGGTTTTTATGTGTGGCACTGGCTGGCCTAGGGCTATCACTACAAACCGTATTTTGAACGTTCATGGAATTACTCTTTGGCTACCGGCTTCAAAGGTTAAATCAAGAGAATATGATTCTGACCCGTCTGACCAAGAATGCTGATCAATTTGTAAGATTCAAAACAACGACAAATATGTATCAAGATGAAAACAAGTTGATCCAACGAATTTAATAAGATAATAACCTTGTCCTTTTGCCGTGAGAGTCGCCCACATCAATGCGATGCCTCTTCGACATGCTGAAAGTCTCCAAAATGGCGTAAACTACCGCTCACCACAGTTTATGATGTACGATAATAGCGTTTACCAGACGTTGAATGGAATGCTGTGTAAGCTGCTCCAGTTATTTCAGACTCAGGTAAGGACAGGTGCCCGTATGAACACATGGCGGATAAGTAACTCCAAACAGCGATATCGGCATCTTTACACAGTGTGCTGAGCGTACAAGAAAGTAGGGCATGCGCTGTTATAGAGTTACAGTATATTTTCCAAAAGTATTATTTTCCAAATAACTAGTACTATATATTTATTTAAAGAAGTGGTGTATATATTTACCTGGCATTGAAATTATACCCTTCAAAGAAGGTAATACGTTTCTATACATTAGATATTTTTTGAATATTTGCAGCAGACAAATACACTCTCTTAATCGATTATTTCTTATTAGCAGATACTTCCACTATTAGTTTGCCTTGAGGTAAAGTAGTTTGTGCAAACACATGGTAGTGTGTACGAGAAAACTTTCAATCATGTCAGACGATGATGTTGATTCCGAATGTATTGGCTTTCACGAAATGGGACTTGACGATCGCCTTTTAAAAGTAAGGAAAAAGACGTGAATGTAAAGTTATGATTATTATACAAAGACAGCAGTGGAAGGAGGATCTAACAATATATATTTTTTATTCCATTTTTATTCCAAGAAGACGTGTGCAAATTGTAATATCCATTTGACAGCAATCCTGTTTCTGATGTGTGTCAATCCATCCATGGTGTAGATCGTCACCAACAACCAGTGGTTTGTCTTGTGAAGACTTGGTCAATTGGTTTGGTTACTTCAGGATGGTTGATCCTCTCACCGTCTCTTGAGCTGAAGGGGTCATTGTGGGCACAGGGGCTACTACCCAGATAGCATTCAGACGTTGGCCCAACATTGGCAATGGTTTTGCCAACATTACCAACGTTGGGCCAACGTCCGAATGCTATCTGGGTACAGATATGTACACCAGGTACATTTAGACAGAAACGTACCTTAGCCGAAATCTGAATACAGAAACGTACTGCTCCATTCTGCACTGTACCGTTTTATTGATGAAAACTGTCATAATCTTTTACTAGATACATTTGATTGTGTTATATAAGAAACGAGCATACGCAGTACTTAACAAATATTTCGCGAAATATATCACTAGCAATCAGTTGAAAGGGTATAACTACATACCTTTTGGTTTGGGGTTGCAGAATATTAACTTGTCTGCCATTTAGGGTACCGGGAACGTTTCTATATTTTGATTTTCGTGTACATTTCCGAATACAGAAATGTACCTGGGGTTCACATCTGTAATACCTGTGCCGACAATGACCCCATCAGTGTCACTAGACTTCTCATTCTTGACCTGAATCCTAGCCAAAATAAGTACAGTACCCAGAACAGCCACTGTCTCTTATCCTGACTTCAAGATATTGTAGACCTGTGAAGGTCCAGGGTAGAATATTGGCCTTCAGTAACCCATGCTTGTTGTAAGAGGCGACTTACGGGATCGGGTGGTCAGGTTCGCTGACTTGGTTGACACATGTCATCAGTTCCCCACTGCACAGATCGATGCTCATGTTGTTGATCACTTGATTGTCTGGTCCAGACTTGATTATTTACAGACCGCTGCTGGAATATTGCTGAGTGCGGTGTAAAACTAAACTCACTAACTCACTTAAGATATTGTCTTGTTTTCTGGAGAAGCTGATATCTTAGAATTCTTGACTGGCCAATAACCTCTGCTGCACCACCTTTACAGATGTGTAGCCCAGGTATGTTTCTGTATACTGGTGGTGGGAATCGGCTGTGATTTCATAATCGATCATCAGTTACAATCGGATTGACCCAACCGATCAATCATCGATTAATAATCGGTTAAATTAAATCACAAGAATACCCTCTATAAATAATAAATATATTACACAAGGTCATGTGTTTGTTATTGTCTCAGACTTCTGAAGGTAAGCAAGTGCAGTTCAGAAACAGATGGTTGAACATGTAGAGGTACACAAAAGAATTTTTTTTTTTATGGTTTATTAGTTACCATCAACAGCATCAATTACAACCATTTAACAAACAACAGATGTCATAAAACACTACATGACTAAATGCCGGTGACTGACTAGAAAAGTGAATCAAAAACATTCAACCAAGGGGAATGAAACCTCCACTCAAACTTTTGCATCTGGGTACTTCTGTTCTACTATTACTATTTATTTAGATACATAAATATGGATACGTAAATAAAGGCGTTATTCACCAAGGGAAAAGCACAAGAAGTGACTCTCTGCTCGCTTTACCTCGAAGATCCAGTTTTACGTATTTAAACTCATTAAAGTCATTTCAAAGAAAGGTAATACCGTATATTACTGTAGATAAACCTAAGTTTGAAGACCAAAAAGTGCAGCTTGTAGAAGGGGTCGGCTTATCTACGAGTAACACTTTCGTCAAGCCCTTTTTTCTGGACGTCGTATCATTTCGCACAAGTGTAAAGAGAAAACGACTTTGTCAGTGAAGACATCAAATGTGCAATTAAACATCACTAAACAAGATTATTTACCTTTCAGTTCTAATTTGCTTTTGCTAGGCATTATGTTATATGCAGGGATTAAGATTACCGTGTGTATTTGTCTCGTATATAGAGCTGGAAATAGCAATCAGCTGTGCACACGTGTGAATAAGGCGGATAGTTATAATTATATATAATTATCGGTAACTGCCAGTTGTCTTGTGGTCGGAGTTGGGTATTCATTACTGTTTTCGTAAGAATTATTATCGACAATCGACTATGAAATTTTGCAATCGATTGTTGCGTCGGGAAAGGGTAACCAAGCAATTTTCAATTATAATCGATCGTCGGAACACCACTACTGTATACCCTAGCCAAAGTCTGATTACAGAAACATTCTGTATTGTGCCGTTTTCTTGATCGAAACTGTCATATAGAAATTGCATAAGAAATGAGCATACACAATAACAAATACTTTGCGATGCATAAGACCTCTCACAATCAGCTGAACAGGAACGGCTACATACAGTTTCAGTTTTTGGTTGCGCAATATGGACTTTCCCCTGTTTAGAGTACCGGGTACAGTTCTGTATACAGAAACGTACCTGGGGTACATACCTGTAGTACCTGTGCCGACAACGACCCCTTCAGCGCAAGTGATAGTGCTACTGTGGGACATTGAACATCATAAAGATGGGAACATTGATCAGTTGTTAATTGAACACTGTTTTCTTTAGATCTATTTCTATGACGAGGAAAGATGTCCACCAGTAAACCCTGATTGAAAGTTTGTCTGGGTTGGGGCAATGTATCTTGAACCAAACATAAATGATATTTCAAAACTTTTAGGTGTTAAATTTGAGGTAGGCTCTACAGGCAAAGGTTTCGCCCATGTTCAGTGTTACTGAACAACTGATTCAAAGTGTTTATGAACTATACATGGTATATTTTTATTGTTACAATATTTCAAACTTTCTCAATCTCATTATGTTTCATAACGTTGAAGTTTTCAGAAACCTACCGGTCCATACAACTTATTACATGTACTATTGTTTCAAGTAGCACTGTTGATTGTTGAACCTGTGATATTCCAGGCAATCTCTAAGTTAGGCTGGAGAAAACCAACCCCTATTCAAGAGAAAGCCATTCCTCTGGCATTAGAAGGCAAGGATGTGCTGGCTCGTGCTCGCACAGGATCAGGCAAGACTGCTGCATTCTGTCTTCCTGTCATACAGAAAATACTGGCAGCAAAGCAGGTGAGAGAAGTTATGACTTATCTTTATATACATATTTTCAAGTGTTCTTCGGAAACAGCGTAAGTTACATATACAACGTGTACATTAAGACACTAATTTATAACTTTCAAACAGAAAACCTTCGTGCATTTACTTTTTCATGCTCCAATATTATATACATGTATAGTTATAACTTATATATCAAGGAATGAATAAGGATATATCAGTGCACTAGGTATTACAGTGAAGTGAGCGAGTGAGTTTAGTTTGACGCCACACTTAGCAATATTCCAGCTATATGGCAGCTATTACAGTGAAGGGGTGAGTCATTCTTTATTATTTCTTTATTTTTTGACTGACACTTCAGCATGCTTAGAAAACAGAATGGTTGAATGTCATCAGCACTCTTCAGCTACAAAATGTGTATAATTGAATTACCATGACTTGAAGGCAGGCATTTATGTGCAATCAAGTTTAGGTACATTTCTGTATACAAGAAGCGACACACCAGGTACATACCTGTAGTACCTGTGCGACAACGACCCTTCAGCATAGTGATGGTGCTACTGTGGGACAATGAACATCATAAAGATGGGGTGATCAGTTGTTAATTGAACACTGTTTTCTTTAAATCTATTTCTATAATGACGAGGGAAAGATGTCCTGGTAAACCCTGATTGAAAGTTTGTCTGGAGTTGGGGCAATGTATCTTGAACCAAACATAAATGATATTTCAAAACTTTTAGGTGTTAAAATTTGAGGGTAGGTTCTACGGGCAAAGGTTTTGCCCATGTTCAGTGTTACTGAACAACTGATTCTAAGTGTTTATGAACTATACCGTGAATATTTTTTATTGTTACAATATTTCAAACTTTCTCAATCATTATGTTTCTAACGTTGAAGTTTTTCAAAAGCCCTGCTGGTCCACATACAACTTATTACATGTACTATTGTTTCAAGTAGCACTGTTGATTGGTGAACCTGTGATATTCCGGGCAATCTCTAAGTTAGGCTGGAGAAAACCAACCCCTATTCAAAGAGAAAGCCGTTCCTCTGGCATTTAGAAGGCAAGGATGTGCTGGCTCGTTAAGCTTACAGGATCAGGCAAGACTGCTGCATTCTGTCTTCCTGTCATACAGAAAATACTGGCAGCCAAAGCGGGTGAGGAAGAAGTTATGACTTATCTTTATATACATATTTTTCAAGTGTTCTTGAGCATGTGTAAGTTACATATACAACGCGGTGTACATTAAGACACCAATTTATAACTTTCAAACAGAAAAAACCTTCCGTGCATATACTTTTTCATGCTCCAATATTATATACATGTATATAGTTATAACTTATATATCATCAAGGAATGAATAAGGATATATCAGTGCACTTAGGTATTACAGTGAAGTGAGCGAGCGAGTGAGTTTAGTTTTCGCCACTCAGCAATATTCCAAGCTATGGCGGCGGCAGCTATTACAGTGAAGGGGTGAGAGTCATTCTTTATTATTTCTTTATTTTTGACTGACACTTGGCTTAGACACTCATCAGCATGCTTAGAAAATAATCAGAGGACATGGTTGAATGTCATCAGCACTCTTCAGCTACAAAGCATTACAAATGTGTATAATTGAATGACCATGAATTGAAGGCAGGCATTTCATGTGCAATCAAGTTTGTAATTTTGGAGGACATCTTCTCTCATAGTGAACATGCCTAGACCCTCCATATTCATAAATTCTCAACTCTGAAGCTGCTTTTGTGTTGACATTGAGTGGCACTACGATGCGCCCTGTTATGATATTTGCATCAATGATGACATGATTTATCCAATTTGTACCTATCCATTAAACTTCTACTTTAAGGTTAGGAGAAAACACTTTTTACTTACATGTTTAATGTCAGATATTGGCCACAATTGTAGTTACTGCCTGGACTTGTATTAATATTTTTATCTCTGTAGTGTCTGTGTGTGTTCTGCTTGGTGTAAGTGTAAAATCTGTGATAGTCCAGTTATTTTACTGTCCTTTATCGACAGTTATGTATATCATCTAGGTTTGTTTGTCCATACAAAGCGCCGCTTTGAATAGCGAGGATTCTTGGGACTATCTATGAACTGCTCAGCGACACCGTCCGTCCCCGTCCATTACATCCCAATTCTTGTTAACTTTGATATGTCATGAACTGTTGTACCCAATGTCTTCAAATTTGGTGACAGCCTACATTGGGGGATTCGCCTTGACCTTATCTTTAAGGCCACCAGTATATTTTGGTGACCATGGCGTTATCTTCAAAGGTCACCACAGGGGATTACAGCCATTGGGATACATGAAAACCAGTTTATTTGGGTGACCTTGACCTTATCTTCAAAGGTCACCACAACTTTGACAGCTTTTCAAGCTTATTTAGCGATATCTCATAAAACATTGCACCCAATGTTTTTTCATTATGTTGACAGCCTACATTGGGTGATTATGCAGACACCAGTCATTTCAGGCATCTTGTATGTGACCAACCAAATAAAAGTAGTAAATATAGATATTCCATCCTTTAGCGGGCGAGCGACATTGCCATATCAGTGGCAAACACTTGTTTTTATCAATATACAACTTTCATAGTCATGATATGGCTGAAATCCTGCCAATGCAACTATATATTTTACTTACTCACTCACCAATTGTTTTGTTTTTTGTTTATAAATTTAAAAGGACACTACAGTTGATTATAACTAGTCTGCAAACAATAACTAAGATTTTCTAATAACAGTGTATGAAATAAAACCAAAATCCAGCCAACCATCAGGGCTGGTAACTTCAAAATGTTACCAGCCCAAAATGGATATATAACCAGACCAAATATGATGAATTTCTAAAAATTTACCCGACCATCGGGCTGGCTAGCTGTAAATTGGACCCGATCCGACAGAAATCTTGCCCGTCTTGGCGGTCGGATGGGCCTTCTTTCATACACTGCTAATAACCTGTTGATTTTCTACGGCACATTACTAAAAGCGTTTGGGGAAGTTGGGGTAGCCTAGTGGTTAAAGGCGTTAAGCTCGTCACTACTCAAAGGCCGAGTTCGATTCCCCACATGGGTACAATAATGTTAAGCCCATTTCTGGTGTCCCCACCGTGATATTGCTGGAATATTGCTAAAAGCGTGAAAACCAAACTCACTCACTCACTCACTAAAGCGTTTAATAATTGGTCACCAATATTCCAATGTTGGTTGCTTAGTTACCGCTGTTTTAGTCTATGTGAGTACAGTCATCATGAGAGATGTGTTTGTCATGCAGGCTGCCTACAGAGCAGTGTGTCGGGCTGTCGTCTTGACTCCATCTAAAGAACTGTGTAATCAAGCCTTCAGAAACATCAAGGTAAAGGGTGACAGGTTGACTAAGTGACTGTGAGGCTGGGGGTTTGTCTAGTGCTTCAGGGTGTTTGCTTAGCCACCCCAGAGACAGTGTTCACGTGGAGGTACAAGTTGTGTATTACTAGGTGTCTTGGTGAATCTTTGAATGGTTTCTTCCACAGTATGCATGTAGAAAATATGAAGTGTCCTGTAGCTGAAAGACCTTAGCGTTAAAGTATACTTTAAACTGGTAAATTATATGTACTATTGAGGTTCAAGCCACACAAGTATTGTTGATGTCTACAGAATTTTATATTTGGTTGGAGTAGTTCAAGAGTTAAGTCCTGGATATTTAATTAATTTATCTTTTGCTTCTCAGACATCAGTTAAAATTTTAAATGTAAAACAAAATATCCTACATGACAAATCATTCCCTCAGCTATTATTATTGTTGATGAACTAGGACTTGACCAGCAGTTGCTCGGGAGGTGAGGTAGTAATGTCTATTATCTCCCAACCCAGCCCTCTGACCTCTCAAAGGTGAGATCATCTTTATCTGTAAAATGTCAACACTTTTGTCAATGTTTTTACCGGTACATTTTCTCAGACCTTTGTTCAGTTTAGGTTTTTGGACATGCATGCACGGCATGACCTGGTCTCGATGAATCAAGTAGCATCTATCAGCAGTTATTTATCTCTATTATACTGGAAAGCTGTAATGATAATTCCACCTATAACATGGATGTTTGTTGGTAAATGTTAATGGAGATTGTTTGTTATTAGGCGATGTTGATGGGCTTGGACGTAAATTAGAACACCTGATGGGTGCTGGCTCACATTGAGGCCAGCAACCTGTGTCGTGACTCTCTGGAGATGGTCATTATAGGCCGAAAGAGCAGACCTTTGGTACTTTCATTTGGATATGAACTTGACATCAAAGACTTCTGGAGTAAGACTTTGTTCCTATACAGGTTTGATTTCAGTATTGGACCTTGGCATCACTCCATTATGTAGAGGATGTTTGCTACATGCATGAAGCATTAACTAATTTAACTTGATATTGAATGAAGTGGGTAAACAGTATTTGAAAGAAAAACATTCCTATTTTTATTATTGTAAGACTACCTACCCAGAATTCTCATTGAAAGTCTAGTGGAGTAAACATAATTTGAAATAAAATCAGTATATTTTTGTGTATTTTGGACACCTGCCAAGGATTTATAATGAATAAAATTGGACAAACATTATTTGAAAAGAAACTATGATTTTTTTGTGTACCTTTAGACACCTGCCAAAGATCTATCAAGCATTTACTGATGTCTACCACTCTGACAGAAAGCGTGAAGGCCCTGAAGAAGATGGTTCTCCACAAGCAGCTGTTAGTACAGTATTTGTTTTGCAAGTGATGTGGAAAGTTTGATTTGATCTGTTGTTGTTTCATGAGTTCAGACTGAGGGATTTGTGATGTTCATGTTTTAATACGTTTGGGGGCAAGGGGATGGGTATTTGTATGTAGGAATAATTATAGGATGTGTCTGAGAGATTTAGTGTGATTTCACATGGTCTTTAACACCTATAATTGTGGCTTCCCAAGAGCACTGGTGGCCCTGGAAGGTGGGTCCTGTGCCAGCCAGTAATTGTGGCCAGGAGCTTGTGTGGCCCTGGATGTACAGACTGGTAATTTTTGGTCGAACTTCTGTGGCTCTGGATGGGGCTGACCCCTATGCTTGGTAGTAGTTGTGACTAAAAGATGTGAGGGTTCTATGCCTCCAACAGAAAGGTATGACAGCTCTGGCCCTGGATGGGTGGAACACTGTGCCAAACAGTAGTGGACTGACTGGCGCTTCTAGTTGGCCTAGTGATTCTCTTGTGATACTAATAGGATTCACACTTTGCGGGTTTGTGTTGATTCAACAAGCCAGACATTTGGATTCAAATCTCAAGTTCTCCCTGATTGGCTTTAGAACGTGTTGCTGAATAGTTCTCATTAGTGTGGTTCGCATTGGTGTTTTATTTTAAACAAATGTGAAAAGAGTTGGTTGCGTGGTTTCAGAACACCTCCGTGTGGAATGGCGACAACATGATGCAACTTGCTGCTTTAAAGTGATGACTTATATATCATGAACATAAACTTTCTGGAGTCTTCAAAAATATTCAGTCATGGCTTTTCAATTAGTGGAGTGAATTTTCTATGAGACTAAACACATTTTCGAAGCTGACAACTAGCGATATGTTCCATTGTCAAAGTATTTCAAAAGACTAAAAAGAAGTAGTTCAAAATGGATTTTATGTTCGATTATGAGAAAATTTGATCGATTACTTGGTTGTTTGGTCTTTCGACCAATATTGTTTTGTCAGTACTGAACTCATTCTCATAGGTTCAAATCAAGCTGATACACAGTAATAAGTTAACTCCAGTAATTCCCAGCCATATAAGCCTTCATAACACGATATGGTTGTGCTTGTTATTAAGCTGACTTATGGTGTGAAACAAACTAAGTCTGGTCAAAATGAACATTTGTGCTCAGCTACTTATCTTATCAAACTTTTTGTCAACAGGTGATTTTGAAACTGGAAGAAAGTGGGCTTCCAGAAACATGGCAGGCACGAGTACCACATCAAGTAGGTCTACATTGTCATGTCAACAAACACTGATGTCACACTAACAAGCAGAATGTTGTCTACCCACTGGAAGATCAGTGAAGAATAGAACAGTTCACATTGAAGACAAGATCTCAAGTGGATGAGATTTGTCATCCCACTTTAGAATGAGGTGTTGATTGTGAATTGAAAGAATATTGTTGTTCATGTTATAAGGTTACACAGGGGCATGAGGTGGGCCAGTGGTCACAATTCACTGTGAGAGTTGTGTAGCTTGCTTGTAGCAGGATCCACTGATTGCAAATTAAGAGCCAAGATTCATCTTGATTATGGACCTTCATACTGATTCTTAGTCATCACAATCCCTGTCCCATAGATTCATGCTCTTATTATTCATCGCTAAACTGAGCCAAGTGGGGATATAGTATTAAGACCACCGTCCGTCGTCTGAATGGAATATCTTAGAACCGCTTCACTAGATTCTTTTCATATTTGGTACCTATGTTCATCAGAGTATATAATAAAGGCCTAAGTCAGGCTTGGTGACCTTGACCTTCATTTCAAGGTCACAAAGGGGGACTTTAACGTTTACCTGCATGTTAAGCTATCTCAAGGACAGTTGACTGGATTTTCTTCATATTCCATACCAAGCTTTATCTAGGAAAGCGCAGGGCCCAGGTCAATTTTGGTAGACCTTCATTTAATTTTTCAAGGTCATGGCTGACACTTTCAGATTTCAGCATGTACACCTGCATGTTAAGCTATCTCAAGAACTGTTCACTGGATTTTCTGCATATTCTAGGCAGCAAAAGCTTTATCCAGGGAAGGCGTAAGGCTCAGTCGATTTTGGTGACCTTCACTTAATGTTCAAGGTCACAGAGACACTTTGAAGATTTCAGTATATTAACCTGCATGTTGTGCTTGTCAGCTGAGATGACTCAAGAACCATTCACTGGAGTTTCTTCATATTTGACACCAAGCTTTATCCAGGGAAGAGTTAAGGCCCGAGTGATTTTGGTGACCTTCATTAACTTTCGGGGTCCTGAATGACACTTTGAAGATTCCAGTATGTTAACCTGAATTGTCAGCAGAGATATTTCAAGAACGGTTCACTGAATTTCTTTTATAGACTTTCGTAAGACTTCCTTGGATGTTTTTCAATAAGCAATTTCTTTTAGTACTTATTTTCATATTTCATACACTATGACATTCATGTCAAGGTCAAAGCCAGTATTGAAAATATGTGTGTGTTTGAACAGCTAAAGAGCAAGATATCAAGAGAGGCTGACTGGTCATGTTTTTGTTGACATTTAACTTCATCCTAAACTTTCATTACTTTATAAGTTTGATTTGATAATTTGCAGGAGAATTATGTCACCTTAGTGACAATGCTTGTGTTAAAGTGTGAGGCATCCATAAGTTAGTGCTTCCTCCCTGTTCAAAGCTGTATTTTGCTCACTCACTCACTCACTCACTCACTCACCACTCACTCCTCACTCACTCACCACTCACTCACTCACTCACTCACTCACTCACTCACTCACTCACTCACTCCTCACTCACTCTATTGCAGGTGTGAAGGCGAGGACACAGTTCACTTTGATGTGTGCCCTGTTCAAGCTGGGGCTAATCAGAGGAAGTCCATCCTGTTTGTCAACTCCCAGTAGACCGGTGCTACAAGTAAGTGAGCACACACTCAGTAAATCCCTGGGGTAGAGGCTGTATGTAGAGACCCTAAAGGGAAGGCCATAGTTTACTGTTACATGTATTTTACTACATAGTCATCATATATATTCCTGATTAAAACGTGAAAGAACATGATCAGCTTAAAGTCGTTATTGACACTGTGAATGATGATGCCTTGAACAGATTAGTCTTGATTTGACAAGTGCTTTAATCCTAGTGACTGTTCGTACAGGTTGAAGCTGTTCCTTGAACAGTTTGGTGTCAATGCTTGTGTCCTCAACTCGGAACTACCAGTCAACTCCAGGTTTGTAATGGCTCATAGAATAAATGTTTTCCTTTTGGGGGTCCACGCAGGTACATTCTCTTTGCTATTACAGTCACAACGTTTCCTTTACTTTTGTGATGACAGAAGTGATCACAAAGAGATCTTTTCCATTAAAGTCGTGGCTTTTGTTTACTTGACAACATAGTCAAAAGTGTCTACCAAACGTCCATTTCATAAATAGCATGTAACAAAAAGGATCTTTGTGCAGTGCTTGCTCAATAAATTGTTTGTCATGCAGGAAACATTTACTCAAGAAGTGTATTGAAATTGGTCAGATGTAACATATATGATGTATTTGGGATGAAACTTTCTTAGTAAAGTACAAATTCTAGTACAGTTTTAGATGGAGTCCCAAATCTTCAGATGTCTTTCTGTCATGTTTTCGATTGTTGTTTGCCTTGAGAGTGTCTTCTGTAGGTTGTAGTTGCCATGGTTACCTGGAGTATCCTTGACCTTGACTTTGCAGGTGTCACATTGTCACCCAGTTTAATGAGGATGTATACAGCTACATCATCGCATCTGATGAAACACTGCTGGCTGATCCCAAACAGAAGCCACAGGACAAGAAAAAGTAGGTCATATTTATGTCGGTTTTTAATTACTGTTGTCAGAGAGGTGTGTTTTATGCAACATCACAAACACATTATGAATGTTTCATTGCCCATGTTGTGAGACTGGACTTGTAATGAATGTATATAAACAGGCTGCTGTGATGTACAATATTGTTTCACTGACCCTAACTCTGCATGACTTGGGGAATGTTTCAGACACAAGAAGAAGATCCATGAGTATGGAGTGTCCCGCGGAATTGATTTCCAGAATGTTTCAAACGTGATCAATTTTGACTTCCCCCGGAATGTAGAGTCCTATATTCACCGAGTAGGCAGGTAGGTATTTGACAGTTTTAGTGACTTATCTCACTGCCAAAGCATATAATGTGTGGATCCTGTCCTGACTGGGATAATGTTGGAAGTTTTCAAAAAGTAGCAAAACATCGAAACTCACCCAGTAGCTTATTGTGTACATCTAGGTCTACAGCAACCCATGCTTGTCATAAGTGCTGGCTACCAGGTTTAGGTTGTCAGGCTTGCTGGCTTGGTTGATGAATGTCATTGTATCACAGATCTGCAGACAGATGCTTGTGTCAATCACTGGATTGTCTGGTCCTTATTCACAGATCATTATGATATAGAGGGAATATTACTAAGTCTGGCTTTAAACAGCAAAAAAACAAACACTCAGTATCTTACCAGGATTGTTCCTCATCTTTTTGGGGGTTGGGGTGGCCTAGTGGTCAAAGCGTTCGCTCATCATGACGAAGACCCGGTTTCGATTCCCCACATGGTTACAATGTGTGAAGCCCATTTCTGGTGTCCCCCACTGTGATATTGCTAAAAGGCAGTGTAAAACTAAAGTCACTCACTTTCAACAAGCATCGATTGCTGATGATCAATTCTAACCCGTATCTTCTCGGGTTAAACAAAACAAATAAAACCATCTATGGAACATGGATGTCAGATCTCACAGCATCATGTGAACCATCCAATGTTGTAAAGATGTCAGCTGACCACATATATGTTGATGACTACAGGACAGCACGAGGGAGTAACCATGGCACAGCGCTGTCGTTCGTCAACATCAAGGAGATGTCCATGTTGCAAGAGGTGGAGGATGAACTAGCAGATCATGCACGTAGGTAGACTGATACATCCTTGCACATTTACGTACAATTGTTTTGATCCATATATCCACGACCCTCAGAATAATGTAATATATCTTTGTACCCTTCCTTCATCCTGTCAAGTGTTTTTGTCAGTTCCCTTCCTCCCCAACGTAGTTTATGTGTCATGATTACTCGTCTGTTTTTCAGCGGAGGGTGAAAATCTCTTCAAACCTTACAACTTCAAAATGGAGGAAATTGAAGGCTTCAGATACCGAGCAAGGGTGAGGTGCAAAATATGCTACAACACAAGGAAACTCAAATATGAATCAATTCTGTTTCAATTAGTTGGTAATTTGGAGGGGGTGATATTGATGAGGGAAAGAATAGTTGTGTAAAACTTTTCACGATGCCTAGTATTTCAGCATCAAACCTGTGATGGGAGTAGTTGACCTCTCTGATCTGTCGCTGTTTAAGTTTAAAAAAATTGAAACAGTTTTGTCATATTTCTGAAACACTTTTTGGGGGGGAACAGGTGGCCCAGTTGTCTGAGGTTCCACAACTTGCTGTGCATAGTTGCATTCTTTGGGCACAACAGAAACCTGATTGTAGGTTTGAATCCCAAACTGTCCTGATTATGGTTTTGGGTTTGCCTGCAACATTCCCGTGCTCATAGGTTTTTAGTGGTAAAGGTCTTTAAAAATAACTGGTATACAGCTAAAAGCAGCATTAAACCTAAGCCACTCATTCACTGATATATTGTTCAAAATTCACTCACTCTTAGGGTTTTAGGTTTTTGTTGAACAACAGACTGCTACAACATCATATTCACACTCACTCACTCACTCACTCACTCACTCACTCACTCACTCACTCACTCACTCACTCACCCACACACTCACACACTCACACCACTCACCCACACACTCACTCTCACCTCACCCACACTCACTCACCCACCCACCCACCCACCCCACCCACCCACCCACCCACCCACTCACTCACTCACTCACTCACTCACTCACTCACTCACTCACTCACTCACTCACTCACTCACTCACTCACTCACCCACTCACCCACTCACTCACTCACCACCAATGCTGCTGTGATGTAGATGTGTTGTTACTGGCAACTTTATAAAACACTATTTACTCACTCACTCACTCCAGGATGCAATGCGGGCGGTAACAAGGCTGGCCATCCGAGATGCCCGAATGAAGGAGATTAGACAGGAGCTGCTCACAACAGAGAAACTAAAGGTAGGCCACAGGTTGTTCATGAAGCATTATATCAAGCCTATACACATAGGCTGGTTGTTGGTTGTTAAAGGGGACCATATTGGGAAGCTGTGGGTGTTAAACTTCACCAGCAACTTCCAGCAACCTAAGCAGGTTGTAAGGAGTGACTGCTTGTATCGGGCTGCCAGACTCTGGTCTCCAGCAACCTAAGCAGGTTGTAAGGAGTGACTGCTTGTATCGGGCTGCCAGACTCTGGTCTCCAGCAACCTAAGCAGGTTGTAAGGAGTGCCTGCTTGTATCGGGCTGCCAGATTCTGGTCTCCAGCAACCTAAGCAGGTTGTAAGGAGTGACTGCTTGTATCGGGCTGCCAGACTCTGGTCTCCAGCAACCTAAGCAGGTTGTAAGGAGTGACTGCTTGTATCGGGCTGCCAGACTCTGGTCTCCAGCAACCTAAGCAGGTTGTAAGGAGTGACTGCTTGTATCAGGCTGCCAGACTCTGGTCTCCAGCAACCTAAGCAGGTTGTAAGGAGTGACTGCTTGTATCGGGCTGCCAGACTCTGGGTCTCCCCGCAACCTAAGCAGGTTGTAAGGAGTGACTGCTTGTATCGGCTGCCAGTCTCTGGTCTCCAGCAACCGAAGCAGGTTGTAAGGAGTGACTGCTTGTATCGGGCAGCCAGACTCTGGTCTCCAGCAACCTAAGCAGGTTGTAAGGAGTGACTGCTTGTATTGGGCTGCCAGACTCTGGTCTCCAGCAACCTAAGCAGGTTGTAAGGAGTGACTGCTTGTATCGGGCTGCCAGACTCTGGTCTCCAGCAACCTAAGCAGGTTGTAAGGAGTGCCTGCTTGTATCGGGCTGCCAGATTCTGGTCTCCAGCAACCTAAGCAGGTTGTAAGGAGTGACTGCTTGTATCGGGCTGCCAGACTCTGGTCTCCAGCAACCTAAGCAGGTTGTAAGGAGTGCCTGCTTGTATCGGGCTGCCAGATTCTGGTCTCCAGCAACCTAAGCAGGTTGTAAGGAGTGACTGCTTGTATCGGGCTGCCAGACTCTGGTCTCCAGCAACCGAAGCAGGTTGTAAGGAGTGACTGCTTGTATCGGGCTGCCAGACTCTGGTCTCCAGCAACCTAAGCAGGTTGTAGGGAGTGCCTGCTTGTATCGGGCTGCCAGACTTGGTCTCCAGCAACCTAAGCAGGTTGTGAGGAGTGACTGCTTGTATCGGGCTGCCAGACTCTGGTCTCCAGCAACCTAAGCAGGTTGTAAGGAGTGACTGCTTGTATCGGGCTGCCAGACTCTGGTCTCCAGCAACCTAAGCAGGTTGTAAGGAGTGACTGCTTGTATCGGGCTGCCAGTCTCTGGTCTCCAGCAACCGAAGCAGGTTGTAAGGAGTGACTGCTTGTATCGGGCAGCCAGACTCTGGTCTCCAGCAACCTAAGCAGGTTGTAAGGAGTGACTGCTTGTATTGGGCTGCCAGACTCTGGTCTCCAGCAACCTAAGCAGGTTGTAAGGAGTGACTGCTTGTATCGGGCTGCCAGACTCTGGTCTCCAGCAACCTAAGCAGGTTGTAAGGAGTGCCTGCTTGTATCGGGCTGCCAGATTCTGGTCTCCAGCAACCTAAGCAGGTTGTAGGAGTGACTGCTTGTATCGGGCTGCCAGACTCTGGTCTCCAGCAGCCCAAGCAGGTTGTAAGGAGTGACTGCTTGTATCGGGCTGCCAGACTCTGGTCTCCAGCAACCTAAGCAGGTTGTAAGGAGTGACTGCTTGTATCAGGCTGCCAGACTCTGGTCTCCAGCAACCTAAGCAGGTTGTAAGGAGTGACTGCTTGTATCGGGCTGCCAGACTCTGGTCTCCAGCAACCTAAGCAGGTTGTAAGGAGTGACTGCTTGTATCGAGCAGCCAGACTCTGGTCTCCAGCAACCTAAGCAGGTTGTAAGGAGTGACTGCTTGTATCGGGCTGCCAGACTCTGGTCTCCAGCAACCTAAGCAGGTTGTAAGGAGTGACTGCTTGTATCGGGCTGCCAGACTCTAGTCTCCAGCAACCTAAGCAGGTTGTAAGGAGTGACTGCTTGTATCAGGCAGCCAGACTCTGCTGATGTACCGTGACATCATGTATTGCTGACTAGTTAATGTCTGTGGTATAAGGACAGTTATACTATTTTCTATACCTGGATTTCAGTCTCACTTTCAAGACAACCCTCAAGACCTGAGAGTGTTGCGGCACGACAAAGCTCTCCACACAGTCAAGAAACAAGTCATTCTCAAGCACGTCCCAGACTACCTCGGTAAGTCACTGAACTGATGAATGGTTACGAACACAAAAGACTGAGAGCCTTGACTATGGAAACAGGCAATCAGCACTGCTGGCAGATGTAGTTCATTATACACTGTTGGGATTCCAAGTCACTGTAGTCAGCCAGTACCTACAACTTATTGTGAATAAAGCTTGCATCCAGTAGTCAGTTACTTGGCTGGTTGAATGTCGTCATGCCCTTCGATTCACCTGATGAAAGGGCAAGAAGTAGCCCAGAAATGTTGTGTTGTAAATATTAAAGAAATTGTAAATGCATGCCATACTTTGTTATGTTACCTTCCAACTTCTACATGCCAGCATCTCACCATGTCCTTGTGCTCACCCTCTAGGTGAGGTGAAATTGGGTTTTACGTCATGCTTGAGAATATTTTGCTCATATGACGACGTGCATGCGTGTGTATGTGTGTCTGCGGCTGCTTGTACTAGCCCAGACTTAAGCTGGTTTTATAGTGCTAGCCCACTGAGATACCATGCCACAGTGAATCATGAATACCCCACTCAGACACATTATACTGACTCCGAGCCGACCAGTCCTTGTACCCATTAATGCCGAGCGCCATGCAGGGACCAACAAGTACCATATTTTAACGTCTTTTGGTATGACGCGGTCGGGGATCGAACCCGCGACCTTCCGCTCTCCGGGCGGACACTCTAACCACTACACCACGGAGGCGGTCTCACCCTCTAGGTCACCCCTGAAGTACATAGCTTTGTTTTAGTTTCCAACACTGATAATATATCTACATTGAACCAAAATAGTTACAGATCAGGAATATTTGGGTGGATATTTATATGTAATTTGTAATAAAAAAAAGAAGTTTCATTTGCCACATGCCTGCATTCATGTATATGAAAAATTGATCTTCGATTTTAGGTAATATCAAGTGTTTTGTGATGTTGAAGAAGCCACTGTCTTGCCAGTCTTGTGACACAAACACTAACCAGCGAAGTTAATCTGGTTGAAGAATGTCTAATTGTGTCCACTTTCTTCTTGGTCAGAAATGTCATTGTGTTGTTGTTTCAGTTCCGAAGACTCTGAAGAATCTACAGCAGGAGGAAAAGACGGACAAAACCAGAAAAAGTGGCAAACACGGCCCATCAAGGGGACAGCTGAGGTTCAAGGTCAGCCATGAATCCCACCATATTCTGGGCACCATATTGTGTGAACCTTTGTTAAACCAGAAACCCCTTTCTTGGACAACAACTGATGTGATGTATTATGTACATAGATCTCAGTTCATGAGTGTATGTCAGATACCATTTATCTGTTGTTTCAAAAGGCATTTAGCATGTGAAAGTGGACTGGATACATTTTGGAACAAGTTCTGTTTCTTACACCTCTACTTCAGCACTGAATCAATGCATATTTTGTCTGTGACAGTGGCAGTGGCAAACACAACACATCCAGCTTTATACTTATACCAAGTGCAGTGCTCCACAAAAAACATTTTAGTCACATTTTAGGGTTATTGAGACAACAATTATGATGTTGCATGCATAGTTAATCTCTATCATGTCATAAATGTTTTAAGTTTTCGTCAGGTGATTTCATTGCTAACATGCTTCTTACAGAATGTTATGTTCAAGTAATTCCCAAAACAACTACAAATTTGATCTGTTTTCAGAAAAGACAAGGAGATCCTTTGAAAGGTTTTGAGTTCACTGGTCTCAGCACAAAGAAGAAGAAGAAGAAAGCAAAATAGAGGAGAGATGGTGCCGCTTGTATAAATCTGTAAATAAATATAAAAATTATTGAATATGGATGCCTGTGTCATTGTTGCCATGTTTGGTTTATAAAGTCACATTGACACTTGACCCGTGAAGGTCCAGGTTAGAATGAATCTTCAGTAACCCATGCTTGTCGTAAGAGGCAACTAATGGGACCAGGCGGTCAGACTGGCTGGCTTGGTTGACACATGTCATCAGTTCCCAATTGTGTAGATCGATGATCATGCTTGTTGATCACTGGATAGTCTGGTCCAGACTCGATTATTTACAGACCGCTGCCATATAGCTAGAATATTGCTCAGTGCGGTGTAAAACTAAACTCACTCACTCACATTGACACTTAACTCATGAGAACACAAAAGTGGGTGATATCTATTAAACAGACCTTCTGAGCAATATTTTTATTTTGTTACGAAATGTCAGCTTAATGTTGGAGGAACGCCCAAAGTGATGCAGATCTCGGACATCTACCACTTTAGTTAAACCCTGGTGAGTTGCTGAAAAACCTACCTTTGTACATAATGAGAGTGAGCGAGCATGTTTAAACGCCGCTTTTAGCAATATTCCAGCAATATCACAGCAGGGACACCAGAAATGGGCTTCACACATTGTGCCCATGTAGGAAATCGAACCCGGGTCTTCGGCATGACGAGCCAATGCTTTAACTACTAGGCTACCCCACGGCCCTATGTACATAACAAAGGCAAATGAAAATTTGGTCCAGCAATCATGAGTTTCAATCATGCACAAAGAACGCAGCTCTGTACAGTGAATTTAAAGGACTGGGCCACATTTGCAGCCCTACAAAATTCAGAAAATACGAGAGAACAACCAACTTATTTCCAGATTTATTGATATTTTCTCTACAAACCATACCTGACAACAGTAAGACGTGTTTGTTACCGGTATTATTACAGCTGCTCAGTACAAAGGTCACAAATACATAACAGTTACACTTCATACAGCTCAGACAGCATACCTGTATTCTACTCACCTTTTGGTGGGGATAATGAAATGTGGAAGCCTTTCAGTTGAACTTATAGAAAAATAGTAAATCCATAGTACTCAACCTTAAATAGGGATATTGAGGTGTTGAAGCCTAAAACTTTGGCACATAAGTACTACCCAGCTTTGATAGGGATGGGTTATGGAAACTTAGTCACATGAACTTGTGAAACTATATGCCTCTCAATACTTTAAAGGTATACAGGATATCTGTCCAAAATTCCTGTTTTTATTGGTTTACTGACGTGGACATTAGTAGGATGCACATGAACCCTCTACACTGGATAGCTTTGAAAAGTTGAGTGGCATTGTGTTCTATATAAATGGGAGGGATAGACAGTAGACTTTACAAAAGTTATTTATTTTCAAATTCAAGATTTAGTAGTAAAACCTTGTTAAGAAGTTTATGATGTCGTCTAGGACGACTCCAGACCAGGTTAGAGACTCCCTGGGATGCTTAGTAGCGAGGCTCTCTTTAGCCCAATTAAAATACACATGCTCATACTGGACACCAACGGTGAGACTGTAACATTTTTAAGTCAGTGATTGGATATGAACCACGGCCCTTCTGATCGAAGGTTGGGTCCCTGTCGACATGACAGAGGCGGTTATCCCGCCATTAATGCTGTCCTCTGTAAGATGACACTACCTCTCCTTGAACAAGAAGCTTTTTCTGAGTACAAAATATAGTGTTGCGTCAAGGTCAAATTGACTGGTGTGAATGATTGACTACAGCAGTGTTTGGCACATGGGAAACTCCAGCCTGCAACACAGCAATCACTGTACAACATCCCATCAAACATGTATTAGCAGTAGAACTGTACAGTATCCCAGTACACATCTAGTAGCGATGTAACTGTACACAGTGTAACAGTAAACCATTGCATCACTACATCAGAATATACACCATCGCCACATTAAACAAACACTGAATGGACCAATGAAACTGCACGTTGAATAACATTAAATGGATTTCACAACATGTTCTTTCAATATACAGTCATCCCTCGCTATAACGCTGGGTCAAATTTTCCAAACCTGCAGAGGTTTTCAATTCTTTGAAGAGAGTCGTCCTTGGGGTACATATTATGCATTTTCCGGCTGTAAAATGTCCTGTGACAGTTGTATCAATGTTTTTTGAATAAAAAGATTGTACAATAAATAAACTCTTTTATTTATTATACGGACCCTACCTCACGGAGTTACCTCCCTTAGCGCATGCGCACCAACTGGGTAGGCTCCTAGACCCGTATCATCATTCCTTCTGCTGAATTCTCATCAGTGAACAGAATTGCGGGGAGGTGGTGGGTCTACACCCCAAGGACGACTCTCTTCAAAGAATTGAAAACCTCTGCAGGTTTGGAAAATTCTTTTTCAGAGAGATCGTCCTTGGGGTACATATTATGCATAAACACAGACTCCCAAAGACCGGAGGCCAGGGAGGAGGGAATTCTGTCCAAGCACACACAAAATATAGCGATCGTATCATGGAAAAAAATTGAACAGACGCCATAACACTCACCTGTCACTCGACCCAGTTTCGCTTCCGCGAGAGGCATTATGGGAGGGGAACTGACAGGGAGGATTTGTGCTCAAAGACGACCTCTAGCATAATGAGACATTGCACGTAGTGCGAATGTCAGTGAAATCCGACCCACTAAGTGGCTTCTTCGTGAGAGCACCGTAGGGGGAAAACAAAAATACCACTCACTAACGATATCGTAACTCCTTAGAGAATCGAAAGGGGGTACAGGTTCTCTGAGTGCTCGTAGCAGACATGTCAATAATGGAATCATTGTACAGTAGCGTCAACACAAACCAATAAACCAAGACTCACTTGGTCAGGGTGGCAGGACACTGTCCACTGGAGAGAACGGTACGACCAAAGCTCGCACGATTGCGTGAATGTGTATCGAGCTGATAATGGCGTATAAAAGTGCTTGGCCGGCTCCAAATAGCGGCAGAGCAGATCTCTTCAATGGGGAGTGCCGCTGCAAAAGCTTTTGATGCGGCTACTGCCCTGACCGAGTGAGCCTTCAACCCCTCAGGGGGAGGCTTGCCCTTAGCCTGATAAGCGGCACAAATACACGAAACAAGCCAGCGAGACAAAGTTTGCTTGCTCGCTGGCAGACCAGCCTTCCCGCCACCGTAACAACAGAACAGCTGGGTACCCGTACGGATCCCCTGCGTTCGTTTGATATAGACTTTGAGCGTCTTACGGACATCCAACGGGTGAGTGCTCGTAGGAGTGGTCCCCGATGTGGAAGGCTGGGTAAGAGTAGGAAGTTCGATAGGAGCTGTCACATGGAAAGCGTGATCGACCTTCGGTCGGTAAGTATCTGGGAGGCGAATGCTGACACGATCCGTGTGAAACACAGTCAGCGCCGGGTCGGACGACATAGCATGTATATCGCCGACTCTTCGACCAGATGTTACCGCCACCAGAAACACAGCTTTCCAGGTCAACAACTGAATGGAAATAGCCGATAGGTGTGAGAAAGTGGGACCGGACAGCCAATCGAGCACGATCGACAAATCCCAAGGTGGACTGGTTCGCCTGAGAGCAGGTCGAATCCGCCCGCCAGCCAGCTAGAAAGCGCTGTACGAGAGGGTGCTGCCCCAGAAGAGCACCATCGACAGGGGTGTGAAAAGTGGAAATAGCGGTGGAGTAGCCACGAATGGTCGAAGCCGCCAGGCCTTCTTCCAAACGAGCTTGCAAAAACTCCAATACTCGGACTAAATCCGCAGAAAAGGGATCTGCAATGCCCCTATCTGAACACCAGCGCCATAGCGGACCACCTATCCTCATACTGAACGCTTGTCGAATCCTTCCACCGGGCCAGAATTGTGTCTGCAACTGCTGCAGGAATTCGCGCGTCTCGAGGTTAGACCTGACAGAGGCCAAGCCACCCACTGAATCCGTGGATTTGGGTGGGCGCCCGCTCTGAGTGAGAATGTCCGGTCGCAAAGGTAATAGAACAGGAGGCTGAGCCAGAAACCTGAGAATTACCGGAAACCAGCTCTGTGACGGCCAAAGCGGTGCCAGTAGCACAAGTAGCCGAGCTGGCTGGGTGGACAGCTGTGAAAGGACACGGGAATGAGTGGTAACGGCGGGAACGCCCAGAGCACTTTGCCCGTCCAATCCAGCAGGAAGGCGCCGGCAGCCAACGCCTCTGGTCCGTATCCGAGCAGAACACGGTGTCTGATGCGCCCCGCCGACGCAAACAGATCCACCTCGAACGACCCGCATAACTGGGAGATTACTGTGAATATCTGCCTGTCGAAAGCATCCACTGCAAGGGCCAGGATCCGCGAGAGCGCGATCTGCTCGCACGCTCTCCAGCCCCGGAGATAAACAGGAGTACCTGACAATCGCATTGGTCGCCCAGAGGAGAAAGTCCCACGCCTCCCGGAGGAGCGCTGGGACACCGCGCCTCCCCTGCTTCAGGATGTACGACATGGCCGCCTGGTTGTCTAACTGAAGACGGACTACCTGGCCACGGACATGCTCTCTGAAGCCCGAATACCAACCGCACAGCTCTCAGCTCCAACACGCTGATGTGAAGGTGAGCTTCGCTTCGACCAGAGTCCGGAAGCCGACAGACTGCCCAGAACGCCCCCCGCCCGTGAGGGACGATCTGTCTGAACTGTGAGAGCTGGCGCCGGATTTCCAAGGGGAACCCCTGGTGAGATTCCCCGACATTTGTCCACCACTGAAGGTGAGGTGTCAACCACTGGGACTGTGAGACTGCGCCCAGATCCTCCGTGGAGTCCACAGCCCAGCCAAAGCTTGCTGTATGGGACGATTCAACCGCGCCCGCCACACTACAGAGATCGCCGCCGCCATATGGCCCAGTAGACGGAGCCAAGTCCGTGCTGGTGCCTGGGGCTGGGAGAGGAATGAAGATACCATCTCCTCGAACTCTGGTGACCCGGTCGGGCGACAAGGAAACGAGATCCTTGTTCGCTTGAATCGCTTCCAAGAAAACCAAGTCCTGGGTGGTACCAGGTCGGATTTCTTGAGGTTGATGATCCACCCCAGTCGAAGTTAGAATGTCTATCACTGTGTGAGCAGCATCTTGACTGCTGGCTGTGTTAGTGCTCGAGCAACCAGTCGCCTAGGTAAGGGTAACAACGCTTCCTTTGCGAGCCAGCTAGGGTAGCTGGGACTAACATGAGCTTGGTGAACACCCTTGGGGCAGTCGATATGCCGGGCGGGGAGCACCCTGAATTGGTAATACATCCTGCCGTAAGAGAACCGGAGGTACTGCTTGAACGAGGGATGTATGGGTACATGCAGATACGCGATCCTTAGGTCGATTGACGGAGCCAATCGCCGGGCTGAACAGATGAGATCACCGAGCGCAGTGTCTCCATCTTGAAGGATGGTACTTCGAAAGGCATGCAAACCCTGAGGTTGAGAATCGGACCGAACCATGCCGTCTTTCGGACGAGGAAGTACGCGGAGTAAAATCGCCCGCCGTTCCTTCCGTGGAATGCGCCGATTATGGACTTGTCCAGCAGAGCCTGAACTGTCGCGCAATATGTCCGCTTCTGGCTTGGCATGACGGCACCCGAGTGCGCCAGATGCCGTGAAGTCGGGCGGACTCGCCTCCACAGTGGAGATGGCCTATGCTGACCGTGGCCAGCACCCGCTTGTTGGTAGCCTTCTCCCATTCCGCAGCGAATAGAGAGAGGCGCCTCCACTGGGATATGGGTAGGAGCGCTGCAGCGCGTGGACCTAGTAGCGGAGCTGACTGGGTGTGACACACGGCCTTGAGCGGCAGCCTGTTGGGTTAACGGGAGGTCGGGCAGACCTCCCGCTCGCCGCCTAAAAGGCTGGGGAGCTAGTCGGCGACTGCTCCTTGCCCCTACCTCTGGCGGACTCCACTCTCCGCCTACCCCTACCAAGCGCCGGCCAGCCGGGCAGACTCGGTGTAGGCTGCACCTCCGGAGGAAGGTGGCATCGAGCGCTGGGCGAGTGACACCCGCTGGTGCTCCAACAAGGCCTTAGAATCCTTGAAGGAGGTAGCTGCAGCGCAGCCTCCCCGCATGACCTGCTGTGCCCCGGAAAGAGGGTCGCCCCAGACGGAAAGGGAGAGAGCCAGCAAGGTTCTGCTGTGTTGCTGCCGCTTGTACCTAGACGCCGACAGCCACAGCTCTGCGATCCCCATGACTGGCGCGACATCACCGCCGACGCAGCAGACCGCAAAGAGTCGCCGCCGCAGGTGAGCCTGAATCCTCCGACAGCTGACGGAGAAGCACGACATGCGGCGACACGCCGCCAGCATGCCCCTCCGCTTCCAGGGCCGAATTTCTGTATCGAGGAGAGGTAGGCCTCATGGACCACCACTGCGCACCTGCTGCATCGCTGCCCGTAGACCTCCTCGTAGGTCCCGCACGCTGCGTCGCAGGGGGATTCTCGCGAGGGCAAAGGTGGAGGAGGCGCCTTGCCGAGCAGCCGAGCTGCTGCCGAGGAAGCCGCAGCCTCCTGCGGGCGACGGAAGTGAAAACACACTCGGCCCACTCCATCGGTACGACGAACAGGGAATCCTCCCCAAGCTGGTAGCGCCAAGACGAAGTTCAGGTAAGTCAAACCTGACTCGGTACCAGACAAGAGGGATCGACCACGCCCGCGCACTAACGATGGCAGAATGCGGAGCTGCGCCTGTGAGGGGTTGCCTAGGGCAAAACCACCAGGCAAGCGGAACTCAGTCGAAGTCCACGCAACCAGCAGGCACCGCGCCTGGGTAGGCCCCTCGGCAATTCTCTGCCGACTTCCGCAAGGTCGGGGCAAAACGGAAGCTGCCGTCCATGCTCCTCGACCTCCCCGAAGCCCATTGCCTCGGTGGCCCGGAGCCCGGAAGTCAGAGGCTGGTCTCCTCCGCGAGGACCCTAACCCCACCGTGGACCGCCTAGCGCTGGGCACCACAGGAAGGGAGGAACAGACCGACTGCTCCACGCCAGCGCCAGCCGGGCGGCGTGGGACCCCGGTCCCGACGCAGGAGGCAGGCCAGGCAGAACTGGTGCCTCCGCCTCATGGGCGGGTGTGCAGGGACCGGAATACCAGGAATACTCAACGCCCAAGCGCTAAGCCCGAGGGGACTGGGAGCACTCTCCTCTCCCGAGCAGCCGAAGGCGTCCGACCCGGCCAGAGGCAACGGATCGACAGACGCCAGGCTGAGGGATCTAGCCGGTGGCCGGCGCATCCCACCCCGGACTTCTCCGCCCGTCCGGAGTGGGCGCAGGAACTCCTGGCGGAGACCTCCAACCGACTTCTGAACGAAGGACTTCATTGAGTCCATCTGCTTCTGAAACATCGACTCCATTAGAGACATGTCAAAACCACTTTCGAAGTGGTAGGAGAGGGGAAGGGCCACGGGATTTTTCCTTTTGGGACGCCCGCTTTAGATTTTGACGGGGAACCTGCGTCAAGGTCCAGTCCCCTCCACCACGCCATCTCGCATGTAAAACAGGGTGGGGATTCGCCTGCGTGCCCGGGGAAAAGGCCAGACAAATTCGAACATGTATCAGCCACATGGCCCGCTCTTCTCCAGACAGGCCACGATTGGGAGTGACTGTCAGCCCGGGGAATACTTCCCCACAGACCCAACAACAGGTAAAGCCTGAAACAAACACGTAAACATGTTAGTTAACTTGTGGCCAGAAGCAGAGAAACACGTGAGAAACATTGAAAAAAATACGTGAAGGTTACCACGAAAGTAATAGTTGGTTTTAAACGCTAATATTACGCACCACGCCGCACGCCTAAACTTCCGCCATGGCAGAGCAAACTTGCGTGAAACCACGGAAAGTTTATGCGTATTTTGATAGTACTTATACAAAGTCATTAATTATGAAACAACCACTGTAAGGCTTTACTGTTATTGTTTTTAGACAAATAAAACCCAACATACAGGTGGTGTCTCAGACATCTTAAAATACAGCTACATCGTGCACGGCTCATGAAAGGTAATCACAACTAACGCCTGTTCAGGGCCGTGGACAGCAGAAGGAATGATGATATCGGGTCTAGGGAGCCTACCCAGTTGAAAGCATGCTTAAGGGAGGTAACTCCGCGAGGTAGGTCCGTGATAATAAGTAAAGAGTTTATTTATTGTACAATCTTTTTATTCAAAAAACATTGATACAACTGTCACAGGACATTTTACAGCCGGAAAATGCATAATATGTACCCCAAGGACGATCTCTGTGAAAAAGAATCAGAATTTCTGTTTCACATACAAGAAATTTCACGTTCTAACTGGTCGTATCTTGAAAATATTCATCAATCTTACAAGATGCCATGGAAGCACACAGATTCGTTACTACCAGAATTTCTACTTTTAACACAACACAAAAATTATCAGGTTTTCACCCATTTTGGTCTCATGAACATGTTACTTTAGGTTCTGTATTGCCCTTTCTTGAATTTCACTGTTCTGGAACCAAGTATGTTCCACTTGTATCGAAAGATATGTAAAGATACGGACAAGTTGGAAGCATATGATCTCATTTGGGCCTCCGTAACGGAGAATAAAAAGATGTGGTTAAATGAAACACAAAAAACATCATTCCGCGTGGCATGTACAGTGGAAGCCCTCTAAACCGGCGGCATTCATTGGGACCAGCAAAAAATGCCAGTATAGAGGGCATGCTGGGTTAGAGAACCTTTCCCTTTTGAACCTGAGAATGATCTTTCCTGTGCCGCTTTGAACTGTTTGATGTCGTGATCGCTCTCTTCCAACGTTATGCCAACCATCTGATGCCTTTAAACTCAAGGACATTTAATTCTAAGCAAACTGAATAGCTTTCTCTTTAAAAAATAGGGCCAGAAATGGCCATATTTTTACTGCGGGCAGTCAGCAACCAATCATGCGTCAGTGTGTTAATTTTGTCAAATTTACTGTTTTCATTCACACGACAATTTATTTATAATACAAGTGACACGTCACTCACCAATTTACCTCACCTACTTAGGCCTAATCCTTATCCATACTCCTTTTATCAGACAACATCAATGAGCTTAATGCTGATGGTAATCCACTGTGTTGTTAATACACGTTCAGCCAATCAACAGGAGAGCAGAGATACCGGATGCTGGTTTAGAGAGTGTTAATTACTGTACAAACAGTCAATTGGGCGGTCTTTCTTCTGCCGAAATACGGAATTAGACTGATGCTGGATTAGAGGGCATGTACATGATCATAAATTAACTAACTTCTGTGGGGACCAAATTCTAGTGCCGATATTGAGAGCATGCCGGATTGGAGGGCTGCTGGGTTAGAGGGCTTCCACTGTATATATATGCTACTCCAAAGAAGTTAAGAAAATCCTGATTCTTTCATATGACCACAGTTAATGTATCATTCAGTAACAGATGGACATTAGTAATATGAAAGAATAGTGTTTGTCTTCGGGGCTGCATTTAAACCAGACTTTGATATGAAATTGTACTATGCTTATACTTTGCACCAAAATTAAGTTGCATAGCAACAATAAGGAAACTAAAAAACTATCAATAATCCAGGGACCCAGTTTAACAAGCCATTGAAGTGCTACACATACTTTAACAGACGCAACAGTCTTTTGCTCGCGACCATTTTGTGAAATGGGGCCTACACTTATTCTCGAACGCTCATAGCCCTAAGAATTAACTTTGATCGTGAGCTACAGCCAATGTGTTAAGAATGGGCTTAAGAAGTTCATAGGGATTAAGAAGTTCGTGAGGGGCTTAAGAAGTTTTGAGAATAGCTAGCCTGGTTTATTGGAGACACAGACCTTCTACCCCAATAACAGACACACAATCACAACATCCATCACATTTCAAGAGTTTATTCAAGTGTTTGACAACTCTGTCTCTTAGTCTCGTCGATTATCGTGTCGAAGCTTATCTGCTGAGAAAGTCATTACTGCACGTCGAGCCTCCATATCATCCTCTTCGGCCCACTGTCCGCTGACTACCGAGTCCCCGCCACTGGCCACACGGAGTATGTGAAATGTGAGTCGCAAAACCTGGTGGATATATGCATGACATGACAGATCTCTGGACAAACATTGCCAAAACGCTCATCAATCTAAAATGTACACACCCAATAATGAATTACATCATCTATACCATGTTCCTGATATAAACATATTGAGCAATATCGGTACTATACAGCCCTTCTGGCATGATTCATGTTAAATGAGTGTATGAATACTATGTCTGTTTGATCACTGAGGGGGTGGTGGGGTAGCCTAGTGGTTAAAGCGCTGGCTCGCCATCAAGACCCGGTTCAATCCCCACATGGGTACAATGGCAAAAATGCCGGGTATAGAGGGCATGCTGGGTTAGAGAACCTTTCCCTTTTGAACCTGAGAATGATCTTTCGTGTGCCGCTTTGAACTGTTTGATGTCGTATCGTCTCTTCCAACGTGCCAGCCAACCATCTGATGCCTTAAACTCGTTGACATTTAATTCTGAAGCAAACTGAATAGCTTTCTCTTTAAAAAATAGGGCCAGAAATGGCCATATTTTTACTGCGGGCAGTCAACAACCAATCATGCGTCAGTGTGTTAATTTTGTCAAATTTACTGTTTTCATTCACACGACAATTTATTTATAATACAAGTGACACGTCACTCACCAATTTACCTCACCTACTTAGGCCTAATCCTTATCCATACTCCTTTTATCAGACAACATCAATGAGCTTAATGCTGATGGTAATCCACTGTGTTGTTAATACACGTTCAGCCAATCAACAGGAGAGCAGAGATACCGGATGCTGGTTTAGAGAGTGTTAATTACTGTACAAACAGTCAATTGGGCGGTCTTTCTTCTGCCGAAATACGGAATTAGACTGATGCTGGATTAGAGGGCATGTACATGATCATAAATTAACTAACTTCTGTGGGGACCAAATTCTAGTGCCGATATTGAGAGCATGCCGGATTGGAGGGCTGCTGGGTTAGAGGGCTTCCACTGTATATATATGCTACTCCAAAGAAGTTAAGAAAATCCTGATTCTTTCATATGACCACAGTTAATGTATCATTCAGTAACAGATGGACATTAGTAATATGAAAGAATAGTGTTTGTCTTCGGGGCTGCATTTAAACCAGACTTTGATATGAAATTGTACTATGCTTATACTTTTGCACCAAAATTAAGTTGCATAGCAACAATAAGGAAACTAAAAACCTATCAATACTCCAGGGACCCAGTTTAACAAGCCATTGAAGTGCTACACATACTTTAACAGACGTGCAACAGTCTTTGTGCTGCGCGACCATTTTGTGAAATGGGGCCCTGGGCACTTATTCTCGAAACGTTCATAGCCCTAAGAATTCTTAACTTTGATCGTAGCCAATGTGTTAAGAATGGGCTTAAGAAGTTCATAGGGATTAAGAAGTTCGTAGGGCTTAAGAAGTTTTGAGAATAGCTAGCCTGGTTTATTGGAGACACAGACCTTCGACCCACAACAGACACAATCACAACATCCATCACATTTCAAGAGTTTATTCAAGTGTTTGACAACTCTGTCTTTAGTCTGTCGATTATCAGGTCGAGTTTATCTGCTGAGAAAGTCATTACTGTACGTAGAGCCTCCATATCATCCTCTTCGTCCCACTGTCCGCTGACTACCGAGTCCCGCTCACTGGCCACGGAGTATGTGAAATGTGAGTCGCAAACCTGGTGGATATACATGACATGACAGATCTCTGGACAAACATTGCCAAAACGTTCATCAATCTAAAATGTACACACCCAATAATGAATTACATCATCTATACCATGTTCCTGATATAAACATATCGAGCAATATCGGTACTATACAGCCCTTCTGGCATGATTCATGTTAAATGAGTGTATGAATACTATGTCTGTTTGATCACTGAGGGGGTGGTGGGGTAGCCTAGTGGTTAAAGCGTTGGCTCGCCACGCCGAAGACCCGGGTTCGAATCCCCACATGGGTACAATGTGTGAAGCCCATTTCTGGTGTTCCCCCGCCGTGATGTAGCTGGAATATTGCTAAAAGCGGCGTAAAACCAAACTCAGTCAGTCAGTTGATCACTGAGGGTGTTCATTTAATGTCACTTTCATCAGTATTTATGTCAAGGCATGTCAGCTGGTCCTGGATCTCATCCGGGGGAAATTGATGACCCCTAAACCCATTAGTTGTTTATTACAGCCTCACAATGAGTGAGTGAGTGAGCGAGAGCAGTTTTATGCCGCTTTTAGCAATATTACAGCGTTATAGTGAGTGAGCGAGTGAGTGAGTGAGTGAGTGAGTGAGTGAGTGAGCGAGCGGTTTTATGCCGCTTTTAGCAATATTACAGCGATATCACGGGGGACACCTGAAATGGGCTTCACACAATGTACCCATTTGGGGAATGGAACCCGGGTCTTCAGCGTGATAAGCAAACACTTTGACCACTAAGCTATTTCACCACCCCAGACCACCCATACCTAAACCACTTCCTTGAAACTTATAAGGGTTAGTAATGCACTGCTACAACCCAGTACCTCATATATAAGCTCTTCCTCGGAGTTGCTGAAGAGCAGTTCATCACTGGCACCAGATTTCTGTCCTGGAACTTTCATCTGATATGTCTTGCTGATCATCAGGAAGTTGGCAAATTTGAAGTTCATCTTCTTGTTAATGGCTTTCTGGAGGTCCTTCCTGTAATGTATTGTGGATAACATATAAATAGAAAAATAGAAAACAAAAATGTCACAATAAGAGAGAATGTGTAAAGCTTTGTAACTTTGTAAAAATGTATTGCATAAAGTTGGGCAAAAATTCCAAGAGGACAGAATTCCAGCATTTACATATATATATCAGCAATTGACAGAAAACACACTGAGAGTTACCTCCCTTAGATCTATATTATTCAGAAAAAAAATATGTATCAAGAGAATAGTATTTGCGTCATAAACTTAAGATACAAAATTGTGGTTGGGATGTTGCAAATGTAATTCAAACAGTTCGCAATACAAGTTAGATATAAAACAAATGTACCTTAGATGTCAGCTCGGTACATTGAAAATAATAGTCTTGGTCTCATCTTATCAAAATCTGACATTCATGAGTATGGTAATCAAGTTTAAAATGTTCTTTGTCATCTAATTATAACAAAATGTAAGTGAACATGTTTTCATAATGAGCAACGATCCAGCTATAAAAGCACCTACTTGAGGGACTCGAATGATGGTACAGCAATCTGTGGAGGTATGTTGATGAAACGCTCACTTATAAGCAATCCAAGATGGCTGTCTGGATCGTTCAGTAGAAGGGAGAACTTGGACATGTCTACCTGACCTGCTGTCTGACACTTTTCCGACAACATGCCTGTGATCTGTTGGATACTCTCCCGGTCCTGGGGACACAAATACATACTTAATTACCAGCTTGGCAACACATCACCAGGTGACAACACAACTACATCGTCATTGAATCAACCTACAATCTATTGTGTATGGTTCCATATTGATCAAAAATATTTTTGCATATGACAGACAGCCAATTTAAAGTACCAACATTCATTGATACATGTCGGAATACAGATCCATAATACATGTCCAAAATAGATGTTTGGTATACAGGTGCACATTACAGATCCCATTGCACATCTTGGATACATGTCCAAAATACAGGTCTGGGATACAAGTGAAGAATAACAGGTCTGGGATACAAGTGCAGGTCTGGGATACAAGTCTACAGGATACAAGTGTCTGGGATACAAGTCCAGAATACAGGTCTGGGATACAAGTACAGGTCTGGGATACAGGTGAATACAGGTCTGGGATACAAGTGTGGAATACAAGTGTGGAATACAGGTCTGGGATACAAGTGTGGAATACAGGTCTGGGATACAAGTGTGGAATACAGGTCTGGGATACAAGTGTGGAATACAGGTCTGGGATACAAGTGTGGAATACAGGTCTGGGATACAAGTGTGGAATACAGGTCTGGGATACAAGTGTGGAATACAGGTCTGGGATACAGGTGTGGAATACAGGTCTGGGATACAAGTGTGGAATACAGGTCTGGGATACAAGTGGATACAGGTGTGGAATACAGGTCTGGGATACAAGTGCAGAATACAGGTCTGGGATACAAGTGGAATACAGGTCCGGGCTACAGGTACAGGTCTAGGATACAGGTAGTGTGGAATACAGGTCTGGGATACAGGTGTGGAATACAAGGTCACGAGGAATACAGAATGAATACAGGTCTGGGATACAGGTGCAGAATACAGGTTTGGGATACAGGTCTGGGATACAGGTGGATCTAGGTCTGGGATACAGGTCTTGAAATATGGGATACTAGAATACAGGTCTGGGATACAGGTCTGGGATACAGGTCTGGAATACAGGTCTGAATACAGGTCTGGGAATACAGGTCTGGATACAAGTACAGGTGCGGAATACAGGTTTGGGATACCAGAAAAATACAGGTCTGGGATACAGGTCTGGGAGAGAATACAAGTCTGGAATACAGAATACAAGTCTGGGATACAGGTGAGAAATACAGGTCTTGGGATGTGACTGCAGAATACAGGTCCGGAGTACGGTGCACAATACAGGTGGGAAATACAGGTCTGGGATACAGGTCCTGATTAAACACCTCTGGAATATATGTCTTAAGATTCACTGACTTAGCAAACCTATCAGCGTACAACTCAAACATATTAGGTTACTCCCCTTACTACCCTTTAAACATCAATTCATTTCAACTCCAACAACATTGATTTAGTATATTTAGTGCTAGCATGTCAGTGTGAGGTGAGATAAAAAGACAAAATAAAGCCCAAATCTGACCTTCTTGTCTGTGAGGTTGACGACAGTGAATATACCAAAGACAGGATCATCATCGTCCTCTTCTTCATCCTCTTCCTCCGGGGCATCGCACTGGTGAAACAAGCAGGCTGTCAGTCATTGAGTCAACAACATTTGTAACATTCATGCTTTCACTACCACTTGACAAGGTTGCTATGCAATTCTTGCTACTTACACTGTTTGTGTGTCAGCCTTCAAAATTCACAGCAGCACTACACACATAAGAGGCATAAAGTGAGTGAGTGAGTGAGTTTAGTTTTAGCAATATTCCAGCAATATCACGCAGAGGCATAAAGACAAGCCATAGGCAACAAACATACTGCTGGTATATAGAGCGGATGTAATTCAGACATTGAAATTCACTCTTGTAAGCTTGCCCAAGACCTCTCAAAAGTAAAATTTCGATGATGGTAGACCTCATAGTATAGTTGTGTTTGAACAGGTCTCAGTTGCTACAATTTCTACATTTGCTACAAATTCTCACTGAATAAATCTGACAGTTGTGAACATTGTTGTTTCATTTAAACTAGAGTATCCAGGGCATGCATTTGGGATGTTGGTCAGTGTCTAATATTGGATTTAGCATCAACTGGAATGGGACTGGTCAGCATGTCATTGATATTGCCAACTTGGCACTGAGGCTGGTTTGTAACTGACATTGTGACGGGTACGCTAGGCCTAGTAGCAGTGAGGTGAGGTGAACCACTACACCACGGAGGCGGTCCGACCTAGTAATGGTGAGGTGAGGTGAGTCCGACCTAGTAGCGAAATCAATCAAAGTGACAAACAAATGTCAGTATTTTGATTTCTCTCCCCTCAACATATTTTCCAGTTCATTCTGTTCAGGAGTAAAATCCTTTGACTGAAATATATCAAAGTCTCCCTCAACTGAAGCTGCTATATCAATTCTAGACCCATGCCAAACTATTGTTAAGAAGTGAGTGAGTGACGTTTAGTTTTACGCCGCTTTTAGCAATATTTCAGCAACATCACGGCGAGGGACACCAGAAATGGGCTTCACATATTATATCCATGTGGGGAATCGAACCCGGGTCTTCGGCATGACAAGCAAACGCTTTAACCACTAGGCCAAACCCCACCCCTAATGTTAAGACTGGCATGTTGATTGGTTGTTTATTTCAAGATAAAATCATTGATACTATTGTACAACATTAAACCACGGTTCTACGTCACCTTGATGACACTGCCAACATAGTTCTGGCCGATGATTGTGTCAGTCAACTCAGAGAGGTTGATGTTGGCTTTGAGGAACAACTGCACATAAACAGAAAAAGTTGTGAACACATTACTTCACACACATAGTTTACATGGTAGGCTCTGAAACAAATACGTTAAAACCAAATAATTAATATACATGCAGTACATGTTGTATAGTGTTGTACTAATATGATAAACATGTATGTCATAATATTTGTAAGTTGTAATCTTAAACGACAGATTTGTTATGATATTAAATGTGTTGAATGAACAACATGATCAAAGGCAACAACACTTTTAAGAAATCACACTCCTTAACATGAGTGAGTTTTTATTTTTACACCGCTTTTAGCAATATTCAAGCAATTTGACAGTGAGGTACACCAGAAATGGGCTTCACACATTGTACCCATGTGGGGAATCAAACCCAAGTCTTTGGTGTCACAAGCAAACACTTTAGCCACTAGGCTACCCCGCCATCACACACTGTTAGAGATTCAAATATATGTCTGCATGATCACAATATTTTCAACAGAGCAAAACCCTGACAATCTTGACATACCTGTTGGAGTAAAGTTTTTATGCCATGAAAATCTGAATCAATTGGCATCCGAGCCTCAAACTCCACTTGAACCTCCTGTGAAGGCAAACAGAATATCCATCAAATATAACTTTTCATATCTAACTCCACTTCATTATGAATATTTCACAGCAAGTTAAGTGTTTGGACTGACAAACCTATGATTTTGTAGTTGATATGCTTAATTAAGCAGGGATTCTTTACTGTCTCATATTCGTAATCCAAAGTTTTCTTCTTGCCATACACAAGTTGTAAAGGCACATCAAGCATTTTCTCGTGCACTGGAGATTCTTGAACAGAAAATGGGTGGATGGGTACCAGGTAGGATGAGATGGTAACGTGACTCATATTCCCAAGGGAGCTGGGAATGTAAATCAAGCACACACTGACCCATCGACCACTGTTTCAAGCATGCATTGTGTAAAGGGGTATGTACTTTACAAGTGAACAATTAGTATCAATAACAACAGTGTAGAACACATGGTAAAAGGGACAAAACTAGCTAATATTAGTAACCAACGATATCATGAATTGCCAATACATTGATGCAGCAATAATATTCTCTGACGATAAGTGATTGTCACTTACTGTATCAATTCACATATTAATATTATTAATCCTGTCGATTCATATCTTAATTCTGTACTGTCTTCCACACAGACCATTATAAATAGCAACAGAATGACTTTGAAAGCAAAATTAGTGACTGCCTACATTATAGTGATTAATTTCATCAGTAGTAATTTATGCTGTATCTTAATTACCAAATAGTACATAGTTTCAAGACACAAATTCTGTTCAAGTCCTTTTTCGGACAGCGTGTTTACTCTCCATTTTAATCTACAAAAGTACTGATTGCAATGAGAGCAGACATTCAGAAAGTAAAAAGACTTTTAAAGGTTTTTATGCCCTATGAAATATACAAAACTGGTACAATTAAGCATTGCAACATGTATGATATTCATGATGTCAATGTAGCAGTGATGTTTCACTTTGTATTTTAAATTTTGTTTTATTTAAAATGTCAATAAATAAAAAATCATATAAAAACATTTCTTGGTGGTGTTATACAGTTTTGTGGCCAACAGTATTATTTGTGCTTGTCCTGAGTAGGCAAGGTTAATGAATATGCATTTCACGTGCATTTCATGTTTATGGGAATCTTTGTTATAACACGGATGATTTTGATTGGTTGATTGGATCGTCTGCTTCAACATGATCATACCTCGTGGTGTCTTGTGATTTTCATTGCATTCTGAGAGCTGATAATGTGAGGTCGAGTCAGAGGAGTCACCAGGTTAGTTATATTTGGTTGTAAAATGGTTTCTAAAGTTTTAGGTTATAATATCTCAGTAATGCATATAAAATAAAGTTCTACACTAAAAACGTCTATTAAAATATTAATTAATGTTGGCAGTTTGAATATGTAAATATGTTGTGCTAATCCGTGATAGGTTGTAAAGTTTGTATGCCCCAATTGGATTGCTATTATAAAACATATTTTCACATAATGTTTCTTGGATAGGTGTCGTGCCTATGTCTTGCACGCTGCAGTGGTGACTGTTGAGAATATGATATTCACTTCTGTGCTAGTGATGGGTTCATTGTGATTCATGTTAAATTTGTTTTCACTTTATTGTATTAGCATCTAGTCACCCGTCATGCATCGAGCAGATGTCTAGGAGTAGCTTCGTCTTATAGACGGGTGAGCAAATTTTGAATATAATGTAAACGTGTAAATATTTCATTTTCCTTTGGAAAATGTAACCAATATGCATATGTTCCTATTTCATACTCAGTATGGTTATATTTGTGAACTAACTGAAAAGGAAAAATATTTGTTATTAATGTATTTATTTCTGTTCAATGTGATGTGCATCTCACTCAATGTGACCATGATTTATATGTGCTTCAGTTGTCTCCCTTTTCTGTTAATCAATTGTTACAAATGAATCTGTGATAATACCCTTGTGATAAAAACAAAACAAAAAACAACAAACCAACACACTGTGATATTAATATATATAAATGAAATGTTTACAGGGTATTCTTCTGGGAGCACTTTTAGAATACAGCACCACAACTTCTCGTGAGGACGATCTCTGCCGTAGGTCACGTGTCATTAAGACAAGCAGCCAGTTTGTGGGAACCCGTCGAACGCAAACCCGCGACCTTTGGATTGTTAGCTCGACAGCTAACCGACTGAGCTACATCCACACTGTTGCACAATGTGCAAATTTATCAAGTCATTCCTGTGATGTCACAGAAATGAACGGAAAGAGTCGAATAGGTCACGGACAATTACGAAGGTTATGGGTAGACTTGGTGTCTCGTGATCTGAATCTACGGACAATTGCCGAATGGACCAGATGCCATTTGGCACACTCGTCCCATTCCGTAATCTACAAGATAATGTGTTTAAAAACTGAAAAGGGTTGTTGACGTCAGGCGTCAGACGTAGATTTCACGGTGCGTTCATGAATGACGCGCTTTTATATAAATCGGTGATTTTGTGACAGAAAAGTGATGTAGGGAACACTGTAAGGATAATGTGGATCGCACTAAGGAACGAGGGAGACATGAGCATGTGTAGTGATGGCACGAGGGTGAGTTAGCCTTCGAATCATTACTGAACAAATGTTGCATGTGAAAGAGGCTTGAGTGCAAATTCCAGGCCAATTTCCATTAGCCCAAAATTTCTACATCAAATCATTTCATAGTGTACTTTCGACGTTTTGGTTTCCGGTTTTTGTGTGAAAAAAAGTATTAAAATGCAAAAGGAAAAACAACAAATGGTACTCACGTATTACACCGGACATGTACCTACTACATTGGATTAGGTCCCTAACCCTAACCCTCAGCCCTAAACCCTAACCCCTTGAAATAATCCTAATAAATAGAATGTATAGACCGAACCACCGGACATGTACCTACTATATTGGATTAGGTCCCCAACTCCAACCCTAAACCAAACCCTAAACCTAGCCCTAACCCCTTGAATTAATCCTAATAAATAGAATGCATTGACCGAACCGGCACAAACATGACTGACGTGTCTAATGTAATGCATTATTACCGCTTCGAAAAATAAAATACTAATAAAACACTTTTCTATGTAATGGTGCAAATTACTGAATGACAAAAATATATATGTAAATTTAAAAAATACAAAATACACAAAACATAACACATCAGCACCCCGTAATACAAATAAATATGAGCGTATTAGTGAAAAAAGAAAAGTATTTCAAACTGGTGCTTGCAAAATATTGCGCATCCGCCGGTATACAACTATTGGAAACTCTCAACATCGCTGGGCTTATGCAATGACATAGCTCGTAGAGATGAAACACCAGTGAGCGGAGCTTATACGCACTCGCTGAGCCAGACAACCGTGTTGCCATGCAGGCGTCATAGGGCATTGTTTCGAGAACGTGCTATCGAACAAAATCACATGACATTAAGTAAAAGGGTATTATGACGTATTTTTAAAGTTTGTGGTGCTATTCTAAAGGTAGGCCTTCTTCTGTTTCTTCCTGTGGTCTAAAGAATAAATGGATTCGCACCCTACAGCAAGTTGTTGTGTTTTCTTGGCATGGTAGCTGTGACATCAACATATGCATCTGGAGTTAGGCATATTGTGACATCCCCAGTAGCAAGTCATATTGTGACATCCCCAGTAGCAACATTATTGACAAATAAACTGAAGTTTCAGTCATTTGTTTTCACAAATATCATCTGTGTTTGGTTTTACTGCTCTGTCTCTGGCAACAAATACATCTTGTGAATAGTTAGAATAATTAGCACATTTGTCCAATCCTGTGTTCATTACCGCTTGCAAAGGCTGAAAGGGTTCACTCGTGTGGGTGTACATTCATGGTGACATACAAAATTCAGTCGTCGGATGTAGCTACATAAATTATCGTGGCCTTGTCTGAAGCTCATACCAAGTTCTCCATGCCTAAGTGCACACCTGATTCATACTTGAAACGATTGCAAATGCAAATGAAATATTGCCTGAAAATACCGTCTAATTATGCAATGACATTATCGTTAATTCCGGTGAAAATGAGCATATGTACTTGATCTATAAATTCATCATCCTCTTCATCAGATTCTAGGTCGTCATCGTCTACTTCATCTTCTCCAGCCTCCACATCTTCATCACGAGCTGCCAGACTCTCATTAACACGTTTCTTCTTGGAGGACGCCATCTTGATTTTACGATCAATCTAAAAAGTAGAATTGAACATCGGGTATACTAAATTTCATTCAGGAGAAATACAACCATTCATACCAATAAAACACTTTAATTAAGCAATATAATATACCAATTATTTTCCATTGATATCTATATAATCTGGATTGGTGGGAGTACATTTAAATATTAATCATTCAAAAGATACCCATTCGTCTTTTGTAAGAACCTTACCGGAAGTCCTTTTAATGTAGCAGGCATGAAATGAAAGCGCGAATCTGACGACTTGAAAAAACTAGATATCTTCAAGTTTGTCCTGATATCCGCCAGCGGTGGAAAGGATGGACCCCGGTTTTTACAATAGGGTACATTTTACCTTTTAGTGTAGTGTAATTCTCATGGTGATACGCCTTCGATCATGTTGGCTCTAGTTTTAGTCCAAAGCGGTGATCACACTTGAAAATTCATTCACCATAATCTTTGAAGATGTTTGTCTCTCAAACGCCCTCTTATATCTGTCAAAGATCATGTCATGAAAGTAGTGTTACTTGAAATTATTCAAGTTCAAATCAGCTGATAATAGATGTTATTAGTGTCTAAATACTGAGTCAATATAAAATATTGTGAATTTTTGGACACTTAAGAAACATTCGTTGTTATCTTTCTAAAATTCTACCCACATGATCGACAATGAAACATTTAATCAATATCCAAAAGTTGACTTTATCCTAAACACAAGCCATCATTCAAGAATCTACAATGTTTGTGTTACTCAACACTCCTTGTTGTAGTTCAAGTAAGCACTGCCATCCGAAAATTGATGTCCAAAATCTATGATCCGATGATAATGATGGTAGCTTGTGCATTGATTAAGAGTTATTTCCCAATCTGCTAAGGTTAATATATTTTCTGAAATTTTATTGGTTTGAAGATGAAAATTTATTTTTTAATTCACAGGGTGAATCCTCATTTGAGGCAATGTTGGATTCTGACCTGCCAGAATCCAGGCCAGATGAAAAGAGTAATATGTTCCGCCGTCGCAGTGCTGGGATCAACCTACAAAAGTGTATCCTTGGTTGCAGTTTTTGCAAGATGATTCAGGCTGAGGATAAAATTGACCTTTAGTTAGCTTAGTTATAAAGAAACGAACAAAAAAAAAAAAATATATATATCAGTATCAAGTCACCCTTCATGCTGCTCCCTCATACATTTCTAATAGGAGTCAATTTGTGTTTTTCCACAATTGGTCCAAACTTGTCACACTTGCATACAAATATCACAATATTTTCTTACATCACTTGATAAAGTAATCAATAATATTTCTTGTGTACATTACCTGTTTCATTCCAACTATGTACATTAACCCCATCCATTGTATATACATCCACCTGGCTTCCTATCAGTTGTATAAGCTCTAATTCAGTCCTTGTATGTCACCCTACTGGTTTCCTATCAATTTACTCAATCTCTCATACAAACGTTGTACATCAACCTCATCTATTGTATAAACAACTCATTCCCTATCTACTGTAACAACAACTCCTGGATATATTCTCTCAATTTGTTACTCATGTATCACTTGCTTGACAACGACATTAGAACCTATGTCGAAACGTCGCCTCCACAGAATAAAGTTGTATATCCATAATAAATTTCATTATTCTTCATCAACTCAACTTCTAAAATGCCCATCAAAGAAGTTACTGATTTTTGTCATTTTTATTTTTCTTGGTTTCCATGGAAACGATTTGAACTTAGTCTCAAAAGGGAGGGGTGTCCTTTGTTTCTGGAGCACAACTCGAAAACCGTTCAATATCTTTCTTCAAGACTTGGTAGATATATCAAACATAAGCTAAAGTGGTGCCTTTTGCTATTTGCAGGTTTTTGTCATTTTTGTTTGTCTTGGTTTCCATGGAAACGTTTTGGACTTAGTCCCCAAAAATCAAGTTGGACTTTAAGTAACTCTCAAATGCTTTGTTCTTTCAAATTTATTGGAGCCGGTGGGATTTGTCATCTTCTGATGACTCTTGTATTTATTATGAAACAAAATGAAACATTTTCCTTAGTTGCCATCAGCTATACACATGTTAGATGAGGCAGTAGGAGCAACATCCAGCACAGCACGTGGTCCTCGCACACCTCGCAACACGCTTCTCAAGTACAGCACATGTAAGTTTGAGGTGGGAATGACTAACGCAGTGGTGTGAGGTGTAACACTTCACCAGAGTTTAATTTGTTAAAATTCCGTATTTACGTATATAATGATCATGGTAACGATAAACTTTTACATTTTCTGACACTCAACTGAATGTATGACTTTGCAGTAATGAAGTGGCTGCCGAAAGACTTCGCTGTTAATACATGTTACAATGTTTGGTGTGATTTATAAGTAGAAATTCCATATGTTATGTTGTTATTGACTTATGTCTCAGTGCAAATTTATACCCTGTGTGAGTTTTTGTTTCTGATTGTGGGGGCACATTATGTCCCAGTCATCTGTGATGCTACAACTCGCTGTGCATTGACACTGCAATTGACATGCCTGAAACATGATACTGGTTTTGAATAGCAACATTTCCCTATATTATCAGGATAATCATTTTAGGTTTATCACCTTGTGTTTAGGTTCACAAAGCGCAGACCTACATTACTTGCCTCCCACCTCTGAGCTGACATGATATAACTGCTACAAATACTGTTCATAGCTGCGTAAAACCAAACCCACTGTTTCTGTTTGTAGACACCCCGACACATGTGTCCACCTCCGAGAAGTACGATGTGTCCCATGTGTTCACACCAACACCAAGGAAAGGTGGTCAGGTGAGTGCTTTTGTTAGACTAGGCAGAGCTCTCTTATTTGAATAAAAATTAACTTGAAGTTTTATGATCCATGGAATATGTTTTGGTGCATCTAGCTTGAGGTTTTAAGGACCACAGAATATGTGTGGTATATTCATGTTGAAGATATAAGGACCAAGATGTGTCACATTTTTCTGCATTTCGTTGAATTAGTTTTCAAACTATAGTTCGGTTTTTGTTTGTTTCGATTGTATAAGTGTCAAGATAATAAACTGACTGGGAGTGGATATTGCCATGTTGATGATGTAAATACTTTTTGACAGATGGGCCAGGATTCCTTTAATTCATCACTGTCAATGATTCGACCAACACCAACAAAACTGGGTGCAGATATGGTGAGGTTATCTTCTATATTCCTTCTTCAACATGTTTAAGCATGGTGGGCAAGCTGTCTATGGTGCCAAGCTAGTGATCCAGCGAGCTTGAGGTGTCGGGATCGACCCCACCTGTGACCAGATGTAAAAACCTTGAGTTAACTTTGTGTGCAGACTCTTTCAGTGTTGTCACAACCCCTAGTGTACAGTACACAACCTGTGCACTTAAAGAACCCACAAATCCGTTGGTAAATGACCAGATGGTTGCCACATGAATACATGCAAACACCTAGTTGCGGGTACAACAATGTGCAGTAAACTGGGACAAAGTACTGTGACTATGTGTCCCAGTCCACTAAGGGTGTAACGATGCATCGAACTATCGATTGATCGCGATTGTGAGCCCCCGATTGTACTTTATTGATAGGTGTATGAAATGACGATCCAATGCATCGATAATTGCATCAACTATCAATGCTATCGCTTCAATTTGTTTTATAAATAACGGTAACTTGAAAACATGTTCTGTCCTACAGTCCTACCCCCGATTGGGATTAATCTCTATTTGCTGTAAGCGACAGCATTTTGCAGTGATATATGGGGGGTGTAGAGTTACCCCCCTTACCAAATTGTCAGCTCAAGCAGACAGCGGGGATTTTGCAAATTTTGAAATCGTAAACAATACGTCAGCTAAGTCAACTGTATGGGAACACTTTGGATTTGTAAAAACAGATAAAGTGGACAAGAAGCGAGTTGCATGTCGGAAGTGTAAGCTGATATTGAAGTATTGTGGAAATACAACCAATTTGACTAATCATGTGCGTCGGAGGCACGGTCTTGATGTGCTGGCCCCAACCAAGCGTAGGCCTAAGAGACAAACAACCCTGACAGTGCTAAATGACATTACTCTACTTTCGTCGTCAAAACGAGCAAGAGACATTTCGGCAGCCATTCTTGAATTTATTGTGAAAGATTTGCGGCCTTTCAGTGTTGTCCAAAATGATGGGTTTAGGAACACGTTGAGAGTTTTGGAACCACGTTACACAATCCCCTCGCGACAGTATTTCTCAGATTCTGCCTTGCTCATGTTGTATGAGACTGAGGTCAGGAATGACCTTTCCTGTGCTGAGAATGTTTCACTCACAACTGATGGATGGACTAGCAGACTATTAAATCTGCACATGTGGACAGACTCTTGTTTCTAAAGAAGAATTGGAAAGTTGGAAACCAAGATAAAAAATGAACTATTATCTGCCTTCATCACACTATTTGAGTAAAATCAGAGTTAATGTGAAATATTGCCATTTGCCAATTATGTTAACCTATCTTTCAACTTGAGGCACCAAGTTACCTGCTGACAGGTTTATTTGTGAGATTTCTTGATACTTTCACAGTGACAAAAGATTATTGTCTTCTTCAAATCAATTGAGTCTGTTGACATCCTCATGTTGTTAAAACTAAAACATATCTACCTGTGAATTGTTTCATGTTCAACCTTTACACACAGTAAGTGTTTTCTATTGAAACTGAAAGGTGACCATTTGTCAAAAATGTGACAGAGACACAGAGCCAGTATTTATTCTTTTCTTTCTTTCTTTTTGTTCTTTTACATACAAAATTGTGGGAATCAAAGAGTCTGCAAACCACAGTTTTGTACTAAATAGTATAAAATCCTGTGTGAATGTGTTGGCTTGTTGTGAAATGTTTTAATACTAAGTCATGTTCATGAAGAAGTCATCATGACAACTTGACCAATACTGACCTGAAAGTTGTAAGGAATAAACAACTGAACACATTTTATGGTTTAAGTTGTTTAATGTGAACGGAGTTGGTAGAAAATGGCAATTTATCTGAAAGATGAATTTTGTCTGAACTATCGCAATAGTTATCGCAATAGACTATCGACATCGCAATAGTAGCTTGCAATAGGCTATCGACATCGCAATAGTAGCTTGCAATAGACTATCGACATCGCAATAGTAGCTTGCAATAGACTATCAATAGTAGCTTGCATCGCATCGCAATAGTAGCTTGCAATAGACTATCGACATCGCAATAGTAGCAGTATCGCTTGCAATAGACTATAGTAGCATGCAATAGTAGCTTGCAATAGACTATCGACATCGTAGCATGCAATAATAGTAGCATGCAATAGACTATCGACATCGCAATAGTAGCTTGCAATAGACTATCGACATCGCAATAGTAGCATGCAATAGTCTATCGACATCGCATAATAGTAGCATGCAATAGACCTCGCAATAGTTCTATCGCAATAGTAGCCCTACACATCGCAATAGTAGCATGTCCACCCAGCTGTGAATGGACATCGTACCTTGTAAGGATGGGAAAGATGCAATAACTTGGTGCGCCTTGTGGATGCAAGAGTTGTATGATCCCCAGGGAGTTGAGATTGATAATATGATGTGCCGTTGAGACTGATATCCAATAACCAAGGGGAAAAATACCAGCGCCATGAGCATGTACTAGTTGTGTGGATATGTGCTCTATATAAATATCCTATAATAACAAGCAGTTCAAGTTGTTGTAAAAGATGATATATGTGGTACTTGTCATCCTGCGGCTTGCTGAGCATTGAGGTCAAGGTAGAAGTTGTTGAGGATTGATCAGCTTGGAGCCAATCCATGGGGTATCCATGTTAAACTGATGCAGAGTATCTCAGTGGACTTCCACTACATATCAGCATTAGACAGAACTAATACAAGCTGCCATACACACAAATACAGATGTGTGCATGTATACTGCTGTGTAAGGGCTAGAACCTTGAACACAACATTAAATTCCATCTCACCTCACCTCACCACACCACACCCTCACCTCACCTTGCCACACTCTCACCTCGCCACACCCTCACCCACACCTCTTCACACCCTCACCCACACCTCTTCACACACCCTCACCTCACCTCCCCACACCCTCAACCACACCTCTCCACACCCTCACCCACACCTCTCCACACCCTCACCCACACCTCTCCACACCACCTCCCCACAGCCTCACCCACACCTCCCCCACACCCTCACCCACACCTCCCCACACCCACACCTCCCTCACCCTCACCCACACCTCCCCACAACCTCACCCACACCTCCCCACACCTCCCCACACCCTCACCCATACCTCCCCCCACAGCTTCACCTCACCTCCCCACACCCACACCCTCCACACCCACACCCTCCCCACACCCTCACCCACACTTTTCCACCACCCACCCACACCTCTCCATGTCTTCACCTCACCTCACCTCACCTCACCACACCACACCCCACCACTTCTCTTCACCATGCCACACCCTCACCTCACCCACACCTCACCTCACATCCTCACCACACACACACACACACCTCACCACATCCACCTCACCTCACCACACCCTCACCCACACCTCTCCACACCTTCATCTCACCTCTCCACACCCCTCACCCTCACCACACCACACCCCTCACCTCTCTTCACCATGCCACACCCTCACCCTCACCACACCCTCACCTCCCCACACCCTCACCCACACCCCTCACCACACCACCCACCTCACCACACACCTCACCTCCACACCCTCACACACCTCCTCATCTCACCTCTCCACCACCTCACCACACCACACCCTCACCTCCCCACACCCTCACCCACACTTTCCCACCCCCTCACCCACACCTCACCTCACATCCTCACCTCACCATACCTTACCTCACCTCACTACTCCACCTCACCACAGTACTCCCTCACCTCACCTCACCACTCCATCACCTCACCACAGTACTCCCTCACCTCACCTCACCATTCCCTCACCACACCACACCCTCACCTCACCTTTAATTGTATTCCTTGTTTCTACAGTTTGACATGACAGAGGAGGTAACCAGCACCAATCTGGCACTGCTCTTGGAGGATGATCCCGGCATGGCAGGTAGGGGATTACCTCCCTTTATCTTCTTACTCAACCTCAGTATGACAGGGCTCAGTTGCTCAGTTGCTCAGTTTCTCAGTTTCTCTCTTTTCCCCAATTGATTAAACTTAACCACCAGAGCTGCATGAATTGATCTATCTTTCACATGAGCATATATCCCACTGTTTATTGTAGACAGTTATAACTGCAAGATCATTTGTTGGACCCAACCCTGATCCCTTTTTATCCCCCCGGCATGTAATGCAGGGGGATATAGTCATCGCCTTGTCTATATCATTTTGTTTCCGGAGCATACCTCCAAGACCGTTCGATATATTTCAACAAAAATTGATAGATAGATATATCAAACAGAACCTAAGGTGGTGCCTTTTACTATTTACATATTTTTGTCATTTTTATTTTTCTCGGTTTCCATGGAAACAATTCGGACTTAGTCTCAAAAAGGACGGGTGGGTTTCGTTTCCGGAGCACAATTTGAAAACCGTTCAATATCTTTCTACAGAACTTGGCAGATATGTTAGGCAGATCCCAAAGTGGTGCCTTTTGTTCTTTACAGATTTTTGGCATTTGTATTTTTCTTGGTTTCCATGAAACGATTCGGACTTAGTCTCAAAAGGGAGGGGTGGGTTTTGTTTCCAGAGCACAACGCAAAAACTTCTTAATATCTTTCAGCAAAACTTGGCAGATATGTTAGGCAGATCCCAAAGTGATGCCTTTTAATCTTTACATCTTTTTGGCATTTTTATTTTTCTCGGTTTCCATGGAAACGATTTGGACTTAGTCTCAAAAGGGAGGGGTAGGTTTCATTTCCGGAGCACAGCTCAAAAACTTCTTAGCATCTTTCAGTAAAACTTGGCAGATATGTTAGGCAGATCTTGAAGTGGTGCCTTTTGCTATTTGCAGATTTTTGTCATTTATGTTTTTCATGATTTCCATGGAAACGATTTACTTTAAGTAACTGTCAGATGATTTGTTCTTTCAAAGATGTGGGGTCCGGGGATATGTCATCTTCTGATGACTCTTGTTTTATCCCCCATCATGTAATGACTGGGGATATATATAGTTGATGCCTCGTCCGTCCGTCCGTTATCATTTTGTTTCCGGAGCATAACTCAAAAACCGTTCAATATTTTTCAACAAAAATTAGTAGATATATCAAACAGAACCTAAGGTAGTGCCTTTTGCTATTTACAGATTTTTGTCATTTTTATTTTTCTCGGTTTCCATGGAAACCTTTTGGACTTAGTCTTCAAGGGTGAGTGGGATTCGTTTCCGGAGCACAACTCCAAAACCGTTCAATATTTTTCAATAAAACTTGGTAGATATATCACACAGAACCTTAAGTGGTACCTTTTGCTATTTACAGATTTTTGGCATTTTTATATTTCCCGGTTTCCATGGAAATAATTCGGACTTAGTCCCAAAAGGGAGGGGTGGGCTTCGTTTCTGGAGCACAGCTCGAAAACTTCTTAATATCTCTCAGCAAAACGTGGCAGATATATATGAGACAGATGCCAGAATGGTGCCTTTTGCTATTTGCAGATTTTTATGATTTATTATTTTCTCGGTTTCCATGGAAACGATTCAGACATAGCACCAAAAGGGAGGGGTGGGCTTCGTTTCCGGAACGTAATTCAAGAACCGTTCAATATTTTTCAACAAAACTTGGTAGATATATCAAACAGAACCTTAAGTGGTGCCTTTCGCTATTTGCAGATTTTTGGCATTTTTATTTTTCCTGGTTTCCATGGAAACGATTCGGACTTAGTCCCAAAAGTGAGGGGCGGGCTTCGTTTCCGGAGCTCAACTTGAAAAGAGTTCAGTATCTTTCAACAGAACTTGGCAGATATATTAGGCAAATTTTGAAATTGTGCCTTTTGCTATTTACAGATTTTTGGCATTTACATTACTCATGATTTCCATGGAAACGATTTGGACTTAGTCTAACAAAAATCAAGCTGGACTTTAAGTAACTGTCAGATGATTTGTTCTTTCAAATATGTAGGGGCAGGGGGATATGTCATCTTCTGATGACTCTTGTTTCAGTCAGGTCATAATTAGCATTAGTATTTTGGTTATGGCAGGGTAGTTCAGTAGATAAAACTCTGACATATCCCACTGAATTCCTATTTGTACGCTGACTACGAATACTGTAAAACTAAACTCACCTTTCTGCCCAGAATTGCTTCAAAATTAGTGCTATGTTTCATCTATATAGGCATGCTGTAGCAACCTCATTGCCCATGGTCCTGTCAATAAGACATCACTCTTGATTGAGCAGAGTTGTGTCCCCTGGGCACTCCAGGAACCTGTGATTGTGGATTCGATTAGTCAGCACCATACTCCTGCACGCGTGGTTCACCAGTGGTGAACATCTGAGACCTGCATCACTTTGAGCTTTGCTTCTACTTAAGATGCCAGCCATGCAGTGATGTAACTGGAATACTGTTCAAAGCTTCAATAAATTCCACTTGCGTATCACTGTGTTAGACTCTCTCCCCATTCAGATCAATGTTGTCATTGCAGCTTCTGCAGGACTCTATCGGGACTTTGAGCAGTGCATGAAACATAACTCGGGTCAGAACAGTGTCCTTGACCTTCTGCTGGACTATGAGAACGTTTGCTCCGACCAGGTCACCATCCTTAGAAAACTTGTAATCAGGGCATCCAAGCAACAAGACAGGTTGGTCATGCTAGGATTATTGAACTGTTTCGTTTATGATTAGATTTGGTGAATATGATATATCACCTTCAATACCACACACCACACATACATGTTGAGCGTGTTCATGGATGTGATTCATGTTAAACAGGAATGTTCTACCTGAAGGATATATTGGACATACAGCCAGTTTCTTCCCATGTAGGTTGTTGTTGTTGCAAGCTACTGAATCAGCAATATAACAGCTATATGATAAAATAATAATTATAATAATTGGCCACTTATATAGCGCTGAATCCATGCCGCATACATGATAGGCATTACTACCTCCAGTAACCCACGCTGCCTGTGAGGCACAAGAAGGTTAATGATTATATGACTTATACCACCGGGTACCCATTTTCTGCAATTTTGAACGAACTCACTTGCCTAAAGTATGACCACATAGGTGCTTTGTTGTGGGGCTATATGACAGCGTTCTATAAATAGTTGTGTCCTGACCAGATAATCCAGTGATTTTACATTGTGAGTAGTGATCTGTAAGATCTGTGTTTGTGATCAGTTACTAATGTGTGAATGTCCACTTGTAGATTCAAGCGTACATTCGACACATTTGAGTTGTTGGACAAGGAGAAGATGACTTGGCAGCTGGTGCGGTCACTGTACCGTGACCGCCTGGAGTGGGGTGTGACGGGGTCAGAAGACGAGGAGGACATGATGGTGGATAAACCTGCCCCTGTGAGTTTGTATAATATTCTGTATGCTGTAATGATAGAGAGAATCTTGCCTGACTTTCTTCCAGGATTAGATAAAATTGATTGAACTTTGTAATATTCAAAGCTTGCCGATGATATTTTTCCATTTATGAACAAATCTAAATATATTTGAGCATTCTGTTAATAATCCAAAATCATTTTTACAACCTTTTAGGTTGGTAATTCGTATTAGCAAGTATTTAGTACAACTAATCAACTTTAGTGGCAGAGAGAATAATGATGTCATTTGATTGAGACATCATGGTAGATGGTAGCCAATGATGTCACAATGGTGGCAGAGAAGATAGTGATGTCATTTGATTGAAACATCATGGTAACCAGTGATGTCACAATGGTGGCAGAGAAAATAGTGATGTCATTTGATCAAACATCATGGTAACCAGTGATGTCACAATGGTGGCAGAAAATAGTGATGTCATTTGATTGAAACATCATGGTAACCAGTGATGTCACAATGGTGGCAGAGAAAATAGTGATGTCATTTGATTGAAACATCATGGTAACCAGTGATGTCACAATGGTGGCAGAGAAAATAGTGATGTCATTTGATTGAAGCATCATGGTAACCAGTGATGTCACAATGGTGGCAGAAAATAGTGATGTCATTTGATTGAAACATGGTAACCATGGTAACCAGTGATGGTTATTAAAATGGACTCGATCAATCCGGTGCACATTTGTCTTTTCCGAACAGAACTCTAAAACCGTTCAATATTTCTTCACCAAACTTGGCACATACATGGATCTTGTGGTGTACTGGTGCCTTGTGGTAGTTTTGGAATTCTGAATAAAATATTTTTGGCATTTCCATGGCAACAAGTTGGACTTAGACTGAAATTGGTGGTTGTGCTCTTTGTATACAGAACTCTTGTTCAATTTTCTTCACCAAACTTGGCACATACATAGATCTGGTGGTGTACTGGTGCCTTTTGGTAGTTTTGGAATTCTGAATAAAATATTTTTTGCGTTTCCATGGCAATTAAGTTGGACTTAGACTGAAATTGGTGGTCCATTTGTTCTTCGGAGCAGAACTCTAAAACCGTTCAATATTTCTTCACCAAACTTGGCACATACATATTGGTCTGGTGGTGTACTGGTGCCTTTTGGTAGTTTTGGAATTCTGAATGAAATATTTTTGTCATTTCCATGGCAAAAGTTTGACTTAAACTGAAATTAGTGGTAGTGCTCTTTTCGAGCAGAACTCTAAAACCGATCAATGTTTCTTCGCCAAACTTTGCACATAGATTGGTCTGGTGGTGTACTGGTGCCTTTTGGTATTTTTGGATTTCTGAATAAAATATTTTTGGCATTTCCATGGCAACAAGTTTGACTTAGACTGAAATTGATGATAGTGCTCCTTTCTGAAGCAGAACTTTAAAAACCTTTCAATACTCTCCTTCCACTTTTCTATATACACACCTAAATATTTGACATAATCACAACTCGTAGACATAATCATGAAGAGTATTCTGCCATTGCGGGGGATATTGATGACTTTGTCTTCTTGTTTTCTTTGTGTCAGGTGTCAAGTCCAAGTGAATCGAACATCATGAAGATGTTGTTTGAGAGGGACAGCACAGTGAGGCAGAGTCAGGTACGTCAGCCATGTACAGATGTACAGTTGGTGGGGGAGGGATCTGTTGCCCATGGGGGTATGGATATGGGAAAATACTTTCAGGCATTGTCTCTGAACATTACGATATTAGCTTGATGGTAGTTGGCTGATTTGTATTTGAAGGTATTGTTGCAAACAGTTAAAGATGATGTCATTCATGACATCACAAACATTTCATGTGATGTCATTGCAACAATGATCATTTTTCATGAGATAGTTGTCTCCCTTCTCAATCTCATGGGAGGGGAAAACCCTCAATAATATATGAAATTACATACTCAACTTAAGTACTTCAGGAAAGAGTTGAAATATTTTTGCTTAGTTACTATGGTTACATGACCTTACCTGTAATCTTTATAATTGTTTCTGTTCATATTAGAATATTATTAAGTTAGTTTGAAATAACCATGAAATTCATTGTAAGAGTTAAAATATTTTTCATGTTATGGGTAGCCTAGTGGTTAAAGTGTTCCCTTGTGATGACACAGACACATGTTTGATTCCCCACATTTGAGCAATGTGTGAATCCCATTTCTGGTGCCCCCACCATTTTATTACTGGAATATTGCTAAAAGTGGCGTAAATCTATACTCACTCGTTCACTCACTCACTCCAAATCGTGTGTTTGCTCTCCCCAGCTGGTTGTGGACTGGTTGGAGAACTGTGCTGAGGACAGCCTGTCCATGTTGGCTGACAACGTCAAGTTCTTCTCGGATCAGGCCGTTGCATGGTGTGTACATGCGATAGTATTTTAGTGGGAATTGTCAACCTTGCATTTATCTTTTCAGAAAACAATATTTTGGAGAAGTAAATCCCAGTTGTTACCATCTTACCTTGATAAAAATTGAACTTGGTAATCAACCATTCACAAGGGTCCTCATGAAATGTCTGTTTTTGCAATCCTAGGACATCCCATAATGCAACATATTTTATATACGTCTGACAAATATGCTGCTTAGCTTATTTGATTAAAATACTTAACAGTTTGATTTATGATAAATTTAAATAACAGTGAACATGGCTTATTAAGTATGTACCAGGAGTGACCATAATTTCATTATAACTGAGACCGCCTCCATGGTGTAGTGGTTAGAGCTGTCCGCCGTGAGAGCAGAAGGTCACGGGTTCGATCCCTGATCGCGTCATACCAAAAGACGTTAAAATATGGTACTTGTTGGTCCCTGCCTGGCGCTCGGCATTAATGGGTACAACAAGGACTGGTCGGCTCGGAGTCAGTATAATGTGTCTGAGTGGTGTATTCATGCTTCACTGCAGCATGGTATCTCAGTGGGCTAGCACTATAAAACCAGCTTCAGTCTGGGCTAGTACAAGCAGCCACACATAAACACACACACGCATGCACGTTGTCATATGAGCGAAATATTCTCAAGCACGACGTTAAACCCAATTTCACCTCACCTCACCTCATTATAACTGAATTTAAAATCATCAATTTCACTTTTTTCACCTCTAAGTACATTGTGTCATCTGTTGTGTAGGGAGAACACTCTTCACCAGCTTCAGAACAAGGCCCGGGGAGTCCCCACCACCAGTGACCGACCCCTGGTGGACCAGCTGGTAAGTACACAGCAAGGTGGTCAGGTAGTCTGTGGGTAAAAGCGTTTTTTGCTCTTGTTGAATGGCCTGCTTTGATTGCACTTATAGCTAGCTTGTATGAAACCGTTTTTGCTGTCCCCATTCATAAATATAGAGCTGAGTGTTGCCAAAAGCATCATTGAAATTGATTAAAGTACTTCTTGAATATGTTCTGTTGAATAACAGTAATGTACAAGTTTGCCGTGATAAATATGAAAAGCAGCTGATATTGGTTAGATGTAGGAGTGAACCTCAAACCAGGAGGTATGGTCCATTGCCCCTGTTACTGTCTGGGGAACCACCTGGCCATGTTTGTCCTTTCTCGTTTACCGCAAGACTTGTAAAATTATTCAGCTCCAGAACCCAGCAGGATCAATCTGTGACATTTATTAAAGAGTGAGCTTCAAACTTGTCTTGTCCAACATGTCGTCTGTGGCCATAGCTTGTCAATTTTACCCTGCAGGACCCGGATGCCCCAATACGTCAGAATAAGATCCTTGACGACCTGGACAAGGAGGACGAGACGAGGCTCTTGCAGCATCTGTTTGCCTGTATCAGGGCCGGCCAGCTGGACAAGGTAGCCACCGACCTTGCTTTGTTTTACTATATATTTTTTATATCACTAATTAGCCATAAAACACCATTGGTTTTGCACCATATGCAAACTTGTGTTTTCACTATAATAAGAACTTTGTATACAACTGTTAGACTGCCAGACAGTTGGTTACAAACGATTACCTGAATCTGAAAGGTCATTGTGGCAGCTTGTTCTGATGGCAGACATAGATTGATCAATTCTTGTGTATAGTGTACTGGAACATACACAATGTTGGGGTTTTCAGTAATCATGTTTCATATGTGATAGGCACAAGAAGTATGTCAGACATGCGGTCAGTCATGGCGAGCGGCAACACTAGAGGGCTGGCGCTTGTTTCACGACCCCAACTATGAGGGTCTGGGTCAAGACGGTCAGATCGGCTCAGTGCAGGGCAACCCCTACCGCTGATGTATGGAAGCTGGTGTGCTGGAACATGGCGCAGGAGGTAGGTGCAGCCTTCCATACATTCTCTTTATGGGACACAAGGCTTGTGTAAGTTACAGATGTGCAGTGTGCCAGTTCAACTTTTTTGTGTTCAAATAAGATGCAAGATACAGTGTTTATGTTGAGTTCAGAATACAGTGCAAGATGTTGAGAGTTACCCTCAGTAACGCTTGACTATTGTGATGGATAACTCACAGAACGTAGCAGATTATTGTTGCATACATACTCAATACCTTGTTTGTATGATCATGCCCATAAACTATTGATACAAATTCTACAAATGTGTATAGTTAAGATTTTGTAAGACTATTAGGAGCTCTACTACATCACTAGGTTGGAATCTGAAAGAAACAGCAACATATCAATGTGATGTTTATGTATTGGACCCGTTGTGAAGTTCTTCAGCACTATACCCCCATTTACAGCATTTTGTTTCTTTTAAGACCAATTGAGGTCAAAGTGAGATTAAGGTGCTGGAAAATGTCTCTTTCCGTATCTTCAACCTGCTGTAGCCAAATGAACTGAAGTTATTTATCCCCCGCAACGTGTTTTGCGGGGGGCATTTAAATGGGCTCTGTCCGTCCGTGCGTCCATGCACATTTGTCTTTTCCGGAGCAGAACTTTAAAACCGTTCAGTATTTCTTCACCAAACTTGGCACATGGATAGATCTGGTGGTGTACTGGTGCCTTTTGGTAGTTTTGGAATTCTGAATAAAATATTTTTGGCGTTTCCATGGCAACAAGTTCGACTTAGACTGAAACTGGTGGTAGTGCTCCTTTCTGGAGCAGAACTCTAAAACAATTCAATGTTTCTTTGCCAAACTTGGCACATAGATAGATCTGGTGGTGTACTGGTGCCTTTTGGTAGTTTTGGATTTCTGAATAAAATATCTTTGCATTTCCATGCCAACAAGTTTGACTTAGACTGAAACTGGTGGTAGTGCTCCTTTCTGGAGCAGAACTTTTAAAACCTTTCAATTCTCTCCTTCCAGTTTTCTATATACACACCAAAACATTTGACATAATCATAACTCGTAGACATATTCATGAAGAGTATTCTGCCATTGCGGGGGATATTGATGACTTTGTCTTCTTGTTTGTCTTTGTCCACCTGTTTCATCTTCGGATTTGCACCCCACATGGGTACAATGTGTGAAGTCCATTTCTGGTGTACCCCACCGTGATATTGCTGGAATATTGCTAAAAGCAGCATAAAACCATCCTCACTACTCAGATTTACAAGTCAATATCCAATATTCATTATCCTGTACTTGACATCCAAACAAACCTGTTTGCGGTTGTTTCCCAGTCCAAGTTCAACTTGTATGAGAAGGCCATCTACGCTGTGTTGAGCGGGAACCTGAAGTCTGTACTGCCAGTATGCCGGACGTGGTACGACTATCTGTGGGCGTACTTCAAGGTCATGGTTGATGTGAAGGTGGAGCAGGAGCTGCGTCTCAACAGCCAGGCCGACAGGCTGCAGGAGGACATGCCCAATGAGTACTGGGAAAAACTGTGAGCACTGTTGGCGATCATAGAAACAGTGTTTGAGTGTGTTTTCTGTTCTGTATTTTGTTTCTGGAAAATTTATTGAGCACTAATCAATGAATTTTCAACCAAAAAATATTGCATACATTTGGACCCTTCTCTTTTAGACTTCTTGTATCATTCCTTCAGCGGGTTCATTCCCCGTAGCCCCCTGTTGTTACAAGCCACTAAGTGGTACGTCTAGCCTCTTGCCTGGCGGGCGGTAGGGTAGCCTAGTGGTTAAAGCGTTCGCTCGTCACGCCGAAGACCCGGGTTAGATTCCCCACATGGGTACATTGTGTGAAGCCCATTTCTGGTGTCCCCCGCCGTGATATTGCTCGATATATTGCTAAAAGCGGCGTAAAACTAAACTCACTCACTCACTCTTGCCTGGCTGTTCTGTTAGCTTCACTCACTCCCCTGTAACCGGATTAACTGCTGCTAAGCTCGTTAACCATGTCGGGGTGAGGTGTTGGGAGTGAGTAGGTGACTACCAGTACTTACGGAGATAGTAGAGAATCACTCCCCTGTAACCGGATTAACTGGTTCATTAAGCAGCTGATGGTTGTGAGAAGGTTGTTGATTTAACTATGTCGGGGGTGAGGTGTTTGTAGTGAGTAGGTGACTCCCATTTTTGTGGAAGCTGCGGTGGCTGAGTGGTCTAGGCGTCTGACTTTGTGTGCTGGCGAATCCCGGATGGGACTCAACCCAAAAAGTACTAGAATCTGTACTTTACTAAGAAAGTGTAATCCCAAATATAACATACGTTAGGTGACTACCAGTACTTAGGGAGATAATAGAGAATCATGGACAACTGATCATGTTATGTGAAAGAAATCTTTACTCATACCTGTGTGCCATTGGACATACGATGGACAATATGTATGTCGCATACAAACAACTGATCTGACTCTACCTTCAAGATCTGAGTGAGTGAGTGAGTTATAATTTATCGTCACATCGGCAATATTTCAGCCATATCGTGACGAGAACATTTAATTGTTCTACATAGTAATTTATGGTAAATTATAAAAACCTGTCATCGAAAGGACAGTAAAACCGACTAGAATATCACAATATCAAGAAATAAAACTAGCATATATCTCTAAAATAGGCTTTCAGATTGGCACCATGGCACTCCCACTAAATAAATGTTCACACGAATCTGATGATTCGTTGTCTTCAGATGATGAAGCGCAAACAACTGTCAATAATCCTGATAATTGGCCTCGTTTCATTGTATCGGTAGTCACCTACTCACTACCAACACCTAACCTAACGAGCTTACGTGTTAATTAATAGCAGCAGTTAATCCGGTTACAGGGGAGTGAGTGAAGCTAACAGAACAGCCAGGCGATGGGCTAGTGGTACTAATTAGTGGCTTGTAACAACAGGGGGATGGGGGTTAGAGGTTAGAGGGGTGGAGTCCCTTCAGCCCATTTGAAAAGATGTACTATCTTCACTTGAGACATTTAAGTTTTATGTCTTTTTAAAGGATATGTTACATGGTGGCATTGTACGAGGTGCATGATGTGGTGTGAAGGATTAGTTTCACTAATAAAAGTATTAGAGACCATCAAAGTATGTAAAGTTATCCATAGTGTAACAACTTCCTCAGTTATTCCAGTTGGAGTACGTTCTATGCCAGTCTTAAGAGGCGACTGATATTAATGAGTTCAGCATTAAACAACAAACGTTATCGGCGACTGAATGATATTCGTGATGAGATGTGGTTTCAGACAAGTGAGTGTGATTATGAACCATGGTATTGATATGTCAGGATCCTTAACTATAGAGTGTAATACAGTATTTGTATTTTACAATCGTCTAATATACCAGCCTTTCTTTGTTTTAGGATGGAACCAAGTCAAGTGTTTCAAGATATCGAAGCAAGTTTTGATGAGGTAATGATTCACAGTTCACACGGGCTTGAAAAAACTGACATCTGACATTTTACCCCAGGAGGCCCTACATTCATTTAAGCCTTGAAAAGACCCTAATTGCCAGTGATTTGCAATTTAAAGGCCCTATATTTACCAAAACTTGTCACGTCTTTACAGGAAATTAATTAAAATGATCTGTACTGGGTGTTAATTAATCTCCATCACGAAGCGTGAAACTTTCCCAGGGCAGCAATGTAGCTATAAGTTATTTCCCTCTAATGGTGGGTCCCACATTTGACCAACCTTGTGTGTATTCAACTCCTTATATGTTATGTGTTTCTATAGTTGAAGTTGTTGATTGGGCCTTGAAAACACCAAAAAAATATGATGATGATGATAATCTGTATGAACCCTATGATTGTAATGTGCGTAGTCATGTTAGGGTCATATGTACTTTGATTAAAACAGTTAAATGTTTCAGCAGCTTGTTTTAGAAACAAAGGCAGATGTATCAGTATTTCAGTGTAAAAGCTTACGAAACCCTTGTCAGATTTCTGAAATTGTTTTAAATAAGGAATCAGTCATTTTTAAGAATCTTGCCTACTATAAATCTGTTGATATGTATAACCATATGTTGATGCCATACCGTGTGTTTCTGCCAGTTGGTGAGGTCTGAGTCCCAGAGGTGGTTCCACGTCATACAGAAGTACATCATCCTGGGGGATGTGGATGGTGAGTCAACACTCTGTCGGTCAGAATCCCTTCATGTGCTCATGTGACCTGGAGAATGGCCAACTTTAACAAATATGATTTGTTCAGATATTTGCTTATGCTGACTCATAGTAACTGCTATGGTGAGATATTTTTGGGTTTTGTGGAACAGTACAGGAAATTTCCACTCTGTTTGTAACCTGCCAAATTATTTTGAACGACTCGTTCCAAAGAGACTAGGCATTAGAAATTGTCTAATTACATCTTTCGTGAGTGGAAAAGAAGGATCAGGTGGTCAGGCTGGGTGATTGCATGCTGTTTTTAGCCAAGCATCATGGCTCATAATATCAGTCATGGTTTGTCTGGTCTAAATATTTACAGGTCACTTTGATATACATAGAATATTGTTTAGTGGGGCACTGAAAACACCACAACCCAAGAAAGTCATGCATTTATGTGAGATGCTTAATAATTCCTGTGGAAAAAAAGACATTGCCAGATTTATTAATACAGGTATGTCAATGTGTATGTGTTGCCAGCTCTCATAGAGGTGATGTACAGCTGGGTGAAGCGAGATCGCCACAAGCTTCCTCCACATCTCATAAGGTTCATGGCTCACCTGGTTCTGTTTCTGCGGGCTATTGGACACAGCACAAAGGTCAGAACAACACACAAACTTTGAAACTTGTTCACTGGCAGAATATCTTTTAGAACTGTGCAATGGTGGCCTGGATGTCTAATTTTCTGCTGTTCGATATACAGATTTAACACCTTTACCTGGTCTCTTGGTCTAGGATCAAATCAGTATTCCCCCAACTTATGAACCTGAGTGTGTCAGCACTGCATGACTTTGCTCTTTCCCCAAAATTTAATTAATACATTTTGCAATGACTAATAATTCTGATGAAATCAGAGCCAAACCTTTCGCTCCTCACAATGCCACCTCCTTTAGATGTTGTTAGCAGGTTGCGTCTATGGCTTATAAATGATGACTCTGTGTTTGTCAGGAGGAGCTATGCACCACCATCCTAGAAACGTACGTGGAGGACCTCATCAACAACAGACACAAACATCAGGTGGCGCACTACGTCTCGCTACTCTCCCCAAGGAGTCCCAGGTCATCTGGTACGCCAAGTTTCTGGAAGGTAAGAACAGTCTCATGACCTCCCAGGTTAATAGTCATGCTTCATCTTTAAAATATATTACAGGGTATGGGGAGGCCCACTTGTTGGGAAGCATTTCCATCTGAATGGTTAGAACATGACAGCTGCTGTGACCAGAAGTAACATCATTGTCTGATTACTAGAACCTATGGTCCGTTTGGCTCAAAAGCGGACCGATGAATTGCACGTTCACAGACAAAGTTATTTATTCATTAACCTGTGCTGTGCCGTCTCCATCCGTTCTCGAACACCTGGCTGTACCTTTCTCTGCACTCCTCCCTCGTAACAAATAGTGAACTGTGTCAATATTTTAATGATAGATTGTTAAACAACTTTTTTATTTTTAGGACAAAAATTCTGCGAAAACCTCACAGAGTTGGTATGATGTTTTGATTATGATCAGCGTTTCATTGAGTATTTTATGTTTATTAGATTTTGAGTTAGATTGCAGTTCATCGGTCGCTTTTGAGCCAAACGGACTATGATATAATGGCCCTCGTGCTATATTAAAGTCAGGATCCACATGAAGTGGGTTTGAATCTGATAAATCGTCATCCTTCACAACTTGGACAGATAATGACAATGTTATCTTGCATTTTGCCGTTACTGTCAATGTTATCAAACAGGGTTGAAGTATTGACCTTTTCAGTCCTTAGTGTTGTATGTATTGAAAGTGTCACACGCACCTGTACTGACGATCCTTAAGTATACAGGTGTTGATGATGGTTCAGTGTACATTGTATTGACGATTTCACAATACTCTATATTGGTATTGTGACAGGAACAGGTATTGACTGTTACATTGTACAGGCATTGAGCGTATTGCAATATACTCACAATATTTAAATATACACGTGCTCATAATGTTCCAAACTACAGGTATTGATTGTTACATTGTACAGGTACTGACAATGTTACTATAGACAGGTACTGAGAGAACATACAGGTACATTACAATATATAGGTATTCACTATGTTAAAATGTACAGGTACTCATAATTTTCAATCTCAAGGTATTGACAACAAGGAGGAGAGACAGCATTGTCTCCAGCTGGCAGAGGAGGAGGGCCTCAACATCCCCCTCATCACCAAGACCGTTGTCGAGAACATCCGTCATCGGGACTCGGGAGAGGTCAAGGTCAAAGCTGACATGGCTGTCGAAACTGCAGTGTCAGAGGTCAGTAGCAGGTTGAAGGAGGATAACACCTAAAGAAGGAATTACAGGCTCAAATTCTTTTTACATGACAAGAGCTTTGAATTCTGTCGGATTATGCCAGACCAAGGTTTGATTGGTACAGTGTTAGTGTCCCCTAAGTGCCCTTGTTGCTGTGACATACATTCTTGCTGAATCTGCCACTATGGGAGCACTCTCTTCAGGGATCAGTCGTGACCTATTCAAATTATGCAGTTCTGTCTTGATATGTACCTTTGAAAAAGTTCCCAATTTACTTATGTTATGACTTTGTAGAAGTGTTATAACTTTGTAGAAGTGTTATGAATTTGTAGACGTGTTATGACTTTGTAGAAGTGTTATGACTTTGTAGAAGTGTTATGACTTTGTAGAAGTGTTATGACTTTGTAGAAGTGTCTTGTACAACAGCTAGGACTATCAAAGAGGAATATGTTCTTACGTTGAGTTTCAGAAAGATATCATTGCCAATGATACTCAGTTTTCGAATCCTGGATGCATTTATGCTATTGTTCATGTTGAAAGTCCTTCTGGATGAGGTTCTTATTGAGCTCTCTTTCTTTCTTTTAGGACGACCGCAAGAAGATCGAGGCAATAGACTGGCTGGTGTTTGACCAGTCACAGCGGTCCGAGGCTGTGAAACAGGCCAACGCTGTCATGAGGTCATTCATTGGTGAGTTTACTGAGGCTTATGTTGTCATTGGTTGCTTATGTCTGTCCTATCCAGAGTGAGGTGTAGGTTTGCTGCCGCTGTTTTCAGCCCACAGGGGATTCAGGTCAGGGTAGGAGTTATCAACAGGGTACTTTTTTCTTCATAATTTTGACATTTCCTTGTAAACAAATTCATAACAATTTACTGTATGTCTTCACAAAAATCATCTACATTCCTACATGTTGGCGGACATTGGATTCTGCACATGCCAGTTACTGTGGCTTATGGGACTATGACCAGCAGAGATTCATCTGTTATGGAATCTTGAACTTAACAATGATACCTGTACTTGGCAGCTGTGAAGAAGCATGCAGCTGCAAGAGAGGTGTTTGACAAGCTGCCCGCTGACTCGGTAGACGTCATCTATAGAATCTGGCTTTCAAAGGTAATCCAGAACACCAGGATATCAAACTGTTAATAGACTGTTCAGTTTTGGACTATGTCCATGCATTACAACATTATGTTCTTTTTGTAAGACACTAACCCCTCTCTCCCATCATTGTCAGTGAATCTGTTTGTTCAGCCTTGTGTTAAAACAATCAGGACGGTCTGCTGTAATTGCCGACTTTCTCACTTCATTGTGTCAGAAAGCCTTCAAACTTGAACCACGAAAATTCTTTACCACTATAGACACCACTTGCAAATATAGTAAAGAATATTTAGAATATTCCACTAATATCAGTTTTATGAATAAGCCTTTCAGTACATCTTTCCTTTCCTCTTCCAGACAGGTTCCACATCCTTGCCAGCATCAGAGGAGAACGCCATCCGAGAGTACATGTGTATCAAGGCCTACCTGGTGAGCATTTCTGTGTGTTTGGTGAGGGTTTACACAGAATTGGATGTCCTGTTCATGTTTTGTTTATTCTAAGGATGGAAGTTGCTGATAAGGGGCCCTTTTCACAAAGCGATTTTACCGCTACAACTGTCATAAGTCTGATGTTAAAGCATAGGAGCGCATCATCTTAGCGCTACATGTACTTCTCTGAGCTTAGCCTATATTTGATGCTTGTACTCATTGATGTTATTCATTTGAAAAGTATACAGAAACACTTTTGCACACAGTTGATAGTGGACAGTAGACTTTGATCACCATTATGTAAATTTCAGGATGCCATTGAGAGTTTCAATGACTGGTTCTCACTCTGTCATCACGGCAAGCCAGCCAGACCCGATCTGTCGGTGGGCGCCAGCTTCACAGACCGTGTGGCCTACGAACATCGCATGAAGCAGTATCAGATGGAGGTGGACAGATGGAAGCACACGCTCCTGATGCAGACCAAGGTGGGGCCCTATGATAACCAGCAGTCACAGATACATGCAGTCGCTTGTAGTGGTGTACCAAATACATACATGTTTGATCATTGCTATACTCTGTGACCTATAAAGATCTGGGTTATAATTGGTCTTCAGCAACCCATGCTTGTCATAAGAGGCGACTAACGGGATTGGGTGGTCAGGCTCGCTGACTTGGTTGACACATGTCATCGGTTCCCAATTGTTTAGACATGCTCATGACATCAGCCACTGGATTGTTTGGTCCAGACTTGATTATTTACAGACTGCCGTCATGTAGATTGAAAAAATTGAATATGGTGTTAAGCACCAAAACTGACACAGTACAAATATATTGACAGGATGCTATATCAAACTGCAAAATTTGTAAGACATCATACTTTGATGGGCATGTTTTCTTATCAAGTTTGAATGTGTCAGAAAAAATATGAAAATAATCCTGCACAACACTTCGGTTCGATCAGTTGTGTGTTATTTCTCTTGCATTGTGTTGGTATTCTTTCCATATCCAATGACTAATTTGTCTCTCAGTGGTGGTACAGCTAAGGGAGACAATTCTTGCTGCTCTGCGTATAACGTTATTCTTTTGTGTTGCAGACAACCAAGGACCATATATACAATGTACTGCTGTTCACTGATGGAGGCTGGATGGTGGATCAGAGGGAGGTATGTACACACTCTAATCTCCTCATCTGCAGTAACATCATGCCCATTGGGATTCTAAACATGAAGATCCGGGTTAGAATATTGATCTTCAGTAACCCATGCTTGTTTTAAGAGGCGACTAACGGGAATGGGTGGTTAGGCTCGCTGACTTGGTTGACACGTCATCGGTTCCCAATTGCGTAGATCGATGCTCATGATGTTGATCACTGGATTGTCTGGTCCAGACTCGATTATTTACAGACCTCTGCCATATAGCTGGAATATTGCTGAGTGCGGGGTAAAACTACATTCACTTACTCACCCATTGGGATTCTGAGGTGCAGTATATCCAAGTAACCTGTGCTTGTCTCAAGCATCCTGGTCCAACTCTGTTGAGCACAGCATATGCTGTTAAGCTCATCTTTGCCTGACCAGATTACACCACTATCACATACCTGGAACCAACTGCATTGAGTTTGAATGAATGTCTCTTGTTTGTATGTTTTCCAGCATGATTCCGCTATAACCTTCACTCACTTCATGCATGTCATAGTCATCCATGTCATCATATGTCGTCATCTTTCTACAGGAGGAGAACGTTGATGAGTCCCGCCACCACCAGATGGGGTTGCTACGACAGCTCCACCTACCATCACTGTGCCTGAACTTGCACTATGTACTACACACAAGTGAACTGTATGCCGAGTGCCTCCAGCTGGCTGACTATGTGTCAGCAGAACGGTATCAGTTGTACAAGGTAGGAGGCATATGATTGGTCATATCTCTCATGTATATATTTTAAGATTAATTTACAGGGGCAGATACAGCTTTTTGAGAAGTGGTGTGTGTGTGTGTGTGTCTGCGCGCACTATTGCGAAAGGAGGGGTGCCCACTTCATTTTCAAGAGCGTTTCAATGGTCATTTTATATAATTTCAGGACAAAAGGGGGGGGGTGCACACGCACGCACACACACACACACACACACACACATGGATCCATCTATGTTTTAAAATATGTTTGTAATTACACAGCCCCTCCGGTAAGACTGCAGCCACGTGACTCCTGTTGGTCCAAACAATGCGATCACATGTTGTCCTACATGTTGCAGTGTGCACCATTGATAAGTTTAGGAGATCAGAAGCAGATGCAAGAACATGTATTTCTGGTCCAGATTTGCGTCTATATCTGCATCCATCACCTTGCTCAATGGTCTAAAATGCCATTAACTTAGACAGTTGCGCCTGGTCCACACAATTAGCACTTTTTTCCCTTTCCTTTTCTTTTTTACATTTCATCTTCATTTTTTCTTTGGAAAAAGGTATATTCATAAAACAAGATTTAGAAAATAGTTTCCTTAATGGTAAATGTCTTCATCCTTAATGACATTGTACTGATGACAGATGTTGTGTTACAGGAATTCAACAAGGATGATTTGCAACGCCTGCTGCGCCACATACGTGACTCTTCCCTGGCGCTCCTAGACCAGAACAAGGATCCCCTAGGTTACCAGCTGGTGTAGGGGAGATCACTCTAGACAGGAAGCATGGTTTCATGGGAAATGTGTGCGAGCACTGCATCAGACTAGTGCTGTGTGTGTGAGATGGGTAATGCATGGAAGCACCAGTATAATCGGTGAATTACGTTGGATCAATCATGGATACGAGAAGTGTGACTGAATAATCACAGTAAACATGATGGAAGTATGATGGAGATGGCCATGCTGTGAGGTTTGAATACTTGAACAGAGTGTTGATGTGGTCAAGTATGTTTTAAGTGCCCAGGAGTCCAAATCTTACTTGACCTTACACAATGAGTTACATCATCAGTGTCATCAGATACACGTCATCAGCTTCTCCAGCAATCGTACCTCTCAAAATAAAGGGCAAGCGGAATCAGTAGGAGTCGGAAATGGGTCAGTTGTTCAGTGGTTGTTATTGGTTGCTAGCTACCTTGGCTGACCTGTAGAAGCAACAGAATGTGGTCAGACTGGTGTGTTTGATTGGGTGTATTGTGTCATAATGTCAGTCACTGGAGTGTCTGGTCCAATCAGCTACAGGCTGGAGTCATATAACTGGAGAAACCACAAATAAACGTCCTGCTGCAGTGTGGCTATCTGAGCCCCGACAAGATCAGTAGTTTGTAGATAATGTCTTTCTACAGACGAGAAAGGAATCAGTAACTTTTCACAAAGAAGACTTTGTAAGACCAATACAAAATAAGAAGAATTAACTACCTCCAGTCCCCCTCACCATATTGTTTGTTCCTTCATCATCAGTGTGTGTGGCTAGCTAACAGCTGGCCCAGCAGGGACATACATTTGGGTCAAGTGACTGTGTGCTGTTCCGTAGATGCATCACTTAACCTATAAATCATATTTGATATGTATCATGATTGCTTCATCCATCATGCTTCATACTTTGTACAAATTATATTAAAATAAATTGTGTAAATATGATGGATGTATTGTCTGTGGTTTGTTCGGGTGAGGGGAGCTATTGCTAAAAGGCCACGCACTTGAGTGTACACCAGTTGGGATGTAGTTGGGTCTAGTCTTGATTCAGTCATGGCCTCATCAGGCTCATCCTCATAAATCTCCACTATACCCTGGATGCATCTACGGCTTGAGCCGATGATATTATTACCTCCCTTGGTTGGCTTTTTATCCAATCGGGTGTCTACGCTGGGAAGTTGAGGGTACCAATCACAACTCACTTTCGCTTTTTAAATTATCTAACCGATTAAACTTGGCAACACAATATTATATTGTTGCAGAGGTACTCTGAAAGAGGCAGAAGGAGTTCTGACAAGAGACAGGCCAGAATAACCTGAACAGGTGAAAGAAATCATCTCAAAACTTAATGTTCATGGTATTGTTCATTAGTGGCCCAGTGATGTTTATAATTGCGCACAGTATTGATCACTGGATCATCTGGTCCAATGTGATTATTAACAACTGCTGTAAATAGAATAGTGACCCACGGCATCAAACACCTAAAGAAGGAACCCGGTGTTTTTTTCTGGAAACGTAATGTTATGATCTGTGTTTGATCATTACTAGAATTTCGGTTCTTTCATCTGTATTCCGTGTCAGGTGAATGTTTAAATCTTTCCCTCTGGGTTTACTAATGTAGGTGTTTATGTTTCATGATAATCTTCAAGTCCCTACGATAACATTCCACGAGCTTGGTTTACCTGTATCGAGACCATCACGTGTAGTGTTTCTCTTCGCCACTGTCACGGAACTGTAATAATGCGCAGTATTGTTCCGGTGATTAGATATTCCGCTCAAGGCTGTAGCTCGGCTGGGAACAGAGTGCTTTAAGTCCTCGTGATAAATAGAAACCTATTCAGTACACGTAAATATTTATGATAAATGTGACAAATATTTCTACTCCTACACAGAAAATGAAACAGGTGTCTGGAATGTTCGAGAGACCGTCAGTGGGTCTTACAAGGCGTCAAGTAAGCCTGTACGCGGGGGTATTTTGTTTAATATGGGTTTAATCCTACTTCCATCGATAGCTCTGAAATACCGGTAGAGAAAGGAGTATTTCCGTGTCAGGTGACTGTTTCACGCAGATTTAGAGAATAATGACGGAACGTTCCCATACTTGGCATTCGACAGTTTTCAGTGATGAAAATTGTTTTACGCCTCATTCAGCCATTTTCAGCAACATCATTGAGGGGTCTGCTGAGCATAGGCTCTACACTGTAACTGCCAAATATGTAATGTTCATAAGTGGTGTAGACAGTTCAGTGAGTTTAAGGATAAGCTTTGTATCGCCCTACTAAGTGTATTCTACAATATTGTCACCACGACATTCATGTAGTATGTTTCTACGTCGCCTTTAGCTGTGTTCAAGAAATATCACAGCACGTACCCCGGAAATGATTGTCATATTGTGCCCATGTAGGGAATCGACCCCGTGACCAGTCGAACGCTTTCTTGGCTTCCACACTCTGGGCGAGACAGGTTTTACCGCCGCTTTGAACATACAGTATTTCGGTTATATCACGGCATCGTGTGAAATAAACTCCAAACAGATGTCGGCCTTTAACGAATGTCATTTGTGACATTGTCGGAAAAGCCGTGGTAAACAACTCAGGGCATCGAGGGGAATCAGATTCATGCCATCACGAGGGAGGTCGAGGAGACGTAACCCCAAATACAAGAAGTGTTACATTTGACCATTTTCTTAAAGGCATTGTACAATCATAGCTTTTGACCAGGGGAGAGCCGTGTCAATTTACAATTATCAGGTGGTACATGGAGTTAGAGATCGAGACTGCCATTTACCAGATCATCTCTGTGGAAATCACGATGGCTGTAGGTGTGGGTCAGATCACTGACTTTGTGTGCTGACGATTTGCTGCCTGACTTTCAGACTGTGGTTGGACGGGACCCAACCCTATAGAAGGCGTAGAATCTGTACCTTACTGAGAAAGTCTAGTCAAAAAGATGACAATTGCTTTTCTAAATAATTTTATTCCGAAACTGATATCAAGGTAAATATGCAGACCATTTGGGCACGAAGAACCCATATGATGTACCTTGTCTGGTGTTAACCCTACTTCGGCCATATAACATAAACAAAGTATTCATACATGGCGTATAAAAGCTTCCAGGTATGATATGCAATGCAAACAGATTCCATGTTATAAGCAGGGCAGGACCGGACACGGGGGACACTCTACCCTCTAGATGGCCTTGGGGTTATTGACTGGTGAACTTTTCACTCGGACTATGGTCAACAAGTCAGCAGAGCGTTTGGTCAACATGTCACACGGAGCACGACCTCACTGCGAGGAGACTGCACCGACACGTGGTCGTAACCATAGAAGTCATACTGTATCAGTATTGTGTTTATAAGCACTTGAAGAAATCTAGGTAAAATATTTCTCACAATACTTGTTTTTCCCTTTCACTTCACGGTGACTTACAAAAAAAAAGTATGCCATGAGATGGGAAAGCAGGTGGACAACATGGCTCTGATAACCCAATGCCATTTAGAAAGTGGTCAAATGCAACATATGTAATATATGGGATTACACTTTCTTAGTAAAGTACAAATTCTCGGGAGTCCCATCCGGGATTCGAACCCACGCCCCCAGAGTCAAGCGCTGTGTGCTTGCGATTTGGTGCCTGGCTCTGAGGGTTTGGGTTCGAATCCCGGATCCCAAAACACACACACACACAAGTACTAGAATTTGTACTTTACTAAGAAAGTGTAATCCCAAATATATGTTGAACATGGCTCTGGAAGGAATAAATTGAACTTGCTGTAGTTCTACACAGTCCCCACTGTCCCCACAATGAACCACAGGGACTGGTAACATCACGTTATAGGCCTATATTGCTACTGGTGGTCTTGGCACTATAACGATCCTTGTTACCAACTGCCTTTAACAACATTCACCCACATGTCCGAAAGAAACACGAGTTTACATTATCTGCATAGGGGGCATGGTGACAAGGTAATTCTCTGCGTAAATTCTCTTGGCTGTGGCAGGCTCAGATTTGAAGTTTTGAAGATCCTTGTCTGTCGGGTTATCCCTCTCTTTAACGTGGTTTCAGTGTAAATGTAACCCTCCTGATTCCTTCAAATATCCTTCACTACTAAACAGGCTGTACGTTGTAAGCACCCCCATTCGTGCTTGATGTTTGACAATAATGTTAAGTGTCTCCTCAGCTTTGGGGTTCCACTTAAGCTGACACAGAATGACTTCAATCGTCTAACCTTGAGCCAAACTTAAAGATTTGATATACATTAAGGCAATTCGCTGAAACCAATGATATCTACCTTTATATGTGTTACATCTTAAGCCATGTCATTGAAAACACTCGTAAAACCATGTATGTAGCTTCCAAACATTTCACAGTGCACGGACTCACGTGCCAATACTCCCAACAAGTGCGTGTTTCAGCAGTAAATCGCCTTATAAATTATCATCTGTGAAGACGTAGACTCGGAAAAAAAGACAAAAGCTGGTGTTAGCACGTGTGTCTTATCAACACAGACATGTTTCATTATTACCCGTGAGAAGACGATGGTTCAAGTTGAAGTAGATCAGACGCGCACTTGTTCCAAGGACGTGCTTCGGGGTAGATCAGACGCGCACTTGTTCCTTGGACGTGCTGCTTCAACATACTTGGATGGTCTAACTCGAGTAGATTCTCTTGTAAAACACAGAGGTCTCTAGTATCTATCGTACCTGTATTCTGGTGATACGAGTAAATGTATGTCATATATGGGAGGGGTAAATGCATCAAAATTCTCATCTCAAGAACAGAAGCTTCCGTATATGCAACTTCAGCACCAGATACGTATATAAACATCTCTCGTCATGTTGTATTCCAAATGCGTTATATGTTACGAATTTTAAGGACGTCGTTCTGTGTAAGGGAACATTGCTTTAAATGGGACCAAATTAAGTATGGACCTAAAGGGCAACTTTGTTTGTTGCAGATGAGTGCTAGCTAAATCATGTTCTGTTCTATGCGATATCCATATGTAAGACGTAAGTTCTCGATGCAAGCACACAGGCTATTTTGTTTTTAATTAAAATTAAAGAGGCTTTCTCATGGGAGGCAATAATTACAGGCAACCAGAATTAAGACAGTTAAACAGTATACAGGATATCCCTCCCCTACGTTTACCAAACAAAGGTACATAATCTAAAAGATATATTTAATACATGTTTACACAGTTTTCTCCGCACACAGTCTATCCAGTCTACTTTAACAAATATATTCATGGAGGTGTAATGTTTCTATCAATATTTCAGGACGGGTTTTATTGAACGAAATTCAATAATTGACATGTGATAATTGCCGCACGAACTTGTTCAGATAAAGCATTACAAGAATCCAATCAAACAAACCTTGGGTTAACCATAACCAGTGTGCTCTATTGATGTACCAGAACAATCCCATACTGAGTGATGCCAGCGGGATCATTGTCGGACGTTGCCGTGATTCTGAGTGGGTTTACTGACATATGAAAGTATATATCATGTAATTGTTTGCTGTCTGCATGGCTGGGTAACGGCTCTGTGTACATTATTATTGTTATATCTTAAGACCCGATATCCATTAGGGTGTAAATGTCAGCAGGCAATAAATACCAATGCAGTGTATCGGAAGAAACACGTTAATTTACTAAAGCTTAGCTGAACACTTTGCCTCGGGGCAATATGGATCATGAAGTCGCTCAATTGTCCATACATGTCTCCCACTGGATTCCATCACGTCACGCACACACGCGCGCGCACATGCAAGCGCAGTCACCATACGCACACACAGGCACTGGCAATATTTTAATCTCTCAGCGGTATTCTGAATTAGAATAAACAGAAGCTAATACCGGATGTGTCTATTGTTGAATACTGTGCCTCTTAACAAATCCAAATATCGATTACAGCTAATAGCAGAATGGGTGATCGGCAGTGACGGTA